ATAATACGCTGCCAAAGCCATTGAGATGGAATCGGAAAAGCTCCGCTAGCATCGTTGATTGAAAGGAATTCATATTGATGAATGGCAACATGCTGAAGAATGGGGTCAAGGTCGTCTTTGTAGTCGGCAGTCAGCAAAATCGATGCACAATCAGGCAAAGGTTGCTGAACGAGAATCAGGTGCCCAACATAAGACTGACCAGGCGTATTTCTCGGTGTTGGAGAAACCCACCAGAATTCAATGGGCAAACGGCTATCAAGACGGTCTTGCCAACGTTCGTAAAGCGTTCTCTGCCATGCCGTGACATCAGAGCGTAGACGAACAGTCCTGGGAAGCTGGCACCGAGGAGCACGTTGCCCATTGAGTTGCCAAGTTTGCAGGTAAATAATGCGTCCTTCATCTTCACGTTCCACCATTGCAAACTCGTCAAACGCCCGTTGCAACTGTTGCACCCAGTCAGGTGAGCTAGTCAAACAAGCATGAGGTGTTGATGGAAGGCGGAGTGCAAAGGGTGAGAGCACCTGAGACGAAGAACTCGCTTGTTCGGGTGCTGCTCGTTGGATATATAAACGGAAAGCATGTCCGTGTCGAGCAAATGCACGTTCATGTTCCTCGAGACGACGAGCTCCGAACCAAAGCGTGCAGGTATTTCCTGGAGCTTCAGGAGGACAATCTTCGACAGCATTGGCCATAAGTCGAATGGAGTACAAATCGACTCTGTCACCAGCGACAAGCGCCAACGAATGTGCACGCCCTTGGTCGTAAGCGTTGTCATAAACCGAAACAACGAGCGAACGATCGAAACGATGAGGGCGCTGCACGATCATGAGCTGACCGATGGCTTGTCCGTCAGCGTCCTCAGGGAGAGGAGATACCAGGTAAAACTCCAGTGGAGCTCCAATCACCAAACGCTCGCGCCAAAGATGTCTAATCTGGGCTTCCCAGTTCACAAAATCATTGGCAAGGATAGCTACTCTGGAGTGAAAGCAGCGTTGATAATTCTCGTGATCAGTGAACCACGTCTCCAATCTGGCAAGGAGCTCAATGCCTCCTGGCCCAATTGTTGCTCCACCTTGCCAGGCTTCGAAGACGTCCTGCACCCAGGGAGCATATGTGCTGATGTCTCCTTCAGCGTCTGGAAATTCAGGGAGAGCCTCATTGGCCTGATTGTACAATCGGACTGCATTCAGAAAGAAGTCCGTGAAACTGCACGTGCGTCCTTTGCTGACGTTCTCCAGATGCAGAAGAGAGGTTTCATCATCACTGGAAAAACTAACCGAGTCATAGGCACTATCGTTGGAGATCCAGTCACTTGCATTGATGACCCGGTTTGGATTGGGAACAGTGTCAAGATGCTCATCAAGGCCAAAAAGGTCGATCATCTCAAAAATCTCCTCAGGTGGAATTCCAAGCTGTAGACAGCAAGCAACATTTCTCGCAGTGATGTCGGGCCCAAAATCATCATCAGGCGGAGAAAGAGCAATACGGATGTAGTCGCCAGGCTGCAACGTTATCAAAGCATGTGACTCCAAACTGATGCGTACATGATTGTGCCAAATGATGCAAACAAAGCGAATATACCGACTGTACTCACTGAGATGCATGGCTCGAAGCAATCCTTGTGATGAAATCCGTTGTGGTGCATAAATAGGGCTGCGGATCCTTTCAATTGGTTGGGTGTGGATCCTAGAATGAAACTCAGTGTCAATGAGAACGAGACAACTAGAAGATCCTTCAGGTAAGTCATCAGCGTGCTGTGCAAGAACAGCAAACTTGCGCTGAGTTTGCAAATCTGCCGGGTTGCTCGACACAGTGTGCACCTGGACAAGCTGTTGTTGTGAAAAATGCAAAGCACGAGCAACTTGCAAATGTCGCAACCTGGGACTGGCCCAGCACAGAACCCTCTCAGTCGGTTGATAGTGAACAGAATAGATGACACTCTGCAGCCAATTTTCGTCAGTAGATGAACTAGATGATGATGCATCTTCAATGACTTGGTCACCTTGTAAAGCAATGCCATCAACGTCGGCAACGGCTTGGGGAGGACTTCGGGGCCTCCTCATGCGTTGCCCAGCAGCCATAAACGAACTGAAGTCATCAACATCTTCAGGAGGCGGAAAAACTTCAAGAACCAAACTGCAGAGAGAATGAATAGCAATGCTCTGTTCAGTGAGTGGCAAATCACCTACAAACCCATGACAATTTCGAGATACACATTGCACGGACGCAGGCACAATGGAAATCAAAGTCGACAAGGAAATTTCGTGAGGCATGATTTGCGCGGAATGGATGATGGCATCTCTTGCGGTCGATCTGAAAATGCCAGAAACCACACCAACTGGCTCACCTTGGGTCCTCTGATGCAAAATGACATGTGCCAAATGCCCAGCAAACACACAAGCTGGAGGGGGCGGTGAAATCACGCCAAACTGCAGCGGAACGTTGACATCAAGGAGGTCACGCCAAAGACTGGCAAGTTGTTCACGCCACGAATCAACTGGGAGAAAGAGCCGAATGTCTCGTGGCCGCTCATTTCTACGAATGCGATCTCCATGAAGAAACCAAGTATTGACCTGTATAAAAGAGTCAGAATTCTTGGGATCAATCCAATGGTGGGATTCGAAAAGTCTGTGCAAGTTGTAAAGCCATTCACTTTGAGGTTCAATGCCAAATGATCCTCTGCTGGAAATTGAGGTCAGAGACAAAGAGTGCCCATCATTACAAAGTATCCTATCAGAAGAGTTGGGCGAGATCGACACGGCCGGGGTCGACAGCGGTTCCCGTCTTCCAACACTCTGAAAAGGATGTGAAATTGCACTGGAAAAGGATTCGTCAAAACTCGATGAGGATTTGGAAAATCGGCTGCGGTTCATTTCGGCAATCAAAGGACAACCACTCCACGGTGTCAATTCGTTTCCAAACCAATCAAGAGAGAGTCGAAAATGGCAAGCTCTCCAGGCATCATTGTCTCCAATGTACAGATCAACACACTCGTCAAAACCCACATGCGAGGTTGATCTTGGCTTGGATGACAGTGCTGGAGATGATGGCTTGTCTGGGGCCAGCGATTCAAACAAGGATCCTACTTCAAGGGATAATCGCAGAGCTTGCTCACGAGCAGCAAATTCACACTTGAAAGTGGGTTCCTGAAGTATCGAATGGCTCCATTTCATCGCAACGATAGCTGGAAAATCATCGAAGGCTGGCCTCCGACTGCTATACCATAAGGTCATAGGCAGTCGGCCTACTTGAAAGGCGGAGCTTCGGAAGCAGTGCCTGGGGTGTCTTCGACACGTGGACGTTTCGCAGCATGCTCCTCGATCTTGATGGATTCGGCTTCTTTGGAAAGCTGTTGCAAGGACGTGGAAAGCGACTGGATGCTCTCGGTGATCTGCATAGCTGATGGGCAGCTGTCTCCGGGCAACTCTTCCTCGTCGCTGATTTCCTGTACATTGCCTGCTGACACTTTGGAGGCATCTAGGCATTGCTTGGCTTCCTGAAATTGTTCTTTGGCAACAGAGATGCGCTCCTGCAAGGCCTTCTCGTGCTGCTCGAAGATCTTGGCATACTCGGACCAGCTTTTGACTGCTTCTGCCAAAAAGGATTTCCACGTGCTGAGGTGCTGCGTACGAGCCAGTAGCGCCTCCTCGTAGGTGGTTCTGGCTTCGCCAAGCGCTAAGGCAGCTTCCTGCAGATCCTTGATGGCTCTCTTGCTTTGCTTGTGTGAGTGCTTCTGAATTTGCTGCTGAACATCTAATGGGAGATCGACAGACCTCTTTTGTAGATACGCAAGCAATTCTGCTGGAGTAGCATCCGGGGCACTCTGAGCAGTCAAAGGGGGTGGTGTACCAAAAGCCGGAAACTGAGTAGAAGGATTTGTCACGGCTGCCGCAGGCACAGGCGTCGCACCCTGCGTGGGCACCATTCCCAAAGCAGGTGCGCTCATATGAGCACTCTGAGGCATCCATGGTGGCGGAGTGGCTGGCGGTGGCACAGGAGGTCCAACAGGATATCCAAGAGCCGGATACGGGAACTGTGGAAAGGGCTGCAATTGACCGTAAGGTCCAAAATTGGCACCTTTGCCTCCTTGAGCTTTGCGAGGCGACTTCGGCTTTGGACTTTTGTGCCGAGGAGACTTCGCTCTTCGTGCATCCTGATGCCCTTGTTGAAATTGTCCGCCATGATATCCACCCCAATTCTGCGGTGGCAGTGCGTGCTGTCCTTGTTGCTGTTTCACTCCATGGACATAGTTCCGATCTATCACTGCCTGCCAAGGCATCTGACAGCGAGGGCAAAAAGCCATGGAGCTTTTGCAAAGCTGTCGACAGCTTAGGCATTTCCATGGAGGATTGCTCATAGCTGACATGGTCTTGGTAATTGTTCTGATCAAATGTAGATCTTTGGAATGATGGGTGCTGAGCTTCGGCCGAAGATCGAGCAGCTGAGACCTCGTGAGTAAAGAAACACCGATCTTGTGTAAATGCCACTTCAACCGTGCACGTGCCCTCTGCCGGCGTTGGGTGCGCCTTGTCGAGGAATTGGCCGTGATGAAATGCAAACAAAGGTGTCAAATCACTAAAGGTCCACCCAAAATCAAATAGGATCGGGATCACAGCGATCAGAATCAAAATCCGGAAGAGAAAGAGAAGTGCCAATGACATACACAGCAAAGAGGACAAAGAGGTCCAAAAGGTTCCCAAAGTAGAACACCAGCGCGTAGCAGATCAGTGTCTACCAACCCGAGAGTTAAGGTGTCGGGACACCAGCAAAGGGTAAGTCACCAACTAATCCAATGCACGACAAGGGAAACCCGCGGCTATTGTAAACCGCTAAGTTCGACGGGTAAGCTGAAAAGGGGGGAGCTTGACCCGAGACGCTTATATATATATATATGTATATATATTTTTTAATATGTTTCCTCTGTGATGCAAAACAAACTTGTTCCCGTGAAGGACCCGCCACTCACCCCGCAAGAATATCCACGGTGCCAGCCAAAAGACCTTCGTATTTGTCAAGACATTCGCAGATTTCATCTTTGAATGCGTCAATGGTCATGGAGTCGGACAAGTAAGGCAGCACATCTCGAACTGTTAGCTCCTGTGACTCACGGATGAGGCCAATAATCTTCTGCACATCACTGGTTGCTGCCTCCAACGTCGCGGGTTGAATCAAAGAGAGGGGATTCTTACAGTGCCACAATGCAAACCCATAAAAATCCATAAAACCAATGAATTATATTGATTTGTAAAAAATGATTAAACAATATTAGGCATACGCGTTGAAATCCTCGGCAGCAAAGTAAAATAAAATAAAATAAACACGTGTACAGGTAGTGTAGGTGGCATGCTTAACTATAGGTGGTTTACTTTGAAACTCTTCAAATACTTCAAGGAACTGAAACCACATGAAATGTGGCCTGATGCTCGACAATGCGCAGCCACAACTTCTGGCGCAGTCGTTTTTCCGTATCCGGTGGCTTGCAAGCACTGCGCTTGGCCAAAGCAATATCTTCATGCTTGAGTGCCACCTCCACCGCTTCCTGGCGAAAGGATGCAAAAGGCATCTATGTCTATATATTGTAAGCGTCACTCTAACTTGTCCTGTACATATATATTAATATATATATCCCCCATGTATAGCCCGCTAGATGCTTTGCGGCCGACTTTATAGAGAATAGCCTGGTATAAACTGGAATGGCCACATGTCTGGAGTCTATAAAGTGGAAAGCCAACATGTTTTGTCTATAAAGTCAAAATCCAACGTTTGTATAAAGTCGCCTGGCCGCGTAAAAACATAAAACTCGATGCAGGTTTTTGAGGGTACTTGTGAACATGTCCCATGACTATAAAGTGAGATGCCGAACATCCAGATAGTAATACTTGTGCAGAACAGTGGCACTATAATGTGGATTTCCGGCTAAACAACGATCGTTGTAGTAGCGATGATTTTCTTAATCGCAACGATGGCAGCATCGACATGATTTGTCTATAAAGTTGAGGGGCCACGTTCAAACCTTGGGGGAATATCATCGATCTCATCGATGGGGAACCCAAAAGACTTCGAATGACTTCGAAACCGAACGAAACCGACAGCCAGACAAATATCTATATCGAAGTCGTTAACAGAATCTATGGTAAAACCAAATCTATGTTGGACTGGCCACTTTATACCCCCTCCCCCAACAGAGAATGCCTCTAACACACTTTCCTTTGAAAGGGGTCCTTGGGGTGAAGGGGGTCCTGGTCGCGCCGCGCGCGCGCGCGCGCGCCAAAATGGCTCCAATTTTGACACCTTTTTGGCGCGCGCGCGCGCGGCGCGCCCAGGACCCCATTCACCCTGAGGAATTTTTCAAGGGAAATCTTCTTCTCTATAAAGTGGCCAGTCCAGGTAAAACCCCTGAAAAAACAGAATCTATGTTGGACTGGCCACTTTATACCCCCTCCCCCAACAGAGAATGCCTCTATAAAGTGGCCAGTCCAGGTAAAACCCCTGAAAAAACACATTTTGTTGGAATGGCCACTTTATACCCCCTCCCCCAACAGAGAATGCCTCTATAAAGTGGCCAGTCCAGGTAAAACCCCTGAAAAAACACATTTTTACCTGGAATGGCCACTTTATACCCCAGCCAGTGGGCTCCAGGACTTTGACCCGGAAACGGAAGGACTGACAACAAGGTAAAGGGGGAAAACTACAACGGAGAGGTACAACGGGAAGGCTACCACAAGAAAATGAGACATGTCACGTTTATATACGTTTATTGTTTTCAATGTGTCATATAGATTGGCGATGATTGGTATATTGAATATGTTGTAGATGTATTTTGGAACATATGTATACCTATGATTCACACATCAATATAAATATATATAAATCATAAACACATGCCAAACCAAAAACTTTTAGCTGAGTATTGTATTCCCAATCTGTTGGCAAATGTCCAGCCGATTCACCATGCGTGACCCAACAAGATTCAAACTATGGATTGTTTACTTTCGAAAATATTTTTTTACTGGTTCTTGCAAACAATTTTATAGAGGATGGGCATGGACCGGCCAGTTTATACAGAGGGTGGGGCTGCCAGAAATGACGTGATCAAGCCACTTTATAGAGCTGAACTTTCTTGCAAACCATTTTATAGAGGATGGGCATGTGGCCGTGGTTTTGGTCCATAGATGTCCATAGATTTTTAGGATGATTTTGGGAGATTGTCGTCATAGATATACGTAGATTCACCCAGTATTTTTTTTTCAAAAGTAAACAATCCATAGTTTGAATCTTGTTGGGTCACGCATGGTGAATCGGCTGGACATTTGCCAACAGATTGGGAATACAATACTCAGCTAAAAGTTTTTGGTTTGGCATGTGTTTATGATTTATATATATTTATATTGATGTGTGAATCATAGGTATACATATGTTCCAAAATACATCTACAACATATTCAATATACCAATCATCGCCAATCTATATGACACATTGAAAACAATAAACGTATATAAACGTGACATGTCTCATTTTCTTGTGGTAGCCTTCCCGTTGTACCTCTCCGTTGTAGTTTTCCCCCTTTACCTTGTTGTCAGCCCTTCCGTTTCCGGGTCAAAGTCCTGGAGCCCACTGGCTGGGGTATAAAGTGGCCATTCCAGGTAAAAATGTGTTTTTTCAGGGGTTTTACCTGGACTGGCCACTTTATAGAGGCATTCTCTGTTGGGGGAGGGGGTATAAAGTGGCCATTCCAGGTAAAAATGTGTTTTTTCAGGGGTTTTACCTGGACTGGCCACTTTATAGAGGCATTCTCTGTTGGGGGAGGGGGTATAAAGTGGCCAGTCCAACATAGATTCTGTTTTTTCAGGGGTTTTACCTGGACTGGCCACTTTATAGAGGCATTCTCTGTTGGGGGAGGGGGTATAAAGTGGCCAGTCCAACATAGATTCTGTTTTTTCAGGGGTTTTACCTGGACTGGCCACTTTATAGAGGCATTCTCTGTTTGGGGAGGGGGTATAAAGTGGCCAGTCCAACATAGATTCTGTTTTTTCAGGGGTTTTACCTGGACTGGCCACTTTATAGAGAAGAAGATTTCCCTTGAAAGGGGTCCTCAGGGTGAATGGGGTCCTGGGCAGCTCTATAAAGTGATTTGGGTGATGTATCTCATGACTCTATAAAATGCTCTGCCGCAATTTTCTTTCTATAAAGTGCCCTGGATGCAGCACAAATTCTTCTTCTTAAAGGGCAAGTTTCACTCTATAAAGTGCTTTGCCATGTATACAGCCCCAACAGAAAGATATTGGCCCGAAATCATTGGGGAGACATGTTTCTATAAAGTGGATGGTGTGACATATTATGGCCATTCTTTGAAGGGAACCAACGGTCTATAAAATGCATTGCCACATATATTGAGTCGTTTCCTTGTGGGGAACCAGCCGGGTATAAACTGGAAAGCCAACGTTGCTATAAAGTCATCTTCCAGGTCCAAGGGCATGTTTCTCGCGCAAAACACGGCTTTATCCCCCATTGTCGGTATATAAAGTGGCGACCGGAAACCCACTTTATAAGCGCAAAGGATGTCCACTTTATAGTGAGCTATACATGGGGGATATATATATATATACCTTGAAACTCAAAAACCTACAAAAACGTAGGATATGAAAAAAAACACGAGGTTTTTCCACAAAACCCGATGTTTTCAAATTTGCAGTTTTGATGGTGAAGAGAGAAATGAATAGAGTCATCCTATTCCAGCATATTCCAGCATTCTTGGCCACAACCCCCAACAAACATGTGGTTGGGAAACTCTTGGTAGCTCCTCAGCTCCCTCTTGACCAGTGGATAGCATAGATAGCCAACATCACCCACCAATAATTTTCCGATGCGATGTCTATTTTCGTATGATCATATGCATCTGTTGAAATATATTGAAATATTATTGCAGCAAAAATGGCAAAGGTGGGACCCCTCTGAACTGAACCCGAACAAATAGTACGGGTTTGCACGGGTAAAGTACGGGTTTGGCACGGGTTCAGCACGCGTTTGAAAAACATTGTGTTTTGCAAAAACACGATGTATTTATGCCAAAAGTTCGGGTTAGCACGGTAAAGTACGGGTTTAGCACGGGTTCAGCACGGATTCAAACTAAGACGAACTTTTCTCAGTAGGTTGCCTAAAATTTCAATCCAAGTCCCATACTAGCCCTTCGATGAGATCGATATTTTGGGGCGTACAACCATGACCACGCTTCAAACAGTTTTTCTCAAGACTTAGACACAAAAGAAACGCCAAACGATGATCATATCATGCGACTAATGATTATGATTGGTTGATTTGTGTACATGGTCTGCTTAAGTGATGCCCAATCATGTGAAAACAACGTTTATTTAGCCATCCTGGGAAAACACGATGTTTTTCCTGGAAACACGATGTTTTCGCAGTGCACCCTGGAAAACATGAGGTTTACATTTTTATCCTGCAAAAAGTTAGGCTTTCGTTGTACTAGGTATATATATTATATATATATTCTAAAATTCTTGTATATTATTACCAATAATATAATACACATATATATATAATTATATATATATGTATGTATTCTAAACATGTCCAAACAAATTCCCATGAGCTCATCAAAGGATGAAGAAAGAGTCAATAGAGTTGATAATTGGCCCTGGCCGCCCTGGCCCACTTTTTGGCTTCAGTATGTAATCAAGAAAGAAGCTGAGGTTGAATTGCAGACTGGGAGATCCCCACAAAACCACAAAAGGATTCGAGGTTACACAAGTGCAAACACAGCAAACAACAAAACTCTTGGCGCACATTCTGTAAACAAACATAAGCGGTCCGCATATGCCGGCCTCATGCATTTGCATCAGGCCGTACAGAAGCACCATAGCTTTGATGAGTCCCTTCTGCCGGCAAATGCGCAGAGCAAAGTGAGGATCCAGCAATGGATTTGCCTCCTCACAATGCTACGCACACAACTTGCACAACTACAGCCACAGTTTAACAGTTTAACATGTGGAGGCTGAGAGAACCAGATTCAAACAGCATTCCCACCTTTCCTGTGTCCAACTGCATTTGCAAAGCATTACCTATCTTGTTGCATGAACTCGGGTGCTTGCATTGCAAACCCAAGTCCTGAGCTTCCAAGAAACGCAGCAAAGCGGCCTCAGCATCCTCTGGGCCTAATATGCGACATGTATGGCCTCTATGACATGAATGACACTAAGAAATTGGACATGCACAACTTTCACCGCATGCAGCACCCCAACAGCAGCCAAGCAGTGCCTGTGTCCCCTCCCGCGTTTTGGGTGCAATCGGTCGCCAGCAGTACCACCATGGCATTCAAAATGGCTGTGCCACTTGCCCAACCTGGAGCAAGTGGAGAACTTGCGGCAAGGTGCTGCAGCTTGCTGGTAATTAGATGGGTTTCATATGTTCGTCCATCGGTAGAATCAACGTTAATGATCGTTAGTGTCACTCACTGTCTTTGTTTTGTTGGGTCCGCATTGCTTCTCAGAAGTGCAGGCAGCTACACGTCCTGTGGATACACAATGGTTTTATGTTGTTTCACAGTTTGACAACGTTTGACAGTAGTGTTTGGCAGCGTTTGGCAATGTTTGCTATGAGCTTGTGGAGGTGTTTGCACCTACGGTAATTGGCAACAGAATTCTGGGCTGGTGGCCCATCCACACGTGCCACACAGGTAGTATTTGACCCAGAAACCACTTTGCTGCATCGCATGTCCAGTCTCATCACCCACGCTGGCCAGGTTATCGAGCAACAAACTTCCTGCACAGTGACGGACCCACGACAACCTAATACAACCTGCGTGGTGTCCTTGTCAGGACTTGTCAGGACTTGTCAGGCAAGTCTTCAGTTGTCAAGTCACCATCCATTACTGACTCAGCACCACCACCAAGCATATCTGAGCACATCTGAGCATGCATCAGTCTATTGCAGAATTGACAACAAAGCCAACAAAGCCAACAAAGCCTCCTGTGCGGGAAGAACTCGCTCGAATTTCCAGATCGCCCCCGCTTTGGTGCAACTCAGGGGTGTGTCGCAGAGCATGTTCCAAGTATCGCATTGCCTCTGCCCTGCGAATGCAAGCAGGTCACCACAAAAATGGTGTCTCAAGTGTCTCATGGTTTGTCAGTGAAAATGCCGGTCTCCATCGTTTTGGACTTATGACTAAGTTGACTATCTGTGCTGAACTTCGGGCACGAAGCCGTCGAAGTCGAAGTCAGTAGGACTTCGACTATACTTTCCCTCTCCGGGTAGTTCAAGAGTGCATCGACCCAAACAAATGATTGCTGCCTGTTGGCTCCAACCACTGCCCTGCAAAAACACCTGGCCTGTGGGTTTGAGATGAATGAGGAGAATACACCCCTGGCAGCACCAGCAAGGGATCGACAGTGGAAAGCTGCGGACGGAGGAGGAGTGAAGCGAAAGCATTCGGCTCAGCACCAAAAAGCACAGGTGCAAAGCGACAAACCTCGGGTCGAGAGAGCTCAATAGTAGAGCTCAATGGTTTGTAATGGTTTTGAGCTTGAGATAGCTTTGATTATCCTTGATTGGTACATATTGGTACAGTAAGTCTTCAGTCTGCACTGCAGCTTTGAAGTTCACTTTGTCTACCCTGTCCTGCGCACAACATCTGGTGCTAGAAGATTCTTGACATGAGACACAGCTCAGCATTCCAAGGCCCACTGCTGCCAGGTTGCAAGTTCCAATCCTCCGCCAAATCCATTGAGCTTGCGAATGGCGCTCCCACAATCCCGGCGGCTAACGTGGTGTAGAATCACCTTTTGCTCAGATTTTGGATGATTTTGGTCATCCATGAAGTGGGCCCTTGCCAGAAAACCCACCAGAATCGTCCAAAACCAGCTTAACTAACTGTTTTCAATTGTTTTACGGCCTGTGCAAACCGAGGTGTGGAAGTCTCCAAGGGGATAGGCATGTGTTAGCTTTGGTTTTTTAGAGTCCCTGCTGGGTCATGGCACCAAAAAAGCGATCCGAAACGGTGCAAAGAAACATGTTGAGGTCTTGTGGCCCGGTAACCTCATGGTGTTGTTGCGGTCGTGGTATTGGAGTGGTGGTGTCAGGGTTGAAATCCGGGCCCAAGGGGTGAATGTTGATGAGATTTTGAGCGCAGGTTGAGTCATTTTGGGGAGCGTGCTGGGTCAACGCGTCATCTGCGCACATTGAAAGCGAGTCATCTGCGCACATTGCAAACGAGTCATCCGCGCACAGAGAAACCGCGTCATCCGCGCACAAAGAGCGGTCATCCGCGCACATTGATGCTGGGAACCAGCCATTTCGGGTTTGGTGGGGGTGGGGTGGGGTGGGGTGGGGTGGGATGATAACGTTCATGTTCCTATGCACACACAGGCACAGCAACCTCATCATCTTTCTTGCTGTTGAGAAGAGACAGGCACAGCTCTTTCATGATCAGTTACCGGTGGGGTGGGGTGAGTTAATTAGGTTCATGTTCACCAAATGCCACACGAAAGCAGCTCTTGAGTGAGTTGAGTTGTGTGAGATGAGTTGTGAGAGATGAGTTGTGTCAGATAAGTTGTGTGACTTATGAGATGAGAGGAGTTGTGTGAAATGAGTTGTGTTAGTTGTGAGATGAGCGGAAATACGTGAGATGAGTTGTGTGAGTTGTGAGATGAGTGGAGTAGTGTGAGATGAGTTGTGTGAGTTGTGAGATGAGTTGTGTGAAAGAACTTGGGTGAAGTTCAGTGAGAGAACACGAAGCAGCTCCACCAAATGCCACACGAAAGCAGCTCTTGAGAGAGTTGAGTTGTGTGAGATGAGTTGAGTGAGATGAGTTGTGTGAGATGAGTTGTGTGACTTGTGAGATGAGAGGAGTTGTGTGAGATGAAATGTGTGCATTGTGTGAGACAACTTGAGTGAAGTTGAGAGAGAAAGAAGCAACTCAGGAGGAGAAGGAGGAGAAGGCAAGGAATACAAACCTAAAAACAAAAGCCCCACACAGAGATGTGAGGAAAAAAAGCATAACTTGATGAGTTGTGTGATGATGTTTAAAAAAAAAGCTAGAAGAAGAATCATGTTACAGAGATACAATGACAAAAACACACAACAAAAACGTGCACAGACGACCAACCGTCTGACGTGCACAGACGACCCACTTTTGACGTGCACAGACGAACCCTGAACCAGCGTGCTGGGAGGGGTGTGCTGCTCTGGGCAAGGTATAGATGCACAGCAGAATGCCTAGGCAGAATGCTGATGGATGGTACATTAACATACATTAAGCGCAACCATGTGCAAGGTAATTAGACTGCAGTAGGTTCGGTCAACATGCTTAGAACCCGGTTATGAACACAACACCATGCTAACGGTCAAGCCACAATCAACCCGAAACGCAAACAGGTGCGAGAGCTGCGCAACATTTGGGCAATGCAAATGCAGACGTCAATGCCATTACCCAGATTTAAAGACCTCAGAAAGTGAAACAGTAAGGACGACCACGCCACAGCAATACTTAGAAACCTGTTTTTGATATTGAGGTTGTTTGCCAGGATATAGTGATATGAGATATTGTAGCGGCACTGTTGTGGTAGTGGTATTATTGCAGTATATGATTAGGGGTATGGCTGAGGTTCTGGTATGCTGTGGTAATGTTGTGACGGTGGTGTTGTGGTAATGGAATTGTGTGGTTGTGGTATGTTACGGTCGTGTTGTGGTGCGGTGTCGTGGCAACGGTGTTGTTCTGGTTGTGGCTGTGCCGTGGCGAAGGCATTGTTGTGCTAGTGGTATTGATGCGGTAGTGGTGGTGTTGTGGTACAGGTAGTGCTGTGAGTATGTTGTGGTTGGTATTTGGTACGTTGCAATATACGGCGTATATGCTATGTTGCATGTTTGGAATAGTATTTCTGTGGTTGTGAAATACTGGTCAATTGCGGTGTCTGCAGCTCCAAAGCTTCTCTTCTGAAGACTTTTCAGCAACTTCTGGCCCCAATTAGCAACAACACATACCCTCCCTTCCGCTCACGTGGACGTGGAGGCCAAAAAACGTACCACTAACATGGACGTGCATCTGGTCAAAACCAGTAAATTCTCACTAACAAGGACGTGGTCCGCCCGGAATTTCGCTAACAAGGACGTGGTGCATCTGGTAAAAACCATCAAAATTTAGCTAACAAGGACGTGGTCCTCCCAAAATTTAGCTAAAAAGTGTACACTAACATGGACGCTGCAAATTTTCATATTTTGGTAAGTTCCCCGGGAATGACGCCATGGCTGTACACCCAAACCTAAAAACGTCTATGGTATAGCAACACCTGACACTTGGACTATCTTGGACTTGACTCCAAAAGGCTCATTCCTTGGCACGTGAGACCTACGAGATCTTCTTCGAGATGGTGTTAAACGAGATATTTACTTTCAATTGATTTCAATTGATTTCAATTATATAAGTTCAATTGATTTTCATTTGATTTCAATTTAGTTTGAATTTATGTTCAATTGATTTGGCATAAAAATACCATAGGAATCCCACAGAAATCCCATAGAAAGATCATAGAAACATCATGCAAGTCCCATAGGAATGCCATAGGAATCTCATAGAAATCCAATGGTAATACCATAAAATATCATAGAAATCTAATAGAAATATCATGGAAATCCCACAGAAATCCCATAGAAAAATCATAGAAATACAATATATAGAGATCCCATAGAAATCTGATAGAACTCCAATGGAAATCGCACAGACATCCCTTTGAAATCCCAGAGAAATTCCAAAGAACCACCATGGATGGAAATCCCATAGAATTCACACAGGAATCCAGCAAAAGTCCCATAGTAATCCCATAGAAATATCATGGAAATACTGAAATACCATAGAAATCCAATAGGAATCCAATGGAGATCCCATAGATATCCTTTTGACACCCCATAGGAATCCCATAGAAATACCATCGACATCCCTTTAGAAATTCCATAGTAATCCCATAGAAATATCATAGAAATACCATGGAAATCCCTCAGGAATCCAACAGAAATCCCATAGAAACATCACAGAACCACCACAGAAATTCCAAATAAACCTCATGGAGATCCCATAGAATTCCCAAAGAAATCCTCTAGAAATATCATAGGAATCCAATAGAAATATCATGGACATCCCAAAGAAATCCCATAGGAACCACAAAGAAATCCCATAAGAATCCCATAGAATTCCCTTTGACATCCCATAGTAATCCCATAGAAATATCAATAAATATCATAGAAACATCATGGAACTCTCATAGAAATGCCATAGGAATCCCATAGGAACCCCATAGGAATCCCAAAGAAATCCCATAGAAACATCATAGAAATGCCATAGAAATCACACAGGAATCCAATGGAAATCCCGTAAGAATACCATAGAATTCCCATAGCATCCCTTCAGAAATCCCATAGTAATCTCATAGAAATATCATAGAAACATCATGGTGCTCTCCTAGAAATACCATAGAAACCCCATAGCAATCCAAAGGAAATCCCATGGACATCCTTTTGGATTCCCATAGGATTCCCACAGAACTACCATAGACACACCTTTAGAAGCACCATAGAATATCATAGAAGCACCATGGAAATTACATAGAATTTCCATAGAAACTTTATAGAAATACCATAGAAATCAATGAGATGATGCCAGGAGAATTGAACTAAGTAAGAGACAAATGATATAGCAAAGGGAAGGAGAAAATGATTTTGTTAAGAAAACAATCACTTCAAAAAAAGCTGGACACAATAGACGACCTCCACAACAAACATATACTATTGAAGATCAAGGTTGCTGATGGGCTACCCCCTTGAAAAAATGTTTGAGTGCTGTTTTAATAAGACCTCCTATAGTTTGGGAAATTAGACATTTTGAGATTTCCAAAAGAATGGAACTAAGAAAGTAAAAAGAGAAAAGCTTTAGCAAAGGAAAGGAAAAGGAAAGGAGAGAAGGATTTTGGGAAAAAACACTTCAAAAACAATTTGTACACAATAGAGGACCCCCACAACAAACATACTATTGAAGATCAGGGTTGCTCATGGACTACCCCCTTGAAAAATTGTTTGGGTGCTGTTTTTGATTGGGTTTTAATAAGGCATCCTATAATTCTCTTTTTTGTATGTTCAAAAACATGTTGCAGGTATTCATTAAATAATCAACTAATTAATCTTAATTAAATCAAATGAAAAAAAAACTCCAAAGGTGAAACATATAGACTAAACAAATGCTGGACACAAAAAATTGGCCGCAGAAAAAAGTTGACACAATAGTGGACCCCCCATACAATTCCACTGACCCAGAATTATTTTGGGAAAACTTGACACAATAGTGAATCCTTATACTAATCGGCGTCAAATTTCAACCACCCATACTGTATTGAACCCAGACCAAAACCTCCAGAACAACGTAGAACAACCATCCCAGCACATTTTCCCGGAACCTGCACCAAAATCTCCGCAACCAGCCAGGAACCTGCACCGAAGCCTCCTTGGAACCGGAACCTTCCCCGAAACCTCGAAAACCAGCTCGAACCACCGGACTGTGCCCGGAACCTGCTTATCTGGGCTGAGACCCCTAAGCTAACGCTGCTGGGGAAAAACGAAACAGGGAGTTCAGAGCAATTGAATGCAATTAACCAACAACGTGTCGAAGTTAGAACTGTCAGGAATTAAATCAGCAAAAACCAACGATTCTCTCCAGAGCAGCTCCCTTAGAGAAAAGTCGCCGTGGTGAAGTCTTTTCTCATCTCCGCGAACATCGCCAATTCATCCAACCAGCCGTGACTCTGCAACAAGTGGTAGATTGTCGCATGAACCTAAATGGCTTGCAGAGATGTTGGAAGACACATGGCATGCCATGGCATGGCATGGCATGACATGACATCAATGACTCTTACAGGATTCAAAGGGAGGTGAAAAGGCATCTATGATCATCTATATAATATAAGAATAATATAAGATAATATAAGATCATCATGATCTTCTCTAATCAATTCAGGGTTAAATACGGGTTACAAAAATGGTTATAATATGTTTACAATGGACAGTGATTGCAGCAGAGATGTTGCGGCTGGGAACGTCAAGCTCAGTACATTCTCGAAGAAGCTCTGAAAGCTGCTGCCGCTCCAGCGCCAAGGTCTCCAGATCTTCGGCTTGGCCTTAGGCAACTTGTGCGGCTCCCTGGGATGAAGCCATCAGGACTCAAAGCCACACAAAACCACAGAAAAATACAAAAAAAAAAATGAACAGCTGCCTTTCATCTCCTGTCATTACACTTTTATACAAATAATGTCCCTCAAAAGCTACGAACTTCTTTTTCTGGCGTCTCTTTCTGCAAGCACTTTGTAAAATTGCGCAAAAGGTCTAGGGAAAAATGGGAAAGTATTGTGGCATTGAGCTGTACTATGCTGTGATAGCGTGCAAGCATGTGCAAGCATGTGCAAGCTTGGACCCAGGCGTAGTTCATTCAGTCTGGCCAGAGAGATCTCTACAGCCCAAACACTGAGCAGCGAGCGCGTGACCTGCAACAAACCCACAAAACATCGTCTTATCATTGTTAATAAAATATGAGGGTTGGTGAATCGCAATTGCATAAACCTCCAGATTGAAGAAATTCATTGCCCATCATCTGCCACAGATATCTACATTACACAATCAATGTAATGTGGTACCAGTATGACAAAGGGTCAACTCAACTTGGGATTTCCCACGATTTCCCCAAAGATTTCTTGAAATTTCTTCTGAACCCCGCCTGGTCGTCAGCATTTTTCAGGCGGCAACGAAGATATTCCAGCAAGCCGGCTTTCTTGCCTCCGAGAAAGCGCAAGGCAACATGCTCAAACCTCGGAAAAACTCAAAAAGATCTCAAAGGGCGGTTCGGCTGTTCCATTCAATATGAGTGTGGGCGTGCTGCGGTGGTATATCCAATAATTCTATATAAATTTATCATCAATTATTCCCCCATAATCCCCCTACCATTATCCGCAAACCACAATGAAGCCAAGCAATAAAGTAAGGATTGTTAGCTGGAACATTGAAACAATCACACCCAAAACTGCTCAAATCGCAATTGTTTGGCCAAGGTGCCCCAAGTGAAAACAAGAAGAGGTGAGAACCCAAGGCCGAACATGCTGAAACATTTCCGAAACATTGCTGAAACATGCTGAAAGATGATCACATGATATCACATGATATCACGTGCCAAGAGTCGGGACTGTAGACTCTGCAAACTTCCTGGCAGCTTGGATCTCCATGCCGGGCTTCCGAAACAAACAATCTGCATGCGTTGCTAAAACACGCATGCGCTGCGAAGGTCGTTTGCCTTGGAAAGGAGATGATGTCAGTGTGAGCTCAAGCAGTAAGCATTAGTAAGCATTGGGATAGTCGTAGGCTGAATCGGTGGGAACCATTTGAAACAATCGCGACAACTTAGTATATATATTTTTCAAGGTGTCCAATTTTTCAAAAGCAATGAAATCATATGAAATCCATCCAAATGCATACTTGCAAGATGTTGCAAGCATGATTAAGATTGCTGTGACGTGCGATTCTCGACTGATGCTGAGGCGTAGAATGATGCAAATGCAAACTTTACGCACCTTCCTGATCTTTCCTTTGTGTTGTGTTTTTCCGGACATATTCAGAAAGCACCGCCTTCCTTCCCGTCTTCCCTCAAGTACAACTCCCAAATATGCACGTGCTTACAACTGTTCAATCAGCAAAGCTCTGGCAGCTAGTTGCAGCGAAGGGGCAAGCGGACAGTGCATCGTCAAACTGCTCCAGTCTCAGGAGCAGTGCCCAAACATTGCCTTGGATTTGCCGTCCCTGCCCTTTGCTACATGAATGCTACATGTTGTAACTGATGCCACAGTGATAGCCTGCAATACATTTAGTGTTTTTTCTGGAGGGACGAGAGTTAGTCTGAATATGTCTGAATCATGTGCTCACACTAATCGCTATCCGCAAAGAAAGAAAAATCACAACACCCACTGTACCAGGTGTGGGAAATTGGCCACTGAGAAAACAACCTCCCGGATCATCGGAAAAGTTCCAAAAAAGGCAAGGGTCATAGTGCCCCACTTGCGGGAAAGTTGCGATCTTCTTTCTCCGTGTGTAGCCCGAATGCATGTCTTTCAGAACAAAGCCAAAGCTTCTCGCCATACAAATCCCTTGCAACACCACGCAATGGCCCATATGTAGACATTGCCCAGTCCTGCTGTTGGATTACCTCACCAAAGAAGGACAATTGTGCGACACTCTGAATTCCACCCGAGCTAAATACTTACTCTATCTTACTCTGCAGCTGTAAGCCTTGGACATGGGAGATGGCACTAGTTTAAGTGTCTGAGACTTGGTCAACCAACATGAGAGCAGCAAGTAACTCACCCTCAAAGAAAACTGTTCGAATTGATGGGCTGCATTTGACAAAAGGACCTGCCCGCATAATTAATGATGTTGTCAAGCACTTGCAACCAAGGTACTTCATGAGTAATCCTGCTGACAGCTATCCATCCTCAGTTCTATCAGTTGCACCTTCCCAGCTCCGCAACAGCGTAACAATCCCCACAGGACACATTGATCAACCCCAACCACCCGCCCATCAAGACCATTATAATACTGTATCCATTACACTTCCCAAAACTGACATGGAACTGCATGCTTTTGCTGGGGTCCCCTAACATGAACCTATGGTGCGGTCTCAAGTGGATTTTGTTCCCAAGGAAATCATGCAACTAACTTGTTTAATAAAATCACTCCAAACTGACATGGGACCTAATGCAGGCCCAAACTGAACCCAAACTGCACCCTGAAACAGCCAACATGGAATTTGAACAAGTCATCACAAAACGATCTGCAGCCTTGAAGTTTAATTTGAAGTTTAACCTGCAACCCAAATGGTTTTTAAGGGGTGGTTCTTGCAAATTCCATGTTAGTGACTTTCGGGCGACCCTATTTTTCACTTCATTTCACTTCGTATTGCGCTCACGACGCTCACAGTATCATGCTTTGAAACTGGGTGGGGCCATCGCAATACCAGTTAAACATAGCACCCGGATGCACCCGGCAAATTATGTGGAAATCAATTGAAAGTTTTCTCTGTCTCCGGCAACTGAATGGCTGATGACTCCGGGAACTGGATGGCCTTCCCGGAACTGTTGGTTGAGCACTAAACTTTTTACCTACCAGGTCCAAGGCGTGCCCATTTAGGTTCCAAGTTGGGTTCCAGGTTGGTTTGAAAAATCAACTAAATGCACATAGACAAAAGAAACAGAAATACAGACGATAAGAATCTTAGCGTCTGTATCGTTTTCCTCTTCTTTTTTAATGTGTCTCAAGCTCTACATAACTTGAGAAGGGGTGACACGAAAGGTAGTTGTGTCAGACGTTATAACTCTGATCGTCGTTGTGATGTGACTCCAGCTTGGGTGGTTCATGAACCGTGGACGGGCATGAAACTGGACATTCATAGCTGAACGAAGATATCTGGATCCGAAAAGAGGGCACCCCACGATTGCCATGGTTGATCATCACTTAGTCTATTTAAAGAGCCATTTGGAGGTATATTGTCTGACACACGCATCGCGCGGGGAAAAAAAACACGGTCAGTGTTAGCACAAACCCCAAAGTCGCTTTTGCGGTACCTATGGATGCTCGAACCTGTCAGTTTCATCGCACCGTTGGGTACGGGGCAAATGGATGTCGAAAAATCCGAATGTCAAGTCGAATGATGATGATGATGATGATGATGATGATGATGATGAGGATGAGGATGATGACGATGATGCTGATGATGAGACACTGCGAAGGGGCTGCTGCGTGAAGAGACGCACAAGGCATGTGACGAGAGTTCACTTGGGGGGGGGGCATGGAACTGGACATTCAGAGCAGAGCGGAGATATCTGGATCCGAAAAGAGGGCACCCCACGATTGCCATGGTTGCTCATCACTTAGTCCATTTAAATAGCCATTTGGAGGTATACATTGTCAGACACACGCATCGTGCGGGGGAAAAAAACACGGTCAGTGTTAGCACAAACTCCAATGTCTCTTTTTGCGGTACCTATGGATGCTCGAACCTGTCACTTTCATCGCACCGTTGGGTACTTGGAAAATGGATGTCGAAAAATCCGAATGTCAAGTCGAATGATGATGGTGATGATGAGGATGATGATGATGTTGATGATGATGATGGTGATAATGACGAGACACTGCGAAGGGGCTGCTGCGTGAAGAGACTCACCAGGCATATGGCGAGAGTTCCCTTTGCGGGGGGGGAGGGGGGGGCTCTGATTGTCGTTGTGATGTGACTCCAGCTTGGGTGGTTCATTGACCGTGGACGGGCATGAAACTGGACATTCATAGCTGAACGAAGATATCTGGATCCGAAAAGAGGGCACCCCACGATTGCCATGGTTGATCATCACTTAGTCTATTTAAAGAGCCATTTGGAGGTATATTGTCTGACACACGCATCGTGCGGGGAAAAAAACCACGGTCAGTGTTAGCACAAACCCCAAAGTCGCTTTTGCGGTACCTATGGATGCTCGAACCTGTCACTTTCATCGCACCGTTGGGTACGGGGCAAATGGATGTCGAAAAATCCGAATTGCAAGTGGAATGATGATGATGATGATGAGGATGATGACGATGATGCTGATGATGAGACACTGCGAAGGGGCTGCTGCGTGAAGAGACGCACAAGGCATGTGACGAGAGTTCACTTGGGGGGGGGCATGGAACTGGACATTCAGAGCAGAGCAGAGATATCTGGATCCGAAAAGAGAGCATCCCACGATGTCCATGGTTGCTCATCACTTAGTCCATTTAAATAGCCATTTGGAGGTATACATTGTCAGACACACGCATCGTGCGGGGGAAAAAAACACGGTCAGTGTTAGCACAAACTCCAATGTCTCTTTTTGCGGTACCTATGGATGCTCGAACCTGTCACTTTCATCGCGCCGTTGGGTACTTGGAAAATGGATGTCGAAAAATCCGAATGTCAAGTCGAATGATGATGGTGATGATGAGGATGATGAGGAGGATGACGATGATGATGTTGATGATGATGATGGTGATGATGACGAGACACTGCGAAGGGGCTGCTGCGTGAAGAGACTCACCAGGCATATGGCGAGAGTTCCCTTTGAGGGGGGGGGGAGGGCGGGGGTCCCTTTCTCCTGGTCGTTCAAGGATAAGGGGTCCAGCCCGCCCCTTTGCTTCGCAAAGTAAAACTCAAGGTAGCCCGCTAGGAGGCTACCTTTCGTGACATAATCTTACAGTTTCTCATTTCACAATGGTGGGAGGACCTCCGGGCGCCAAAGCCACGGGGACAACGGGTTCCAAGTTGGGTTCCGGGTTGACACGACGGGAAACACAACAGGACACACGACGGGGGGAGACACAACGGCTCCAGGACTTCAACCAGTGGAGGTCCATTTCACCAGGGGTAACACGGAGTAACTACAACGGGGAGGAACGGGGTAACACAACAGGGTCAACACAACGGGAGGGAAACAATGGGAACATGAGAAATGACACGTTTATGGTGGGTAAATAAGAACAAGCTACTTGTGTAACATTAATATTATATGAGCTCTTTACTTTTTGATGTGTATTTTTAAATTTAAATATGTGCTTCAATGTGTGTTTAACCTAGAATGTGCTTCAATGTGTTTATTTCATATGCATGTTTTTATGTTACAGAAGATGTCAGATAGAATGTCAGAATATTTCTCAAAGAAATTTTCAGGTAAAATGTCAGAATATTAATATTTAATTAAGTTTTTAAAAGTCTGGGGATAAATGGGGATAAAAGTCTGCAGCTGAAACCTTAGAACATCTTAGAACAAATATCTTACATGTGTATGCTCTACATGCATAATATATATATATACCTGGAGAACCAAAACCCTAAGAATTCTTCGGGTCAATGCTAGAACCTGAGGTATTTCGGAAAAACAGGAAAACCTCGGTTTTCGATTGAAGACCTCGGGTATTGATTTTGAACCCGTACTTAACCCGTACCTAACCCGTACCTAACCCGTACTTAACCCGTACTAACCCGTACCTAACCCGTACTTTCTAGAAACACCTCTGTTCTTTTAACCATTCTACTTCCTATTCTGGAAGCACCACGCTTCTAATCATTTGATGATATTTGCTCAATCCACCAATCTTCCTGTAGTCATGCCACCTGCTCTCCCGGAATCAATTTTTTGATGGTCATCCAATCTGCGACCCTGAGGTAACATGTTTTTATTGTCGCAGGCCTATGTCTTAGAAACACTCCACTGTAGTCAGTCATTCCTTCTGTCAACAGTCAATAGAATGGGCATCCAGCAAAAGACGCCACAAATAATGAATCAATGGAAGCGGTTGCCAAATTGTTCACAAAATGGAAATGTTTGCGAAGATGCTCACGAATCTCTCTTCTTTCCCCTTGGCCGTGTCTTCTGAGGCTTCAGCAGGTCCCACTATCCCCGCAACTACAAGCAAGGGACCCCTGGAAAATCATCCCAAACCTTTTTCATAGGTCTGAAGTGGAGGTCTGAAGTGGTTGCACCAAGGGATTGACAACACCAGGGTCTAGAATGATAAAATGAACCCCTGGAACACGGAAAGGTCTAGAATGATGGGTCTGAAATGGCTTGACAGCATTAAAATGATTGGGTCTAAAATGGTCTGCCATCACAACCGGAACCAGGTTTCTCATATATTGGCCATTGGCATCAAGGGTCTGAAATGGTCGTCACCTAGGTTTCAATTCCAAAATCATTCTTCAACAAATGGGGAAAACCAAAGTAGACCCTATGGAGCCCCTCAAGCTTAGACCACATCAAAAAACTATGAAAACATAATGACCAACTATAAACATGTATAAGTGGCCATATATATATATACAACATCATATACTGTAGTAATAACTTTGTTTTTTCTCATATATTGGCCATTGGCATCAAGGGTCTGAAATGGTTGTCCCCTGGGTTTCAATTCCAAAATCATTCTTCAACAAATGGGGAAAACCAAAGTAGACCCTATGGAGCCCCTCAAACTCAGACCATATCAAAAAACTATGAAAACATAATGACCAACTATAAACATGTATAATGAATGTCTGCGATTACAGAGTGGCCATATACATATATATATATACAGCATCATATACTGTGACAACTTTGTTTTTTCTCATATATTGGCCATTTGCATTGCTGAACCACCAGCTGTACCCTCCCAAAATTTATTCTGTCTATTCCTGCATGGGTTTACTTGTAGAACAAACGTGTAATCATATTTGAAGAAATGGTTTTACCTACATACATGTGCAAGGTTTGAAATGGTTTTACCTACATACATGCGCAAGGTCTGAAATGGTTTTACATGTATACATGTGCAAGGTCTGAAATGGTTTTACCTATATACATGTGCAAGGTCTGAAATGGTCTGACCACTAGGCTGACCAAGGTCTAGAATGATAGGTGTACCATTCTAGACCTTCATAACGAAACCCCCAGGGGGGGTCCCATTCTAGACCTTTAGTAGTTGGGGGGATGTCCCACTGTGATTCCAGCCGCCCCTTGGCCTCGGCCGCCCTGTCGCGAGCTGCGGGGAGCATTACCTTGCGTTCAAGAGAGTGTCGTTGGCCATGGGCTGGGTTGCTCCCCGGCGACATCAGGAATCGTATCTTAAGCTGACAATGTGATTTTTTTTGGGAGCGGCTTTTCGATGGAGCCGCGCCTGCCACTCCGACAGGATTCGGGTCACCGTCTGCTCCTTCCTCCTAAGGGCTTCCGGGTGCCTGCAGGGCGTGGGTTGGGACACGGCGACATCAAGATCGGGCTGGGCACCAAGAGAAGTGATGCTATTATGGCAAGCACGCAGTAGAGGTTTCAGAATTCATCGGACTTCTTCTAGAAGTGGGCCTATGGTCGGTTTTTCAGCCACCGCATGTTCTAATTCTGATCATCCTGCGGGGGCATTCACCTCATTTTCTCATTTTCGGACCCCGAATGTAACAGGGCAAGCTCTATCGCAGCCAGCCTCTGCATGACCACGGACAGTGTCTGCAGAAGCTGCTTGGTGGAAGCCCCACCCGCATTGTGGCAGTAGGTCGGCCACATACGCCCTCACAGCGGTGCTACCCGGAGGGACACTCTGGCGGCAGCGGGTGCACCAGCACCCCCGCTCGGTCTTGCAGAGGGACCGTGGGGTTTGGTCCCGCCCGGCCGGGCGCGAGTAAGGCACCAAGTTGGCGCCGGTCTCCTGGCGACAACATGGTCGTTTCATGTCTGTTTTAGCTGGACGCAAGTGGTGAGTGACATGACCGGCATTGTCCGCTCAGGAAATGTTCTGCTCCCAAGGTGAAGAAGACTCCTAGCCTAATTAGATTACCGAGAAAATATGTTGGCACGCGCCTCGCGCTTGTTTTCTGGACCGTATTGGTGTGGAGGGGGGTAGGAGCCCGCGATCTCATCGTCGAACAACATCCCTTCGAGACCGTTTGGGCAGCTTTCCTACCTGGTGTCAGCCCTCAACGCTGCGGAGGGAATGACAAAAACGTGTCCCAGTCAAAATTAAAAATTCAAGAAGTCAGACGTGTTGGTCACGTTTGAAGAAAAGAGCGCCGTGATACCTTATTTTTATCGGGGTGCCAATTCATTATGTGAAGCTGTGCAGGAGTTTTAGAGCGGTCTAACTTTTGTGCATAGGCCTCAGGCTTTAAAATGCACAAAAACAATGAAAACTGGCTCTGCAATAAAATGCCTTGCCACCAAATTCATGCTTGAATGTGCATCCAACATCATCCAATTTCATCCAATTTTGAAGACCTTCAGAAACGCATCTTTAAAAAGGGGTCAGGAAATTCTTTTTAGATAGGGGTATTTTAGAGTGAAGGTGCCCAAATATTAAGTGTTTTCTTTTCTTTATAGCATTTTATAGCAACAAAATACGGTGGCATTCTTTCGTGGCAATTCCTTAAAAATCCTTAAAAGTCTTTTAAATTCCTTAAAATTCCGAAAAACTCCTTAAAATTCCTTAAATATCCTTTAAAATTTAAAAAAAATTACAAGATCCTTAAAAATCCTCCAAATTCCTTCAAATTCCGTCAAATTCCTTAAAGTTCCTCTAAGATTCCTTAAAACTCTCTAAATTCCTTAAATTTCCTTATAATTCCTTTAAAATGCCTTAATAGTCCTTATAATTCCTTTAAAATTCCTTAATATTCCTTAAAATTCGCTGATCTAAAATGACATGCCCAACAAAATCGATATAAAAAGATCCTGGAAAAGCATTGGTTCCATTCTGCAATAAAATGCTCCAAACAGACTTTTTTTTGCAATAAAATGAGAATGGAATTTTAACATGTTAAAAATCATCAGGATTTACCTTTACAATAAAATGCTTAGCCCAACCCCCCAACAATAAAATGACTAGCCTGACATCAATTTTAAAATTCCAATACATTAAGAATTTCGTTTAAACTATGCACAGATTCACCAGTTCTATAGTGGAAATTGCCACGGGGATTTATTTTTCACTTCCTTTCACTTCGTATTGCGCTCACGACGCTCACGGTATCATGCTTTGAAACTGGGTGGCACATCGCAATCCCAGTTAAACATAGCACCCGGATGCACCCGGCAAATTATGTGGAAATCAATTGAAAGTTTTCTCTGTCTCCGGCAACTGAATGGCTGATGACTCCGGGAACTGGATGGCCTTCCCGGAACTGTTGGTTGAGCACTAAACTTTTTACCTACCAGGTCCAAGGCGTGCCCATTTAGGTTCCAAGTTGGGTTCCAGGTTGGTTTGAAAAATCAACTAAATGCACCTAGACAAAAGAAACAGAAATACAGACGATAAAAATCTCAGCGTCTGTATCGTTTTCCTCTTCTTTTTCCCGAATGCGTAGCAAGGGTTCTCGTTTCACTCTGGGGGTCTGGGGGTTGAGGGTGTGTTCGCTCGACGTTGCGTTTGTGGTCGCAACCGTCCGCAACCGTCCGCAACCGTTCGCGCGATCCCCGTATGGCCGTGCCTATGGGAAGTTTTGCAGGGGTGGTCCTTTTTGGAGGTTTCAGACGTCTGGTTGCTTCGTTTCGCGTGGCAGGCGTGGCACTTCGTGACATTCAGACGTGTTCTGGAACGTGTCGAAAGTCGTTTTGCGTGGCAGGCGCAATACTTTTGCGACGTTTTCAGAAGATGTGTAGCAGTTTTCGTGGCAGGCGCAACACTTTGGACGTGTCCATCGTCATTTTTCGTGGCAGGCGCAGCACTTTAGACGTGCCGTGTTGCGTGTTTTTTGCAAATCGCATTGGCAGGGCTGCGTCAAGTGGCGACAAGGTGCAAATTCCGTGGCGGTCGTGGCATTTTGTGCGATGTGCTGAAAATTGACGGAAGCCTCGCACGAAATATTGATTTTGAGGTTGCAAATTTTCAGGTTCTAAGGAAAACTCGTAGGAAAACGTCGATTTTGAAGCTACAAAGTGTGAAAATTGGAGGAAGTCTCGTACGAAATGCAAGTTTTTCTGCACCCACGTGTCTCGTCTCCAGTTGCTGGTTTTCCTATGGCGTCGCCGTGTCTATGGGGAAAGCTGGAAAACCTGTCCTTTTGTCATGTTGCCAACGGTGAAAATTGCCGGATGTATCGCACAAAATGCTCGTATTACTGCATCCATGCGTCTCGTCTCGAGTCGCTGGTTTTCCTGTGGCGTCGCCATGTCTAATGGGGGAAGCTGGAAAACCTGTCCTTTTCGAATGTGTCCAAGCAGGTTGTCATGTCGTTTTGCGTGGCAGGCGTGGCGCTTTGTGACATTCCAAACTTGTTTGATAATGTTTTGAAAATGTCAAAATTGGAGGAAGTCTCGTACGAAATGCTGTTTTTTCTGCATCCACGTGTCTTGTTTCGAGTCGCTGGTTTTCCTGTGGCGTCGCTGTGTCTATGGGGGAAGCTGGAAAACATGTCCTTTTCGAATGTGTCCAAGCAGGTTGTCATGTCGTTTTGCGTGGCAGGCGTGGCACTTTGTGACATTCCAAACTTGTTTGATAATGTGTTGAAAATGTCAAAATTGGAGGAAGCCTCGTACGAAATGCTGGTTTTTCTGCATCCACATGTCTTATCTCGAGTCGCTAACATTGTTATCTTCAACATACGTGTGAGCATTCGGGTTCGTGGGCTTCATCTTGTTTAATGTGTCTCAAGCTCTACATAACATAATCTTACAATTTCTCATTTCACAACGGTGGGAGGACCTCCGGGCGCCAAAGCCACGGGGACAATGGGTTCCAAGTTGGGTTCCGGGTTGACACGACGGGAAACACAACAGGACACACGACGGGGGGAGACACAACGGCTCCAGGACTTCAACCAGTGGAGGTCCATTTCACCAGGGGTAACACGGAGTAACTACAACGGGGAGGAACGGGGTAACACAACAGGGTCAACACAACGGGAGGGAAACAATGGGAAAATGAGAAATGACACGTTTATGGTGGGTAAATAGAACAAGCTACTTTTGTAACATTAATATTATATGAGCTCTTTACTTTTTGATGTGTATTTTTAAATTTAAATATGTGCTTCAATGTGTGTTTAACCTAGAATGTGCTCCAATGTGTTTATTTTATATGCATGTTTTTATGTTACAGAAGATGTCAGATAGAATGTCAGAATATGTCTCAAAGAAATTTTCAGGTAAAATGTCAGAATATTAATATAGTTAATTAAGTTTTTAAAAGTCTGGGGATAAATGGGGATAAAAGTCTGCAGCTGAAACCTTAGAACATCTTAGAACAAATATCTTACATGTGTATGCTCTACATGCATAATATATATATATACCTGGAGAACCAAAACCCTAAGAATTCTTCGGGTCAATGCAAGAACCTGAGGTATTTCGGAAAAAATAAGAAAACCTCGGTTTTCGATTGAAGACCTCGGGTATTGATTTTGAACCCGTACTTAACCCGTACCTAACCCGTACTTAACCCGTACTAAGCCGTACTTTCAGAATGGGTTAAAATACCCCGGGTTTTGTCAGAAAAGCTCAGGTATTTTTCAAACCCTAAGATTTCTGCGGGTTTTGGTTCTCAAGGTATACCAAATTGCTACCACGACGGCTACCTTACAACGGGAAGGCCACAACGAGAAAATGGCGGCTAACATGGAACTTTTGGTTGAGCACTAAATGGCAGCTTGTGGGGTCCTATGTTAATATGACAAGTAGCCAAAAAATGCCTGAACATATCAAAATTCACCAGCACATACCAACACCAACATGGCACCTACCTGGCACTTATCCCGCTCATGAATTTTAACCTGGGTGCGCTAACATGGAACCCAATTCTAGTTATTCAGTGTTGTACAACGTTAGCTTTCGGGAGAGTAATAATTTGTGTTGTGATGTATTGCATATACAGTCAAGTCATGTCACGTTTTTAATAAGTAAAGTGGTATAGTATAGGGGACACAAATGCACCTGCACTGCCAATGACATGTTTCAACTCCAGGCGTCGATCTTCAAAGACAAAGATGATATGATAGCGAGTCAAAGCCATGGACCGTGGCGCTGGTGGCCTAGGGCGGCTGGCGCAGGGTGTTGCATGCGAATGCAAATTCCAGGTCACTCCACGCCTTGACTCAACCTTTTAGCCTGAACTATCCTGAACTTCAAAACACTTAGAACCCGAATAACACACTGGCACTTATCGAATAAAATTCCTCTCTGCCGGTCCACAGCCCTTTTGGATCCATTGCTACCTCCAGGACTTCTTCTGGCCAACACCCGGCACGTAGCAGTCATGAATCGAGACGAACGCAAAAATTATGGCAATGGCAAGTGTCACGCCAAGACACGGTGGAGCAGGTAAAAAGGGTGACACCACACCACCATTTGCAGCAGCTGCCTTGCTTGGGAAAGGAACCAGACCAGGCGGCGACTCTAAGACGGCTGAAGTCATCTGCACCGCATCCTGGTGGCACTTTGGAATTGTTTGTGCAGGGATATGGATGGAATGCCTTTGGGAATGTGTCTGAGTCTGGTTGCCTCCAAGAAAACTATATAATGACATGGTCATGTCATCATGTATGCATGTTTTACTTATTAATGGTTATATATATATATATATTTATTTATTTATCTATTTATTATATATTTTTATATTTTATATTTTTATATTTTTATATTTGTATTTATTTATTCATTTATTTATTAATTTAATTTCATTTATTTATATCCGTGTGCATTATATAGCGTCAGCATATTGAGGTGCAAGTGGATACATTGTGCTTTGCTGCAATGCGCACTCTGCGCGATGTTTTCCCCTCCATTTGCCCAGGAATTTCTTTTTGATGGCTAATAATTCCAATGTCCTCATCAATAGTAGACTGCACCTTCGCCGCTAGAACTCCCACGCCAGTAAGCCAAAAGAGCACTTTCGTGCCAGGAGGTCCCACACATGCTTCATCTATTTGAAGATCACCTGACATGCTCATGACGCTCATGGCGTTGGACCCTCCAGCTGCAGCTATGAAGCATCACAAGGCAAAGGAAAAGAAACCATCAGAAAAAAGCTCACAATCTGACTAAAACATACTAAAACATAGTACTGTACAGTAGGTTCATCATATTCATCAGGATTTTATTTATTCTATATTCCATGATGCGAAACAAGCTGTCAGTTTATGTCAGTTTACTACACCGGCAGTTCTCACCACATCTAGGCACCCCGGCCATAAGGTGAGTCAAACGGGACTTCATAAATTCTGGCACGGGAAGTGACCCGCTCACCCTGGTATCGCTGAAAAAGGCTCCTCAGAGATGCCGCATGCCGCAGATTGGCAGCCCAAGTCTTGAATGCTTTGTTTTGCCACATCTTGGAACATTTAAAATGATCTAAAATGCAGGATAGTAATGGAAAGTAAATGAAAGTAATATTATAATATATTGTAAATATGTATATTTATATATATGTGTGTGTGTGTGAAAGTATTATGAAAGTAATGAATAGTGGGTGACGTGCAATGAGTCAATGAGCATCTGTTGCAAGTACTTTGACATCGCTCATTGCTTCTGGCTGCCGTGTTTCTCCAAATTAGCTCCAACAAATGCATAGAGACTGCAGCCAGCGGCTGCAAAAAGCACTAGTCTCTCCAGACCATCGGCGGTGGAGTAGACTCTTTCCTGAGAACTCTGCTTTTCTCCAAAACACACAGTGTGACATCAAAGTCCTACGCTGTGTGCCTCAGTGTCGAAGAAACTGTGGATAGCTGTGGCCTACCTTCAGAAACCGACCCTGATGAGCGCTACCCCATGCTACAACCCTGACACATCCAACACTGGCTCAGGTTTTGAACAAGTATTTGACAAGCGGCACGGTGGATGCCCAACACAGGAGCTGCACGCTCAAATTCGCAAAGTGTCTTTATGGATTTTTCCTGCGCGGCTCTTGATGCGTCCTGGTGCGTGTTCGCCCCCTAGCTGTGCTCATCTGTGCATATCTGTGCTCTGTGCAGACTGGTCACTTCTTGTCACTTCTTGGCAATTTTCAAGAACTTCCACATGCCAAGAAGTTCTTGTTCATTTTGTCCCGTTGTCCGTGATTTGCAATTCCGATTGGTTCTGGACCAGTTCTGGATGTCTCCTTCGACTCAATCACCACCTGGAGGATCTGGCCGGAGCGAGTTCCTGGGATTACGTAGCTGGAAACGTTCCAGCCGCACACGCAAATAAAACGCAGACTATGCGGGGAAACTGCCTTAGGCAATGGCAATGTTCTTATCTGACTGGGTTTGCCCTCATGCATTGTGACAAGTTGTGACACTAGAGTTCTCTTTGCTGAGTTTGGCACCCAACAGCAAGTCGCGAGTACTGGTCCACGTTGCCTCTACGTCCCAGGATGCCGACTCCAAGACTTGACCTTTTAGCTTTGGCAGTCGGACTGGCTGAGTACCTGAACGATGTGAGAGTGGATATCAATGGTGGGTCTGGGAAGTAAAACATGATCGTTCGGTCGTGGGATAGAAGGTCCACCAAGGGCCTAACAACCGAACAGTTTCAGTGCTTTGCAAGCCAAGTGGCTCTGATAATTCAAGTACCAGGTGTCTCCACTGCTATTGGTCATCAACGCATGGAAGCCGGTGGGGTCCAAGAGCACCTTGGAGATTTCACCTGTCACGAGCAGAAATCCTTGTGTCTTGCCACACGTATCACACTGTTTTCCGCCACACCGCCACACCGCATCATGACGTCGTGCCTACCCGGTCTTTTCCGAAATGAATCAAGGTGAATTCGTTTTCATCGGGGAACCATCCTGAGAGCACCATGAAAGCACATGCTGCTCACATCAAAGCCCATGCTCACAACAAGGCGACCGACCATGCGACTTGCACAAAACCAGTGCCTCTGGAACAACTATGAACAATTAAGGTCAGGGCTTGCAACCTCACCACCCTGGAAAGCCTTGGCCCGTGGTGGAGACGGTGGAGACTTTCGACAGCATGCAGCCAAGACTAAGGGAGTTCCTACTTACGGATACTTACGGCATGTTACGGTCCTAGATAATCCTAGATAGTAATGATAGTAGTTGGCTGGCAGTCTCTCTCCATCGCTGTCTCCAAGAGTTCAGCCTGAGACTTAAGGCGAGCCGTTGGCCCCGCACATAGAAGTATCATAAGCTGATCCAAATTGGATATGCACTTGGCTTTGTATGGCATGTAGCCACCATATGGGTATTTTGCAAGCGGTTTCCGAGGGGTATTGACTTCAGTCATTGAACGTAGTGAAACTGCTTTGTGCAGAAGGATGGCCCCATACTCCTTGACCTAAGGTATCTAGCATAGTCTGAACCCCTACTATACACCAATAGGAAGAACAAATATATATTAATATATATATTATATAAACTGTAATCCAAATTCAGAATCCCCTCTTTTTGCCTTACTCCACCCTCGAAGCACCTCTCATCTTCGGAAGCCCTGATTGATGCCCGACTATGCCCATTCTGATGTGGTGAAAATCTATCACAGGCCAAATGTATCCAAATGTCATTTGGTTATGTTTGGTTTCCTGTGGCAGGGGTCCTGCTCTCGGATTGCTCAACAAATGCCGTCGACCATCTTCAACCTGTCACTGGTTTGAAGCAAGGGACTGCCAACACGCTGCCACTTGCAGCTACCAGGCGGGTGAGACGTCGCTGACTTCGCCCCTGTTCTAGATCCACCTTGGAGGCTTTGAGGAAACAAAATTCCGGAATGTGACGAAATGTAGATGGGGGTCATAGTGGAATAATTGAATGATAGTATCTGATAGTAATACATTAAGTAACAGAAACTATGAATCTATGAATCCAATTGAATCTATGTACTGTAATCCGATCTAGTACCGTCAAATATATGTTAATATATGTTAATCAATTACAAATATTCGCAGAGAAGTTCTTTCCATTGGGTTGTCGGCTGTCACATGCTGTCACAAGCGCCGCAGCATCAGCACATCGATGTAATTACATCAAATGCATACAGGCCACTGGAATCGCAGTAAAGATCTGCGGGTCACCAGAGTTTCTCGCAAGCGAGCCTTGCACTTACGAGGCAATGCGAGGCAACTCTGAACTGGCAAACAGTGAGGATTCTGTAAGTCAGTCAGAGAGGCTATGGCACTGTTGCGTGGCCAGGGCTGTGAAGCTTTCACGAGACTAAACCCTGTAATTAAAACCTCTACAGCGAATGCAGCCGAGAAGGCTTTCAAACCTTCCAGCAAATCCGAGAAAGTATCAACTATGCTACGTTGTGCTGTGTTTATATGATTCACTCACTCACAGGAGTTCAACATAGTTAAACAAGATCCGGCCCAGCCCCACAAACCTTGTTCCAGGAAGGTGTCCATGTTCAGGAAAGAAAGGGCGGCCAAAACATGGTCGTCATGGCTAGCAACTTCCGCTCAAGGCAAAGCGTGACATCATGTGCCAACCCTCGAATGGGTACAAACGCTAGAAAAGGCAAAGATGTTACAGTAAAATTAAATGACTTCAGTGATATATATGCACACACACACACATATATATATATCACATGACATATGATGTACAATCACACAATAAAATAGCAGAAACATAGTATGCCGATCTTGAAACTTTGGAGACTGGTGGGTCTAAGTTGTTCGGCCAATACCAAAGTTTCCTCTAATTAGTCTGGGACTTCGCAGTTCTGATTCTAAAGGCCCCACATGGGTCTACATAGTGGCATCGAACTCATGGCTGCAAAATGACATTCCATTCGTGCCCGCTTTATGGAACAAAACAGTGAGCCTTTCATCCTCTCTGGATCTTTCGAGATTTTTACATTATTATTAATCCAGATTCATCTAGATTCTTCATGGTTGTTCTGAAATAGGCTGCAGCAGCAGCATGGCTGTACGTTGCTCTATGATACTGTACTGTATGATGCTGTATGATGCTGTATGATGCTGTATGATGCTGTATGATGCTGTATCAGTATCTGTATGAGTCTCATATCCCCATTGGGCCGTTGGATTTTGACCACCCTGCCCTAAATGCCATGCTCTAAATGGTCTCACTGTGGGGGCCCATGAGTCGATACATCAAGAGAATAGAGAATCACAAGAACAAACTTGAGGCCGGGGGTAGATGACGAAAGCTAGCGGGGTAGGAGAAAGAAGGAAGGGAAGAGGTGAGTTGCGGAGGGACTGTCATCATCGTGTCGCGGCATTGTTCGTCCCAACGAGGATGCAACAATGATATATTGATATATATGATATATAACAATGATATATATGGGGGAGGGGGCAGGGGGGGGGCCTTTCGCGGGAAAAATCACGTGATGTCCTTGGGGAGCCCCGGAATACGTGCTAAAGCAAGAAGACTCTAGCGAGCTGACGCTAGCTGTCGTGATAATGACAGTAATTGCCAATAATGATAAAATGTAATTGAATAACGATGATGATGATGATGATGATGATGATGATGATGATGAATCTGAAGAATGATGAATGATAAATGATAAATGATGAATGATGAATGATGAATGATGAATGATGAATGATGATGAAGATGATGATGATGATGATGATGATGATGACGAGGATGATGATGATGATGATGATGATGACGATGATGATGACGATGACGATGACGATGACGAGGACGATGACGAGGACGACGGCGATGATGATGATGATGATGATGATGATGATGATGATGATGATGATGATGACGAGGACGAGGACGAGGACGCGGACGATGGAGAGGACGATGACGATGATGATGACGATGATGATGATGACGATGATGATGATGATGATGATGATGGTGATGGTGGTGATGGTGATGGTGGTGGTGGGGGGGGGGCCTTTCGCGTGAAAAATCACGTGATGTCCTTGAGCAGCCCCCCCAATACTTGCTAAAGCAAGAAGACTCCAGCTAGCTGACGCTAGCTTTCGTGAATAGTTGTTGCTCCTGTTTGCAGCGAGTTCTCAACGCAATCACTTATGAACAAATGACAAGACAATACGACACAATACGATACATATTACAAATTATTACAACCTAAGCTGCAATACTTTGCACATCTTCGCACGGTTCATATGCAGCAGTCTAGACTCCAAGGTCCAGAGTCCTGTTGAGCAGTGCACCGCCTTCATAAGCCGCTGTGCTTCACGCTTCAGCGGTAATGGCAGCACCTTTGCTTCACGCTTCACCTTTGATTTGTTTAATTCATTTTAGTTCTCACTGTTCTCACACACGAGAAATTTGATGAAAATTGAAGAAGTTTGCACGAGTCAATGAACGTCGATACAACATGATACAACCAAATACAAGCACAATCAGATTCATGTGCTTCATTGGGTCCCCTGCGTAGCGGCCGCCACCGCCAGAGATCTTTCGGACAAAGTCCTCCAGTCGAGAGGAGTATACCTGGCACAAGACCGCAGTTGAATCAGAAATGCTGTGATATACAAGCGTCTGAGGGGTGCAAAGCGCAAACTGTCTGCAATATGAATCAAATTGAATCAATAGTGATCATACGAGTACAATATCATACAATATCCATCTCTCGGCATTGCGGGCAACACAAGATCTTTTCGCGTGGTGCAAGTCTATATATTATAAGGGGGTTCAACGACTGGACCGGGCGCTTCGCGACCCGACTATGGACTCACCGTGCACTGGACGTGATCCTCTAGGGAATAATCCAAGAAAGGAAGCCGCTCTTGGCATTGCAACCCAGCAATTGCATGCACTTGCCAATTGCCACTATTTGGACTCTATTGTGACGGAACAGTCTGTGAAGTAAAGAATGGCAAGTTGAACAACTCTGGCGTGCCAATCGTTTCTTTCATTTTAAGCGGCGGCATCCTGGGAGATCCAGCAGTGTGTATTACACTGCACTGGACATAATGATGCCAAAAATGGGTCTGATTCCAGGTTCCCAATTTCAAACTACAGGACAAATGCGACTCTTGCCAAAGGTGAGTCTAACCTGTAGCTAAGAAAGGCCGTTCAACGAGTTGGCCCAAACATGCCAAAATGGTCTCGCATATCGGCATCGACGATATTCCAGACCGTGAACCACTGGCAGGACATGAAGAAAGCGCGCAAGCATCGCAAAATCACAAGATATCAGTATCACAAGGAACTACCCGATTGGTGGATGGAATTTTTCGACCACCTTTACTCACGCCTTCTGCCTTCTGCAAAAACTGCTCCAAACAAAGAGCAAGAAAAAGACTCAGCGGTTTATTGGACGAGGCGGCTGAGGTCTAAGTCAGCCAATTTCTGTTGGTGACCGGTGACCTTCATTGAAACCTGTCTGTATTAATATGTATGTATATATATATATAATCTGATTTTATCTAATTACTGTAATGTACTTCCTGGAAGGATTCAATGATTCAGTGTATCAAATGTATCAAGAAAATGAAAGAATCATTGACGCACAGAAGATCTTGCTTTTAGTCCTGTTTTGCAAGCCATCATTCCGCAGCCCACTGGTTGGTATTCTCAGGGCTGCCTCCGGTCTCACTCACCCTGCAGGCGACTAAAGGATATCAAATCACATTGACATGAACATCATGAACCTCCAAAGTGTTCATTGCTGGATATTGCTGGCTGCTGAGTTCATGTTGCTTCCAGCCTCGCCATCATACTGGCCACCCAACTGTTGGAACTGCCTCACACATCGGTTACAGTATCATGGAGCGCATGCTACCCTTCACAGCGGGACCTCAATGCCACGGAAAAACACAGGGCGGGATTTTCCGGGCCATGAGACTTGGCAAGTACGGCAAGAACGGCATGTCAAATTTGTGGACTAAGCGGCTAAGACTAAGTGACTAAGAATGGTCAAATCCGACAGCACACCACCAGGGGTCACCCAGCGACACCACATCCCGATGCATCCCACTGTCCCGCTCCAATTTCCGTCCCGTCCATCTTGCCTGGACAAATAGCGCCGCATGTCACATCGCATCCTCACAATGTCCTCCATCCGAACATCTCGATCACCGCGCATGTCCAGAATAATGTTCCTTAGCTTTGTAGCTTTGTGGCAGCATCCCAGCTGCACAACCAATACTGTACCTTTGAAGCCTCTGAAGCATTGCTTAGATGTGCCTTTGTGGATCTTTGTGGTTATGGGCTGCCAAGGTGCAGAAGTTCCTCCCTTGTGACTTCTTGCTCACGGCCTTCATCAAAATCTTGTTCAAAGAGCGGCTCTGTCAGAACCAGCAAATCTTCCAAGTCCCTAGGAGATGCATAGAGATGCAGGGTGGTCCCAAGCGGTCCCAGGCGATAAGCAATTGGACGGCTTTAGTCGTTTGTGGACGACTTTAGACGGTAGAAACAAGTCCGCTGACTTCAGGACTTTAGAAAAAAAGCCATGCCATGTGATGCCGTCCGATGCCTTTGAGACTCCTTGTCGTTCTGCCTTGCAGCAATAGCCAAGACACACACCCAGCTCCTTGAGCACATCCTTTGCCATTGGCATTTGCCTCGCCTTGCAGTGCTGAGGCATGCTGAGGCTCATAGCACGACTGTATACTCTTTCCAGCCCACAAGTACCACGACCTACACGATGAATCGTAATGATCTCACAAAAGGATCTCACAAGATAGTCTTGAGATGCGTTGAAATCTTTGAAGGCGATACAGTAAAACCTGGGTAGCAGCCTCGAAGATACTTAGAAGACTCAAAGACTGTGTGGCACTTTCAGGGTGGGATGTATGGCAACATATGGCAACGTACAGTATGACCATTCTGCCGGTTTTCGCGTCACTGCATCAGAGCCTAAGCCTGGTTCGAAAATGTGCGAAACAGATCAGCCAAGGGACACTCTGCAGCTCTTCTTTCGAAATCCTTTTGCATGCGACTAATACGAAGCTGCACAAAAAACTTCCAAATCATGTCTGCTGTACAGCAAGGAAAACTGTTTGATCAAGACTATCCTTCTGAACCCTGTTCAGGTGTAAGCGGCACAACAAGCACTGTGACATGTCAAATGCATCAAAGAAGCTGGCCATTTTGGTCGTTGTCCAGTTCAATCAGCAACTCTCGCAAGTTCCGCTTCAAGTAGTCAACTGCTGAATTCTTCTCATCCCTCTGCTTGACTTCAGCAACGACTTCACAAACAATACCGATCAACATGTTCATTACAGTGATATTGGTGAGCAGCACGTAGAGGAAGAACACCGAAATCATTGACCACCCCAAGACCCAGTCGTAGCCTCAATCGAAAGCATCACAAGGCTACTTCTTCTCTGCAAATCTGCTGGACCGCTGGAACCGTTTCATTGCGCAAATGCACCCTGACTTTATTCACAGATACTATTATATAATACAATTTAACATAATATAAAGTACATAATATAGTAATTATATAATATAATATAATATAATATATTGTGTGTGTGTCGTGTATGTGTAGAGCGTACACGTATAGTATTTGCGTATATATTATACAGTCGATATCGTAGATTCTCATAGCATCTTTGCGATCGATGGTTACAAGATTGACTGGCCTCCAGGCTACATTACAGATCCATTCAAATCCAGCATCACCCAGCAGCTGAGCCAACATATGCTGGTGCGAATTGGTGCGATATAATATGTGTATATATATATATACTGTGGTGTGAGAATAATCTAGTGTGACATCATGGGCATCAAGTCTTGCACAAGGCACCTAGAGTCTCAAGTGCTCGAATGTCCTCCATGATGTCTGCGATGCCATCTGCAAAGGTTCCGTGCAACGCAAGGCTCCACATCCTCATCACGAGGCTGAGTGAAGCTGCAAGCAACACTGAAGCATCTCAGCACGCAGCATCAACTGGTTTCAACTTAATGTTGGACCGCATCCCTCTGAGCTTTGGACGAAAGCCCTAACGTCGAGAACTTTGCTACAATATTCCTGGCTGCTAACGGGGGGGCGTGATGTGCTGATAAGATCGCACTCATGTGACGGAACATCGTGGGGCATGAATCGGCATGAACATGCTTGAACTGACTCATCAGGTCTTTGCAAATTGGAATCGCCGAGGGCATGCCACTTGGACCGCCTCTCTCTCTCTCTCTCTCTCTCTCCATCGCCGTGCTATGCAGTGCGACTTATTGGCGGTGCTTCTGCTTCAGAGCATCTCAGAGTGAATGTTTCCAACTCTTGTGAGCCTTGTGAGCAAACTTTGGCCAAGATTCTCTGATTCAGTGACGTCAGACAGGAACATGTTTATAATGATGGCAAACACGTAGTTCAAACCAATGATCAACCTGAATTCCACGCAGGCTTGTGCTGGAGATGTCTCTGGCGAAACTCAGTAATGCAAATTCATGCACTTTTATTCCTTTAAAAGGCAAGAGGTGGCCAATTTGCTCTTGAATCCACCTTATCAAAATTCCTCCCTCATAATCTCCAATGGTTTCTCCGCTGCATGCTATCTGCCACATTCTCCCACAGCACTACATCACAGAGGAATACATAGGATTGTTTTGGGGGTTACTGCAAGTAAGGACCCTCCATTGACAGCAACGGTGAGACATGTCTAAAACATCCTAAACAACCTAAGACATTTCCCTCGGCTTTAGGGTGTGGAACATCCATGTGCCAGTGGCAAGTATATATGAATCCCTGCAACGCCATCTACTCCTTTCTCAGCTTGGCTTGCCTCTTGGCCTCTCTTGGCCAAGCAGCATCAATGCGGAGGTCACTGCACGAGAGGCAGCTCGCATCCCATTGACCAAAGTCAACAGCTCCTGATAACTTGCTGAAGCTAAAACATACCTGAAATGCCAATCATTTGGAAAGAGCTCAGAAGCTTTTGCATGGTCTTTGGCTCCAGGACGCATTGCACGCACGTGTGTGTATGTGTGTGTAATCTTTGAGAAAGTCGACAGCATAAGTTAATATGGTGCTGCACCATGGTAACAGTACCGAGACAGGAGATGAAAATACGGTGTGTTGGGGCCAAGTGTCGAACTACCTCCAACTGTACATATCCCCAAGTCTATAGATATTAATCTAATTATATACTGTAATTCCAAATAATTTCCATTGTTTAATTATGCTTTCACGGGCACTTTATTTCGATCTTTTGCCCCCTCTCCGGAAGCGAGCGCAACAGCCGCACCAAGCGAGAGAGCCTGCCATGAACTAAGGAGCACAGGAGCGCAACTCAATGTGACAAATCACAACAGCTGATGGACTTCTGCAGATTGTGCTTTTACATATGCATGCTAAATATATTATGTTCGTGATTTAGTATGAGGATATATATATATAGCTATAAATAACTATAAAATATTCTATATATATTTATATATAAATAAACAAATAAGTAAGCGACTATATACGTGTTTATTATTCTATCCAATCTATTCTATCCGTTCTGATCTTTACGCTAGTGAATGCTGGTGACGTGTTGCGTTTCACTTTCAAGACAGGCCTGAGCAGTCTAAGCAATCTCAAAGGCCCTGTCTGTAGTGATCCTCCACCACCTCCTGCAATCAGGAGGATGATGCTCAGCAGCCAGGTCTCGAATACCATCATAGCCACCTCGGGCAGAATGGCGCACCAATCTAGGCACTGCAAAACACCTCTCATCACCTGTCAAAAGAATAGTGCTGGCCCAAGGCCTACCTTGTATGCGAACTTGCATTTATTTGTGGGATTTGAATGTGCACTAGAGTTGATGAGGTTGCCTTTCACACCGCGCAAGCTTCAATAAGCTTGGGCACCAGAACGGCATCGAAAATAAACCACACGTCCCGCAAACAGTTACGTTTGCTCTCAAAGGCCGCAAAACGCACTGCAAGCTCAAACCTCGTGCAGCCAGAAGACCCAGATAGTTGATATAGTAGCAACTATAGTAAATGTGTAATTAAATGCAATGTGTTCAGACTGGTGACTACATGTGACGACTAAGAGAATGGATAAAGATGGAAGCATCTGTCCATCCAACACAGAATCACGATGTTTTTATTGGCTTTTATAAAGGCTGGCCAGGCAGCACAAAATAAATGCAGAAGAGATGGTCGCAGAGCTGATACGGCCAAGTTGAGTCAATAAGGGTGGCGGCGGTATTCTTGTCTGCATCCACACCAATGTAAATAGCATTGATGCCTTGGGGCAGCAGCCAGCATCAGCCAGCAATATCAGCAATGAGTTAATAATTATGAGTTAATAAGCAAGAGCATGCAAAAGGCCTTTAAGTTTTTGCGCCAAATGTCGAGGCCCTCCTTCACCTGCCTTGCTGGCAGACAATTTCCTCAATTTAGCCAGGAAACAAATCACCCCGAGAGTGACGCGTTCGAAAATATCGCTGCGGGCAAGCTTTTGCGCAATGCCATGCTGCTTGTAGAAGTTCATCACATCATATGCCTGACATCATTTGTGAAATTACCGCAAATCACACGTACTACACTGTACGCACTGATTCAATCTGATTCACTGATTCTCTACATCACACATCGTCTACTTGTCACTAGCAGCAGCTCGGTGGTGAGCACAGCGAGCACAGCGAGCACAGCCTCCTCGTCGAGCTTTACATCCTGACAGGATCTGACAGGTACAACACCATCTGTGTTCGACCATGACCGAATGCTGGCACAGCCAGCCTGGCCCTCAAACGCTCAGATATATTGCACATGTTAGATATATATGATTATATATACAATTATATACACACTTGTAGAGAGAGGGAGAGAGATATGTATTGTATTTATACTTATATATTTTATATCTAATTATTCATCTATTTATTATTTATCTCTCTCTGCATTTATTCATTTATTATGCATGTGTAAGATTCAATGAGTAAATATTGTGCATCTAAATATATGTACAGTATATAGGTATCTGCATCTGCATCTGTTTATCATATGATTCATATAAAATATTTGTTACAGTAAATTGAATGCCATGCGCAAATTAGGGTCGTCCCCTGTCGCTTGTGAGGATTTCAGTACTCCTGGAGATGTCACTTAAATCGGGTATCGGTATTACGGGTCGTCCCAGACATCGGTTATGAAGGTTTTGTGCAAACTCAGAAAGGCCAAGGCGAAGCAAGACCAAATTAGTATTACAATAATAATTGTGTCGATTACTCATATGACTCATATATATGTGTATATGATTGCAAAATATTGCAAATGTGTATGTGTCGATATACATTGTGACATGAGCCTGAATGATTTTGAGTCACGTCCGGCTTGTTGAGCCTAAATTCAACTGTAAGAATTCAATTCAGCATAATTCAGCAGTTTGCTAAATGTAATGTTTCTTTCACATCTTTAACCACTTGTCATATCTTGCAACACCTTTTGAGACAGCTAGTAACAACCTTTAGCATCCTTTAGCTGTGAATTGACCAAAGGGTTCAACGCTCTGCCGCTCTGCAAACCACGGCTTTCGCTGGTGTTCTGTCCTCCGCATGCTCATCGTGTGCATAGAGGACCGGCATCTTCATTCTTCGCAACTTGGCCCCCTGCGGTCCAGGCATGTCCAGGCCATAGTCACAGCTGCAAAACATTGCAAAACCCCCTCAAGTCAAGCACAAGTCACTGTGAAGTCACTATGCAGGACTATGCATACAAGTGCAGCGTAAGCGCAAGTGTTAGGCCTTCTGATCCTTCTGCGCTTTTGGCACTGCTTGTTCTTTTTCTCCATCTGTACTCATGAAGTCGTGTACTCCTGTCTTGAAACGCCTTAAGGCACCAATGAAGCCCTCACTGCGGCATCATCTCCGAGTGTCCGAGTTTGCCGACCTTTTTCAAATCCAAAAGTCCCAAATCATTCATCCCAAGAGTTTCCAAGTCGCAGTCGAGTGGCTGGAACATCGATTGCCGGGACCGTGGGCTGGATGCGTCAGAAGCTGCTGCACCATATGGTTCGGAACCACTTGTGCCAACCCAACCACCATCCTGCCAATGGACCAGAACAGCTCTTTGCTGCAATATCTATGGTCGTCGGAACTCAAATCATTGCACGAAAAACAATGAAAAACACATAGAAACGACAAAGACCTTCAGCGGTGATAGTTGCAACTTCATCGCTGGCACGACATCGGTGAGCCTGAGAAACAGAAAACTGTGACAGAAAACGCGCCAAAGGTGGGCAAAGATGATCAAAATGATCAAATATGTGCGGGACAAATACATATATACACAGAAAGTCAGCTTAGAAGGGCTTATCAGTCGTTGAATGTCGGTGAGAGACCTGATTGGCCAAATATTCAGCACAATCAGCACACCTAGCAGCTTCAGCAACTGAGCCCCGCACACTTCGGTGTCTTCCAGTGCAAAGTCTTCATCTGATCACAAATTCAAATGATGTCAATGAGTCATCGGAATCACAGGAACTCACAGCTCGTCAAATCGAGATGGATCGAGTGAACAGGCATGTTCTGGAATGTCGAAACAGCACAGGGAAACAAACGTTGGCCTGTGTGTGGAGCTATGCAATATCTCCGTCTCGGGGCAATACATGATATGTTGATCATTGTCTATCTCATAATACGACTTACCTGTACTTGCATTATCCTCCGATCATCAAGCCAGTTGTGCACCTATTGTAGGATTCGGTCGCACGCTCATCGGATGCTCTTTCGCACGGTTCTGCACAACTGTTTGGCAAATAGCTGTAGACTTGTGCGAATTCTCTATGAGTTTTGTCACACTGATAGAGGCTGGCAACCGGATAAAAGGTTACAGCATGGTCAAGCGGGGACCACAACAAGGACCATTCCATGGCATGTAACCTGCCACTGTACAGGCTTCAAATGGCTGGCGCAAAACATAGTCACACTCGCCTGGTCCCCCTTTCGCAGGGAATCTTGCCTCAACTGTCGTCAAATCGAACCCGAAGCAAACGCATGAAATCCCGTATATTAGATATTATATATATATATAATGTGTGTGTGATTATACATGTTTATATTGTATACATATAATATGCATATAATTTGTAGGATCTAGCATCTCTGTCTGCAATCAAGGCACGGTTTCTTTCCAGGAACTGTCAAGAGTTTCGCTCGGGGAGAAGGCTGCCCCTGAATGAACAGCAGTCTTGGCTTTGAGGATATTTCAGGCATTCATAGCTCTCAGGACCAACACAGAAACATCATGCAGCAAATTGCACTGACAATGCAAACTGACATGGCTTTGACTGGTAGGCAGCTGCCTCATATATGTGTCTTCACTCAACAGAAATGTTAGATAATGTTAGCGCATCATAATATGCATAATAAATGACAAGATATGACAGGTATATGAATGGCATGTATGCACATACGATCAAAGATTGTGTGTCTGCGTATGTACAGGCGCAATTGCACGCATTATATCGCATTATGTGCGGCTTCTGCTAGCTATAACTGTGCAATGTCGCGATTGTTTGACGTGTGAATCAAGACCCGTGTGTCTGGCTGCCTTCACAAGTCGTTCAATAGCCATGGTCTGATTGTCCATGAGCTGCTGTATATCTTGCCGCAACACGTCTCTCAGCTGCTGCATGTCCTGCAAAATGCCCGAGAATCTGGTGTAGAAAAGATTGAAAAAATGAAACAAAGTAATTACATGTAATTACATCAAACAAAAAACATATATAAATTGTGTTGGTACGTCTTGGGCTCATTGGTTGTCTAAAGCTTGGAATGGCAATGACATGTTGCATCAGGATGAAATCGTGCAGTGAGAAACTTGAAACTATTGGGAACTTTGAGAATGGCCAACAACAATCGCCATAATCAAACATGATCAAATGGTCTTCGATGGTCTTCAATTCGCTCCTGTTTCAGATTCACGTCACCAACCGCCATGCTGCTTCAAGGTCGCACGGGCAGGGTTCACCGCTGCAGGAGTTCCAAAAATAAATCCCAAAACAAAGCCCTGAAAAAGCGCAAGCTGGTGCCCACATGGACTTTCGGAGCATACTCTACTCAGGGCCTAACGTGCTTCTACATCTTCTACTAAGTCTAGAACTGCTGGGCATTGTCTGTCAATCTGCCGCTGGGTTCGAGAGAGATGGCTTGTGATTCTATACTGATTGCCCAAGCAGGAAAGTACCAGTACAGCATGGCCATGCATGGCCACAATCTTGAAGCAAGGAGGTCACACACCTGCAAGGCCAAAGACTTTTTCACTTAGCAAGTGGCCTGTGTGTTTGATGATTTTGATGTGCCTACAGGACACTACGCATCATGTGGACTAGTGGAAGCCGGATTTTGAACTTCGCCTTGCTGCATCTCTCCGGCAAGTGCAGTCACTCGAATACCAAATGATCCGATCTTGGCATTGATCATCCAGACCCAAACATTATGCCAGTTTACGCCTTCCAAACGAGCTGCATCGCGCAGTCTCCAAGTGGCCTCAAAGCTACAGAGAGGATGAATGTGTGGAAATCTGCAGCCTGTAGCAGAGCCATAGCAAAGCTCTTGTCAATCTCGTCTTACCTCTTCACTTCTCCTTCAAATAATGAAAAAGCGGCGGAAAAAAAGTGTCGTTGCTGGAAGCGTTTTGGGGTTTGCTCCCTTGCTCTGAAGGGCTTCAGACATCTTCAGACCATCCGCTCCAAACCACTGGCTGGACCGCCGTCGCAGTGATGTCGCAGCGATCCAGTACGACGAGTACAGTACTGCGACGTTACTACGAGTTGATGCTGAGATATATCTGGCGCTGGTGATACGACGTGCAGGGCATTGCTCTTTGCATCTCTTTGCGTCACAAAGCCTTGATCTTTCCAAAGAGTTCGAGGCCCCTGGAGATGGAACCTCGGCGCCTTGCTGCTGCACCCAGCAAGACGATGGATAGCAGCACCTGTGAAGAACGAACAAATCACTCACCAAGATCGCCATCACCAAGCATCACCAAGCACTGAATGTGCAACGAACTCGTGAACTAAAAAATACCACAAAGAACTCGGACATACCACAAATCTGTAAATCTAACCAATCCCCGCCACACTTTGCCCAAGCCTTTGCAAATCCAAAGATTGCAGCCAACAAGGCCCAAAGCCAGTGAGGAGATCCCTGACGCAAAGTCCATGGGACAAGTGATAGGCAAGAACATGCAAGAACTATCCAGAAAAAGCCTAGCGAATCCTAGCGACCTAGCTGGGATGCATAAAGAACTGACAAAGAAACAGCCCGAATGAACAACGATGATATACGATGATATACGGTGATCAAACATTGGTATTGGCTCAAGATTCTTATCATATCTTATCATCTCGTTGGGGCATGTTGGGGCATGTTAGAGCACCCTGCAAAAGCAATGAACCGAAAACACATGCCACAGATCCACCAGCTGCAGTGCGGTGTAGTGCAGCCTGAATTGGCAAATGCAGAATGACAAGAGTGGAGAGGGGCAGCCCACTGAAGCCAATGCGTCGTGCCAGAACATGGCTGAAGGACTGGATGCCTTGGTGTTGCAAGGCTGGCGGCGTGGGAATCGAGCAAAATTGCACACGTATAAAAATTATATATTACTGTACAGATTGTTGCACTTATTTATTTGTTTACTGATTTATTTGTTTATTTATTTATGATTATATATGTGTACGTAGCTGGGTTCATCTCAGTTTTGGTATGTCTTCGTGCACCGCGTTATCTATAGCTATGCTCAGGGACCTCGAAACGGCATGCATGGTGCAGAATCCTCGCCACGAGAGCCGGTCGGCCGCATGCGACAAACAAGGATATCTGCAATGAGAACCTTTGGCGAGGATTCAGAGGACGAGATGTCACCAGAACCGGTCATGCTATGTCATGCTATGTTGCTGAGCCACCAGAATATGCACCCCTTTCCCCACCATGGTGTCGAAGTCTGATCATGTTGGGTAGGTCTTGGGTACTGTATAGCAAGATATAGCAAGTGCAATTGTTTTGAAAAATATGTGCGGGTCTTGTGGATTGTGAAGCTTGGATGAACGGCCAGAGGTATACAGAGGGGTATACAGAGGTATGCTGGTGAAACTTAGAAGGAAGCTGAGTTTCGATATATCTGTCTGCGCCTGCTGGTAGCTCTCTAAGACGGCCACAGGAAGCTCACTGAACTTCATGATCCTTAGCTTTGTGAATATGGTTTTCCGTCCTTTCCTTGCAGCGCCAGCTTTCTTTTTCTGCCTTCAACTTTTCTCGCTGCTGTTCTCTTTGTATCACCGGCTCTGCTCAATGCATACCTCCAAGATCCGCCAAGTCTCAAGCAAAACTTCACCCAATCAGTTCCAAATTCAATGCCAACCTTAGGAAAGGCTACACACTCCAGGCGCTCAATTCGATGCGCATGCATCTCTATGGCACATGAGGTCCTAACTTCTAACTGATACTAACCGTCCTAACCACCTGAATCTATGGAGTGTTTTTTCATCAAATGTCCACCCACATCCACCCATCATATTATCAATCTTAAGCCAGGATACTAATAAAAGCAACCAGGAGGTAATCTGCATTCCAGAGGAGAGGCCCCTTCGCTCAGAAGCCGCCAATCTTAGCAAAACGAAAATGATATCCTTGGAGCAGGGCATTGAGTTGAGGAAGAGTCGAAGGTCCTAGGTCTAGAGACATAGTATCCACAAATCGGGATGGCTGGGGCGGTAGTTGCTGAATGAAATTCTAAATAATTACACGGTAGAAATGCATCGCCAGGCATGGTGGCAGCACCATCGAAATTACAAGTATATAAGCAATCTCGGAAACTCAAGGTTCACAAATTCACAAATGGTTCACAAGAAAGACATCAACAAATTCCGAAAACCAATGTCCGTCCCTTACATGTTTCACATGTTTCCTGTTGCCGGAGTTTTTGCGGTGGCTCACGTGACCATGCACTGCATCAGCTACAGGCCACATCCCAATCTCATGTCCCTGCCGAAGCTCAAGGGCCAAGTAGAAGCGCTCAACGATGTCGGACGTGAGAATTGGGAATAAAGACTTCACCTGCGCAGAGGAGAACAATGCTCTGGATAGATACGCCAAATACGCCCTTTTCCAGTAATGGCCAGAAGGATTCTGGATATTCCTGAAATTTCCTGAATGCCTCTGAATGCCACTCTCTTTGCGATAGTTTCATGGTTCTACAAGCTCTATACGTATTGTAGTGTTTCTGACTGTCTCTGACGATGCTGCAGAGCACTCTCGCGCGGTCAGCTTGACTTGAATTATGGAGGCTCTGGAGCCTCATATCGCTTGAAGACCGTGGATTTGATCTCCCCGAAGTTGTTGGTAACAATGATGAGGAAAACCGCGCTCCTGTCTCGTTCTTGTCTGCCGATTGATGTGTAACTGTGTAACAATGCTCGCTCTTTAAGTTCTTTAGGGTTCAAGTCCCAAGTGGGACCTATGGGCATCTCAACAACTGGTCTACGTCCGCAAAATTGCAAACCCGATTTCGATCCTCTTAAATGGAGTTGGAGTTGAAGTCTTGCATTCCGTGGGCAGGAACAGAGGCATCAATAATATTCTTGCAAACGTATGTCTGGTGCTAGGAATTGAGTGAGCATGATTGAGTGCTTCAAGCGTTCTCGAGCCTACTGATCATGCGCTTTGGCTTCCCCAAAAAGGCCTTCTTTTAGACCATGTCTGCTAAGTCAAGTTCTTCGTTTCGTGGTTGATCATATCCTATTTGTCGGACTTGTTTGCATCCAGTTGACTTGTCTTTGGCTTACGGGTGAGTTCTGACGCATGCAAATATATAGTCTGCAAGCAGTCTTTGGCGCAGCCTCAATTGCAAAAGCTTAATGCGGCAAAGTATCGAAGAAGTGTTGATGGCGACTGTCAAAAGCAATACGCGGAGCATATGCATGGAAGAGTGAACAAAACAATATGCCAATGCCTCAGGTACGCACCGCACCTTCTGCCGATAATCGCAGAACACCAAAAAATGTAGAATGACTATGAATCAGTATGAATCAGTATGAATCAGTATGAATCAGTATGAATTATATGAGAATCAGTATGAATTAGATTGGCACTTTGCCATACTTTGCCTCAGATCCGATCGGCCTTGGCCAAGGTGCCAAAAGGTACTTGGGCAAAAGCTCCACAGGTCCTTGCCGGCAAGATGCAGCCAACAAATCAAACAGGTCAACCCCCACGGAACGCAGCCAGCGCTCAAAGAGTTCCAGCATGTTGAAGAAAACGTAGAGTTTCAGAAAGGACTCACCTGAGCCACAGGAGTGCATGAGCGGACGTCTGGTGAGGTGCAATGTGGAAGGAATATGAGGGAATCATATTAGAACATATATTATTTGATATTATTTGAATATTTGCTATAATTTTGCTATATTATCTATATTTAATTGTATTTATATGTGTCTATACTATATACTATCTATGAATTATAACTGTACAACCATCCTATTATTATAGTACATGTTACGATATCACAGGTAGGTGTATAGTTTGTGTCTTTTTATGTCTGTCAAATTGATGTCCGAATATTCCAACCATTGAGGCCCGTCTCTTGTCTCGTAGCTGTCCCTCGCAGACTTTCAGTTATTGTTGCGAAAAAGAAGCTGGAATCGGAAATCTTCAAGACATTCTGAACCAAATCGTGCTAGACCATGCTAGACCTACATACTTCAAAATAATGTCCGCATGCATAATCTGCTGCAACTTAGATTCTTGATCCACATTAGTTCTCAGTGGCTACCTTAGCAAATGTATTCCCTCATATTCCTCCAATCAGCTGAAAGCATCTGAAAGTGTCACAAAGTGCAAGCAGAGTCTCCACGAAGATAGTGATACACCCAAGAGTTGCTGAAGAAGACCGATTGGAGAAAGACATTCGCGATTAGGAGGCTTAGCCGAATGACATCGCACTTTTGGGTAACAGATATGGGACTTACCATCTTTCCAAAGATGGCGTGAGCAGCAGCTCGTGGGAGAGCAAAAAGGACCTGAAGAGGGGTAAAGCTGAGCTCATGCAGAAGGATGTCAAGGCAAAGCAGAAAGCCAAACGCCAAGATCTTCTCAAGTCGAAGTGGCACCCTTGCGACTTCCAACAAATGACTGCGAGGCACTCTGGGCAGCTGTGATTCGTCTGGCCTACTGGCAGTTTCATCTGAGATCCAAGTCCAGAATCCCATAACGGGACTTTGCGTGCCACGTCCCCACAATTCAATAGCTCTCCAAACAGATTCTTTGTTCTTTCCATGCCTGTGATCATGATCGTCCACCAACTTTCCCACTCTTGGAGGAGTGGACCCCCGCTCTGGTTCACTGAAATATGCTCCGTCACTGCCGTTCGGGGAGGCCTGACTGGCTGCATGCTGTGCTCGCAATTGCAAGCCTTCAATCTCGCCATGTGCACCCAAATAGTGCCCAGCACGAAAGGCTTGGTAGTCATGGCGGTAGGCCTCCAATTCGCTCGGCTCCAAGTCTTTGGGTAAGAACTTCAGCGGTGGGCCCAGAGCTGCCATCACCTAGCACAGCCGTTTCCTGGAGGCATATGTCGCACGTGGCTTAGTATACCAAAAGAGGCAGAACATGGCAGAACTCTATAGAACTCTGATATACTGGGAGCCATCTGCAAAAAACATCAAGAAACTGCAATATGGTGCTACTGAAGCTTGGGTTCCAAATGGTTCCAATATGTTCCAATACCTGCAACATGTTGCGATCTTAAGAGGCACAACAAGAAAGTCCAGAGCTATCTGTGCTGACTCTGAGCATGCCAGGTCGACGCGTTGTTGTCCAAGGACCTGTAGTGATAGTGAAAAGGCATCAAAAGATTGAACTGGATTCACACGGATGAAATACATGAAATCTGTTGAGATTTCATGAAATGAATGTAAATGATGTAAATTCAATGTAGATTAATCACATTTAATCACAATGAATCATGAATCATGCTCCAATCATGTTCCGATCCATTGAGTCGATTCAACTCGTGACAGATTTAAGCGGCGTGCCTCTGTAGCAGCCTGGACTTGATTCCGCTGCGAGTTGAGCTCTTGACGAACCTCCGCCACATATATCGACATATTCCCACTATGATTGCACCCAACATCACCCAACATTACTCAACTACTTCCTCACATTCCCGTCCGGAAATGCTGAAACCCTTTGAGCGGCGGGAGTGCCCGGGTTGGTTGAGCCACAACAATATATTATTTGTTTGCACATATATATGGCGGTTCATCTAAATTCCTTTATCTGCAAACGGCCATTCTTCGCGAATACAAAACTTTCGCGGGGTCTCATGTTGGAACCCTGATGCCTTGGCAATTAAAACACATTAAAACACATTAAAACCCTTACATGGACCTTTAGATCGACTCCCATATATTTATTTATTTGCATATATATAACATTATATAAGGAGTGGACAAGGAAAAAAGTAAAGAATATTAAAGAATCATTGGAGAAGACAGCAAGTGGACATAGTGGACATAGTGGACATAGTGGACTCCCTGGACCGAAATCCACACCTCCATGTGCCGCTGCATCTCTTCCGCCATCTGGCGGGACCTGTGGCGAACATGCGAGCTCAGAATGCCCTTGGAAGCCTATGACCCGGCAAGTTAAACATAGTCGATGTGAAATGCATGGAGACACCCTCGGAATACCTGCAATACTTGCCATACTTGCCAAAAAAATAAGGCTGGATGAGCATGGATGATCTGATCATCTTTGATAGTACTGATACATACTGATACTATATTGATTACATGATATGACATCTCTCTTTTTCAGCGAAGGCATGCCCTGCAATTGAGGGACTGCTGAGGCTCAAGCTTACAGCACATAGTTGACTCATCAAGATCTGCACTCCAGTCGCCGTTGGCTCTTGCCTGTGCTCTCTTGGCTGAGAAACGACCCACCAAGATGCAAGCTATGCCTACACTTTTATTGCGGTTGTACCTGTATCATCCTGTATCTGTATATTGTATATCAATACCCTTACTAACTTCTCTGCCCTGCGGTCATGTCCTGCATGATGTGCCGTTGCTAGCCTCAAGTACGGCTCGAGATCTAGACACGCTTTGTTGCATATCCTCCATCCTCAGGGCCAAAGAGTTGACAGGAACAATGCGACAATAAATCGCGATAACATGGCAATGACATTTCATAAAAAGTCACCTCATCCCTTGACCAAAGTGATTTACTGGGGCCACCCTGACCTGCCCCAAGCGAAACACAAAACCTTCCCCTCAGCCCTCGGCTGTCGCCATGTCTTCTCTAGAGTTGTCTTCAACGCTTTGGTCCTCACAACCCCGAAAGGATGCCGCCAAAATCCGCCAAACCAGCGGCGAGAATGAAGGACAATTTGAAAATGAGGGAAAGATTGCAGCTTGCAAAGCGAGAGACATGGCTGCAGGGTTTTGTTGTGAAATATTGCCAAGTAGAATCGGAAAGCATGTCTAAATTCAGATGGCTTTACAATGCTTTACATACAGGAGTCCAGTAGTCCGATTTGGCGTCAATGTCTTTTCTGCGGTTTCCAAGTCTGGGTCACACACACACAGTGTCACCGTTTCAAAGGAACCTAGCGTGAGACATGACTGAGGAGTAGACCTTTGTTCCTGCGAAACCTGGAGCAATGACATGTCATCCAAATCCAGGGACTCTAGCGGCCTGCCTGCTGCTTGCTGCCTGCTTCCACATTTTGCTTCCACATTTCTCACATCAGATCACATTCACATGACATCACTCGACCCTGTCAACAGTCGCTCGACTCGTGTCAGGGCACTGCCACGCTACGGAAGCTTTATGGTCTATCCATCCATCTGCCTGCCTGTCTGCCTGCCTGTCTGTCTGCCTATCACTATCTACCTATCCACCTGTCCATCTGTCCATCAATCCATCTATCCATCTAATATCTAATATCATCAGTATATCATCTTATATCTATAGACATGCTGCTTTGAGAAGAGGAAGTTGCTAAGGTCTACACGACCTTCGAGTGCAGCTCATACTCCTCGTCCGTGAGCAGGACAAGGAACAAAGATGAACAAACCGTTTGCAGACGTTCTGGTTTGCAGCCACATCACCACAAGAGACAGTGCATAATGTGCTTACTGCTTGTCCAGCAACTGGGCAGATTCTAGGTGTTCCAGTCGGTTCAAGGCTCCTCCTGCTTACAGGCTTCCACGTGCCGTCGCCTTGCCTTCCTGAGGTAGCTCATGCAGAATCAAAATTAAACGTCCTGGAGTTGCTCTGGAAGTGATGTGGAGTGAAGAAACTTTCGAATGAAGTTTGCTTCTTCCACTGTATATTAATATACGTATTACATTATATAATTATATTACACAGGTGCATGCATATGCATGCATATGCTACATGTGTGTATGTGTGTTGGCGTGTGTGGGTGTGATTGTGCATGTGTGGGTGTGATTGTGTGTGCGTGCGCACTGGCAGTTCTCTCCTTGCAACAATGACCACATGTGACTAGTGAAGGGTAGGCTATGGTCCCGGCCATGCTGATTTGGCTTCCTGCAACATGTATAAAGATGGTGAGTGTCGGCCGAGTTGTTAGCAGTTTGCTCACATATATTTCGCCGGAATCACAACACCAGCTGAAATAGAAGCCCGCAGTCTTGACGGCACTAACAAAGGGTATACTGGTTCGGTGAATCGAGATTCTAAAAAGCAAACTCAAAACTGCGCATAGCTTTCGAAACACGCCTCGACTTGACGCTGGAGTCCTTGATCCAAAAGGTCATACCTCAGCAGTGGCATGGACGTTGGCTGCGTTGGCTGCGGTGTTTTCCCCACTGATGTAGACTCAGTCATGCTCGCTGATGCTGGGAAGGTTGGGATCCCCCACTGCCGAGCATGAAGCTTTTGCAGCACGCGGATCTCCTCCTCCAGTGCCTCTACCTCCACTTGAAGCAAGGCCACCATTGCATTGAAATGAATGACAAAGAAAAACAACTGACATCACACATTTAAAAATTGAAGGAAGGAGAAGAACAGAAGATTTGTCATGCCCACGTGTTCGATGCTAATTCTGTGGTCTGGATGCAAAGGGGACGAGTGAACATGACATCATACAATTGCATTTGCTGATTTAGAGTTCTGTCGAACCAGAACCTGGCCATCCTGGCCTTTTTCTTTGCCTGTGTTCCAGCCGTCTTGCTGGCTTCAATTAGAAGCTGCACTGGGAACACAGGTAAAACAAAAAACATGCCAGTGGGCTTTGCCAAAGGCAAAAAAAACAAAGACACTATACAAAGATCAGGGACAACGATCCATGATCAGGCAGGGCCGTCCTCTACACGGTCTTCACCAAAGCCATCAGCAGCGACACAGCCGTCCTGCTGCTGTTCCAAACACGTGGGTTCAGCCGTACTTTGCAGGCAAGGCTGGGAAGGAGCACGGATATCCTCAAGACAAGCAGCTCATCATTCTTGTCGAGCAGCATTGTTGACATGTGGACTTAGACATGGTCTGGGTGTCGGGCAGAGGTCTTCGAATTTCTCTGATTCAGATTTTCTTTCAAAGAACTCTTTGTCGGTGGCGCTGCTAGTGCCAGCGAGCGCGACTCCTGAGTTCTCCCAGTGCTCATGTTCATGTCAGTAACCTTACCATATTTTACCTACTGTGTAGTACAGTCCTCAAGATGCTGCTTGTCGTGTGTGAAGCTAATGATGCTAATGAGGCCGGTGATATCCGGTGATTCGAGCGAGCGGCCGCAGATTGGTCCTTCTTTGACTCAAGCTCTTGGGGGATCACGGTGTATGGGAAATTTCGGCCATCTCCACTTGGTGGACAGGCCGGAAGAAGCCTCAGCCGCAAAACGTCAGCCAAAGGCCGTCGGCAATTTCAATCAAAAATATAGAGTACATTGAGGTACGAGTACATTGCCAAGAGGCCAGAATAGAGGAATTCTACCCAAGGAAGCTTGGAGATTGCCAAGGACGCCTTGATCAAAACTGATCTTCTTTTCACTTTTCTCGTGCCTGGTATGACAATGACCGGGAGTCCAAACAGCTCCCAGTGTTCAAGGGGGCAACGTTGCAGCAAATTTTGGACAAGAAACACCTCTAAGATCCTCTAAGCCTCTGAGGGTGAACCAAGACATATTCAATGATTCTTTCTGATTGGAAGAAACATGTACCGAATGCGGTACTTACTACGCTGCATTTTCTTGACAGTTTTATTTACATGTACGACATGCAACTACCTGGTTCAACCGTGGCGGTCAAGAATTGTGGCCTGGTCAAGAACTCGATCGTCGTCATTCCCTTACTGCTCAAGAAGAGGTGAAAGCCTGAAAAGGCCACCATCGTACCTCCCAAGGCTATGACTAAAATCTCGGTGCAAACCAGCCATAGCTTGGTGCAGAAGGTGATCTCAGTCTGGAAGGCCTGCGCGATCGCTGCTGACACATCGCAACGCTCTTTGAAGCTACTCAGCAAGCTACCAAGCATCTCCCAAGCATCTCCCACGCAACTCCCATGCATCTCCGGCTGAGGCCCCGGCCTTGATGGAGAAAAGCAGAAGAGTCACCGCTTTGAATAGGAGGGCCACTGCGGAGTAGGTAATAAACATCACGAAGTACTTGTAATTTCCAAAACCTGAAACAACCGCCGATGACCAAGCACACAGAGGCACACTCTGTTTCGCTGTTGGACATGGGAAACCCGCAAAAATGCGCAAAAATGAACAACCCACATACCCACATGCCACTAATCTTCTTAATTACTACAAATCCAACGACATTCCGGGCCAAGTCGCCAATGCATTGCCGCAACCATGGGCAATGGTGATCCATCCGAAGAACGCAGGCCCCACATTTAGCGCAGTGACGACACCGTGGTGGCTTCCTGAGATAGGTTAAAAAGGATGGCAACAAACAAATCCGATGAACATCGATGAACTAACTATATATAATAGTTACAATAGATTAATAGATGCAACAAATGTGAAAACTAAATGCACTACTCCACCTTCTTTCGGGGTTGTGAGATGTTGTTAGGCTGGTTGCGCTGATTCTCAAGATTGCGCACCGTCCAAAAGAAGTGGAAGAAAAAAATAAGTGCAAGCTCTGTAGTTTGTAGCAATTAATCAATACTCGCTGATGACAAGTGCGGCAAAGTTTCTGAGATTGGCAGAAAATGCAAAAAAGCCAGTTCTGGCCATTCTGGGCTGGTTGCTCATCACTGCCCTGGAAGTCTTTGGGCTGCCCCGGCCTGCCCGGAAGGAGACTTGGCTACAGCTACAGCACCACATACCTATATATACGTATATATACACATGCAAATATGATGTATGCATAATATATCTATATATATAGACATATAGACATATACATATACACAGAATTATATATTATATAATAATAATATATATATATATAATTTGGATATGTGTGTGTGTGTCTGTGTGTGTTTGTATGTATATAATATACACGTATGTATATTATTATGTCATGCATGTGACGAGAGAAGATTCTCAATGTCTTCGGGTAAAACTTGCTAAAACATAGAACCACAACTGTGCTGCACACTGGCCTTGTGCACAGGACACGAATGAGGGAACTCAGCCATAGTGCCACTATCACGTAGTAAATCACTTGCAAGCTTAGTGGCAGGTCTTGCTGAACAGATGCATCCACACTGCCAACAATATGTGTCAGATTGTAGAGCGTCACAATCCACCTTAAGCAGAAGCACCCGCCAAAACAAGGTGGCCTATTCAAGTCCAATCTTCTAGGAGAAACATGGAGAAACATGGAGAAACTAGTGAGTGAATCGCAGCATATAAGCAACGCATATAAGCAACGCATTATAAGCAACACATATCAACACATTGACATGCAGTTTCATCTGCTCCAATCTGCTCCAATCTGCTCCAATCTGCTCCAATCTGCTTTGCCTCCACGCCACAAGATGGTTGATTGCAAGTATGCCACCGGTGCCCAAGAGACGATACCTGCCTCAGCCAGGGGCTGCAAGCCCCAAGTTCCAACAGTATCGACTCCTCCTGCAGAGAAAATTGCCAAGTGGCCCTGACCATGGTGACCATAGGAATAGGATAGGCATACGTATGCTCTGTGGAGTTTGAAACTCGGTGGGGCTTGCATGTACTTGGCTTCGAGCATCTTCGGGCTTCAAAAATGGCAAACAAATCCTAAAGGTACTTCGTGAATTAAGCTAGCTGTAGCTTGGACAGGGGGAAAGCATCAGGTCCTACCCAAAGGGCAAGCAATACAAATGCGACCAAGAAGAGTGCCACATTCCTGGGACACGAAGCCACTCTCACATTCAAGCTGCACACACATACACTACCCACACCCACACACAAAAAACAAAAAACATCAAAAAACATCAAAAAACTGTAGGTTTGCACAATTTTGCACACATGCTCGCCACACTCTGTCAAAGAAATGTCAGGTCAAAACGTAGACTGTAAGAGCTGGGCGTCTCAAAATAGTCAAGCATAGGTTCTGGCAATTCACCATGCCGCCACTGTAGCAATGAAACCGATACTGCAGCAGGGAGCATGCCGCCCAAAATGGTGTACCAGATTGCCTTCGGAGCGCACGAAGAAAAGCTACACAATTTCAATGCTAATAAATTCATGGAAAAACAAACTGTATAATTAATGACGTTCACAGAGGGTCCATGCAAACGTTTGCACCTGCATGAAGGGTTTTCGCGACTTGGGAATGGTTGGCACTGCAAGGACGAAGGAGAGCAGCACGCACATCAGCAGGCTGGAAATGTGTGATGCCTTGGTGCAATCCGCCAAATAGCACCATCATACACTGTCCAACGGATCTTGACTTCTCTGTCAAACCCGACAGGACCTCCTCATTATTCATATGTCATGTGGGCCGAAAGTGGGCTGCCTTGGGTATGAGTCTAAATGAGCTAAGCTAAGCCAGTCGTGATGGCTTGTTGAGATTGTTCTTGCAAGCCCAGTGCATGGCAGGATAAGGCTTCCTGGAGACAAGCCACTGAAGCCAACAGGCTTGAGCCAGGATAGCACCAACAGAAGTACACATTGGCAGCAGACAATGCCCAAAACACCAGGACAAGCACCACCGGCTTCCATGGTTGCCCTTGCTGCTCCTCCATGGCTGCAAGATGCCGGTTTGGTTGGAAGATGTTGGAAGTTTGGTAGCCTGATGACTGACGTCATTATTTTCTTTGTTTCTGGAAGGATCCCACCCCCTGATCTGCAGAAGTTCAATTGATTCAACTGTTTTGAAAAGGGGTTCATTCATGTTCGGTCTGCCTTAAGAAAATTCACGCCTTCATGCTTGGACCATCTTGAACCAAGCAACTGGCCAGAGAGATGCTGTTTCTTTCATTGCATGACTAGCCGTGGACCATGTTTGCACATACTCTCCAACGCACTCGGTGTATACTCCAAGCCACTTGCCGAAAGAATGATGAGAACTGCTCCAGTATTATGCACACTGCAAGAAGCTTCGAAACCATCAATATCTTATCTTCAAAAAACCAGCGCCATTTTTGAAGCGCACATCTTCTCAATCACCGTCTGTTTAGCTCATTTTGGCTTGAAAGCCCCGCCGCGCTATGGCCGTAATGGCACATCTGGACGAAGGCAGGCCGAACTCTAGTTTCATCGGATTTCATCGTGTAACAATCGATTTCAGCTCAACATCGAAATAAAGCCTTGGATGCCAAATGAATGCGATAGATTCTTGTCCATTGGAAATGCTTGGAATGAATTTTGAATGGATTGGAATGGGCATTTCAACAATAAATAATCTAGACATTAAGGCCATTGCAGGAAGAACGTACCTTCATGATCCTTCATGAAGTATCAATGCCGGGCAGCGTTGAACCAGGCGGGATAGGCCCGATGCCACGGTTCCCGTAGCCAAGATTTGAAGGGACGATGATCTGGCGTCTTTCACCGACCTCACGTCTTCGTGGTATGGTACGATGGTAAAAGTATGCTTGGCAAGCGTAAGAATCGTAAGACAGGAATTGGGGCTCTGCATGGGTTGGCAATTGCAATATCTTGTAATATACTGAGACTTGCTGGGACAAAGCGGGTTCGAGGCCTTCATGCTGAGAAGTGATTCATCCCAGCCCTTGATGACCTTTCCGATTCCGACCTTGCTTCAGTCATCACAGCACAATCAGCAATGTTTTAAAAAAGAAACACATTCGGTCCATATGCCACACACCACTGGCTTTGTCAAACGGCATCAGCTTCAGCTTTCCATAATTTTCCTTGCCTGAAACTCCAAGGGCTGTCGCCGATCCCTTGAGGAGTCAAATTTTCTGTCCGACTCGAAGTCATCTAGCCAACCTGCAGGCGAAGCATGGCGAAGCCAGTGGAACGAATTCTCACAACGAAAACGTTTTGTCTTGAAATGTCTTGAAACAACATGCAATGAACATCAAAGATTATCAACGTGTCAAGAGACCGACAGCCTTTGCCATCTTTTGCCGGGGCCTGTGTAGTCAGCTTTGATTCGCTGGCCAGTTGTTGGGATTGGTCCAGTTCCTTCCTGAATCACTTTGTACTGCAAGCCCGAGCTAGTCTCTGTGAAGCCTTCCTGAGATGTGCGGTGGCTTCGTGAAAAGGATCATCTGCAACAAGGGCCCAAGGGCGTTGTGGTCTGAAGGTCTTCAAAAAGATTCCAAAATAAAGCCAGCCTCCTTCTGAAATTACGGAAATCATACTATATATATATATTACTATGATTATATATCTATGATTTGATATGCCTGAATTGCTTTGACGCAGCATCAAAGGCAAGCATCTTCAAAGACTTTTTCGATTTTTTCGTAACAAGAAAGTCGGTTCAAAATTGTTGGAACCATGAAATATAGTTCCCGTACATTTAGCACACACATGCATGTGCCATGAACGACCAGCTCAGAACCAGCCGCACTTGCCAAGGCACCCGTGCCAGTGCAGCCTGTGGTGCTAATACTGCCGCGGCCACCAGGAGTTGCTGCCGACGTGGGACAGAAAGGAAGCCCTGCACGTCAGCAGCTCTGCCAATGAGCAGAGCTCCTGCCAGTCAAAAACGAAAGTCTGAGAAAGTGTCAGAGCCTCATCCAGGTCTCAACCGTATGGTTTCAGAGGTTTCAAGTTAGAGCAGCCCTTCCAAGACATGTTACCATGGTTTCGCCTCTCATGATTGACAGAACATAAAGTCACTTGGTAAGTACTCATGGGGTAGCTGCCGTAGTACTTTTTCAAGCGGATTGCCAGGAGTTCTTCATGTTCCTGCAGAAGTAGGCCTTGCATGTGATCCCAAGTGCTGTCCGGTCCTGCCAGCAAAAAGACCACGCCACCCCAGCGCAGTGTTCGGGCCATGGCAGCAAAAGCCGTCTTGCTACAGCTGCTACAATCAGTTTTCCAAGTTGTCGAGATTTGTCGAGCCAGAATTCTCAGATTCCTTTCCAAGTCTTTCCACATTTTCTGGTCCCATTCTCCTTGGAGCAACTCATACAACAGCCCAAACGAATCCAAACAATGTGCAGGAGCTGGGGGCATAGGACGCATTCATTGGATTCATTGAGGCAGCACTTTCAGATTGAAGGATCGAGAGAATGAATGAAAGAAAGAAAGAAAGAAAGGAAGAAAGAAAGAAAGAAAGAAAGAGAGAGAGAGAGGACAAAATGGACAAAATGGACAAACCAATATAATCCAGTGTTGCAATGTGTTGCATGTATTGAATGTCACGTATTTGTTGTGTACAAAAGTGATCAAAGTACGTGATGCGTTGTGCGATATCTTTGGTGGAAGCATGATGAAGCGCGCCTCCTTGGCCTTGTCGGCAACGCGCTGCTGACAAAGGCTGATGAAGGCTTCCCTGGAATCGTCTGAAAATCAAAGCGCTGACAAGCAGTGGCAAGTATAGTGCCTTTTGATTTTTATGAATTATAACATATTGTTACCAATTATATATCACAAATAATATTTATGCGGCTCATTTGTGTTGCGCATTCTGCGGCATAGATTCCCTGTTTCTACAGTCTACTATTGAATATCCGCTTCACTACGGCCCCTTGAAAAAAACATTTGTTTTGTCAGTTTTGTCACTTCCTTTCTCTTTTTGACCAGGGCTGCAAAGCGCGCATCGCAACCCACATTGCAGGACCCAGCTCCAAATAAGGCTCTTGCACAGTTTGCCACTGCTGGGCAAAAGCAGGAATATGATCCTTCAGCACCCAGGTCATCAAAAGGAACCATGAATAGAAAACGGCGTGTTGTGACATTGTTGTGACACTTCGAGGCTCACGGTCCCACCCCAAACTGAATCGTATTGAATCGTCCTCTTTTCTATCTACAATTCTATACCATTCTATACCTCTAAGCGGTTTGGTCACGTTTCCATGCATAAAATTCACTACGAGCCGCACCCGGAGGCGTTCAAGCTGTCTGGCCAATACTGAGATCATCCTTGATCTGGCCTCAGGCTCCAAAAGCCAGAAGATGCCAGAAGGCAAATAGTTCAAAGCTCTTCAAAGATCTTCAAACTATTTGAAAGATTTCGAAAGAAAAGCAAAGAAAAGGGCCGCAAATTTCCGCATTTTCAGTCGAGTCAAGCTATGATGCGGCCATCCATCCTTTCCACACCCGTGTTGGCTGATCGATGTCTTTTCATTTCATTTTCTGCTCTGGACGTTGCAGTTAGTCCTCTGGTGGAGGCAGGCGGAGCCAGAAAGCGCAGAAACTCATTGGAAAAAGTCATCGCTGATCAGCAAGCCGGCACAAGAGCCGATGGCGCTGCAGAAGTGCACTTCAGCAATTTCGCAATGCTCCATGACAGACAGCAGCAATGCTATCTTTGGCAGGATGTAACCTGGCGCTTCTCGCAAGTCTCCTGTAAACGCAAGGTAGTATGGAATACTGTGGATGCGTTGGCTGGGGGCTTTGCATGCTTAAGATTCCTGAGGACTCTAAAAGTTGTTTAATTCGTAATATGTCCACAGTACCATTGTGTTGCACTGTTTGGCATGGCGTCCTAAAAGGGCAATACCAAGCTCGCAAAATCTCTCCAGCATTCATTGAGTGTTTAACGTAGACGCGGATATGAACCAAACTATTTGCAGCGGACTGTTGAAATGACAGATGCACACAACAATCGAGCAGTAGGACAAAAGCCTCATTCGAATCAAGTGCACGACACCAAGCGCCAAAGGCACCAAAGAGGTTGAAATGACCAAAGAGATCCAAAGAGCCAAAAAATGGAGGCAATGGAGGCAAAGAAGCTGCAAGAGAAGCCCGGAAGCATGAACGCGGCTGCGTAAACCAAGAAAATGGATAAGAAATTCTGCCATATTTTGCCAATGTTCACCTGTCAGAATATGGCTGACATGCTCAACCCTTAGCCGCTTAGCCGCTTAGCCGTAGGTCCTTGGCAAAAGGCCTGTGTTGACAATTGCTCATCAGACTGGCCAATGAGGCTGTTCAGCACTGTGCAGATTTCGGTGGAGTTGAAGTGTCTCTTCCCCAATGCTTCGAAAGCTATGCAAAACCTCAAGCATCTCAAGCTCATCGGTCCAAAAGCTTGAAACACACTGAAACATCGTGAACCGTGAAACCATGATGTCTACGACGATGAATGTTTGTGTAGGGTGGAGAAACATGGAGAAACATGACAACCTTGCTGAATTGGTTTCGAAAAGCATTGAGTTGGGTCCGCCAATCGCAGTGACTTTGCTACCCTTCAGCCACTTGGGACCCTCATCAAGGCGAGACTTCAGTTGTGCGACCAACTTCTCCTTGGGATATGCGGGCAAGTCACGGGCAAATGCCTCAAACTGGAGACCACGAGAGGTTTCTGGATTCCCCGTTTGGTGTTCCATGGTCTCGCAGTCTCGCATGCCCGCCGTTGCACGCATGTCATATCTTGATCCGCTGCCAAGGAACGGCCTCGCCACTGGAGACTGGATTGGGCGTTGGTTTTGAGGAAAGACTCTGTCCTTGCACATCTTGCACCTCGCAAAAGTATGCAGAAGTGGCGTCTTGGCGTCTTCAAACTTCAAGCCTGTCCCTCTTTCATCTCCGACTAATCCGGTTGCGAATCTATGGCGTCTATGCAACCTGGTCTGACCTGGGCCTGGCCCTAGGGCCCTTCAGCAAACAGAAGGGCATATCAGCATATCGGCATATTTCCAAGGGTGTAGAATAGTTTTGGGATGTTTTTTGCCTCAGCTTTTGGCTGTTTTTTTTGGGTTTTCTTTCCTGGTACCATTTGCTGTGTAATTATTTGCAACAGTTTGGAACTAGAACCTGTCAGTTTGCATGGTATTTGCTACATTTTGGCATGGTCACTTTGCATATTGCATGGTTTATTTGCTACATTTGGCCATGTTCACCTTCCATTTTGCATGGTATTTGCTACATTTTGGCACTTCAACCTCACATTTGCATGGTATTTGCTAGATTGTGGTGCTTCAAACGTTGATGTGGGTTTCTTGAGGGTTCTTTAGGCTTTCATTTAGGGTTTCATCTAAGGTTTCATTTAGAGTTTCATTTGCAGTTTCATTTAAGGTTTCATTTAAGTTCCATTTAGGTTTTTTTTTGGGGTTCAGGGTTTCATTTAGGGTTTCTTTAGGATTTCATTTACGTTTTCATTTCAGGTGTCATTTAGGGTTTCTTTAGGTTTAGGGTTTCTTTAGAATTTCATTTGGGATTTTTTTACGGTTTCATATGGTTTCATGTAGGGATTCTTATCGGGATTTCTTATCAGGATATCAGAAAGTTCAAATGGGTTTCTTTAGGGCTTCTTTAGGGTTTCATTTAGGGTTTCTTTGGTAGGGTTTCATTTATCGAACCCTTGATTGCGCATTCTTTATCAACAATCGTTCTCAATGTGATTTCCCTACTTTAAGTTGAAACAAATTCAAAAAATACAATTTGGTTGTTTCCAACAGCTGTAGGCTCAAGATAGCTCAATCGGCATTTATATGCATTTATGTGTTTCCGTATGTAACTGTTTGACCAATTAGTTTGTCGAAAAGGGCTCCTTCAACTTCAACTTACAAACATAAAATCCTGTGGACAGCTGGGGCAGCTGGAACAGGAAAGTGGGCACATGCTGGGGATGACAATCGATCTCAATCTCAACAATCGTTCTCAATGCCAAGAATCGTTCTCAAATGTTTTCAATCTAACAATCGTTCTCAATCCCAAGAATCGTTCTCAACCTACAGTAACAATCGTTCTCAATCCATACGAACGAGATAATACCAAAATTAGGCCCGAAACTGTTGCGACCAAAAAGGGATAAAGTAGGATTGCGATACAGAATGGGGAGGTTAGCTGTCTTAATGATAAAACGTGGTGCCTGTGCAAAATTGTCAATCCTACTATATCGAACCTACTTTATTCATTTTGGGATCTGAAACCTTTGGGAAAAATCCTGAATGAAAGCATATAATGAGTAATATTATGTTGTTTTCAATATGGGTTCACAAGATGGATCAAAATTCACAAAACATCAATTAGATTCGAGGTTGTGCTCGATCCCAACAATCGTTCTCAATCCCCACATTCGTTCTCAATCCCCACAATCGGTTTCAATCCCATGATTCTATGGTTGAACTACTTGGCCTGCAAAACAATCTCCAAGTTAATAAATTGTGAAGGTACATTTTTTGCTGGGTTTATCCACACAATCCATGAAAACGCGGAAACTATATGTTGATAGAATTGGGGTAAGGCATCTCTGACAGGAAACCCAGGTGAAAAAACGCTGCCTTCAGAGCAGCGCAGCTACTTTGGAGGGTTTGTCTGGGGTGCTGACATACACCTGCACATGGCTGTTAAGAAATGGATATAGTAGGATAGCTTTATTGAATGGGGAGGTTACAGCTCGAATTTAGGGTTTCTTTAGGGTTTCAATTTAGGGTTTCATTTAGGGTTTCTTTAGGGTGTCAATTTAGGGTTTCTTTAGGGTGTCAGTTAAGGTTTCATTTAGGTTTTTTTTCTCAGAGTGTCGTTTAGGGTTTCTTGGGGATGTCATTCAAGGTGTCATTTAAACGTTTCTTTAGGGTTTCATTTATGGTTTCAGGGTTAATTTATGGTGTCTTTAGGGTTCATTTAGGGTTTCATGTAGGGTTTCTTATCAGGATTTCATAGGATTTCTTTAAGGTTTCTTTGTGTTTCACCTAGGGTCTCTCTAGGGTTTCATTTAGGATACAAACAGGAAAGAATATAAAGAATGAAGCAAAAGAAAATGAAAAGCAAAGAGACAGTAAAGACAGGAAGCAAAGAAGCAGAGGAGCAGGAAGTAGAGCAGCAAAAACACATGACTGATGAAAAGAAAAAGTAAAATAGCATAATAATAGTAGAAAGGCACAGAAGCACGAAAGCAGAAGCAGGGAAAACAGAGAAGCAGAAAAGCAAAGAAGAGAAGCAGAAAAGCAGATAAGCAGGAAAAGCAAAGAAGCAATGAAGCAGAGAAGCAGGAAAAGCAAAGAAGCAATGAAAGCAGAGAAGCAGAAAAGCAGAGAAATCAGAGAAGCATGAAAAGCAAAAAGCAGAAAAGCTGTGAAGCAGGAAAAGCAGAAAGCAGAGAGGCAAAGAAGCAGAGAAGCAGGAAAGCAGAAAGGCAGAGAAGCAGAAGCAGGAAAGCAAAGAAGCAGAGAAGCAGAAAAGCAAAAAAGCAGAGAAGCAGAAAATCAGAGCAGGACCAGGAAAGCATAGAACCAGGAACCCCAAAAGAAATCCAAAGCCCGCCGGGAAAAAATAATAACAATAAATAGCCCTCCTATTTCAAAAAAGATTTACTGAAGTGTTCATGGCACAAGAATGGAGGTAACCACGCCAGTGCCAAGGCCGCCCATATAGGCTTGAAGACCATCCCCATCTCTCATTGTAATCTGAAAGCTTGCACCTTTGCAGCTGGCAATGATTGGTGTTACATCCTTTGCAAAATGAGCAGGTGAGCTGCTGGCATGATCCGTGAAACCAAGTCTAAGAGCATTCCAAGGAACCACCAGAGTCCCAACAAATTACCGAATCCGGCACATCGGCTAGCGCAACTGCAGTGCTGTAGCCGATCTCTGCTTCCTGCTGTTGGGAAAGAACCTTGGAGAGAAGACTGAAACAAAAAACTGAATTCAACTTGGGCATTCTTCTTGCTCCACTTGGCACATCTTGGAACAGTGATCGTGGGATGCCCACGGCCCACTGACTCCCACCCTCTCTACTGCCAAAGTACTTGGACTGGCAACGACACCTCTTTCAAGACCTTCTCCAAGTAGTCTGCACCGTTCCCGGCCTTGAAAGCGTGCGCGGAGATTCTTGCAAGAACGGGATCGCTGCTGATTTCTTGGCACCATCCTTACCATTCCCTAACCTGCTACCCCCCAATTTGTAGTGAGACTTACCAAGACGTGTATGGCACCGATCTATCCAGCGCCTGGCGGAACACCTCCGTAGCAATGGCACAGCGTGCCGCTTGCGGCACACCGTGCGCCTCACATTCCGCAATGAGGCTCCGGAGCACGGACAGGCCCTGCCGGGAGCAAAACGGAGAAAGCAGGGCAAAGCTGGAATACTTGGCATTACTTGGCTAATCACCGATTCCACTGGCAATGCTTGCTCTCTCTTGCTATTCTCTGGTGAGGTGAGGGTTTCCCTAAGCAGGCAGTCCTGCTACGCCGATACGATAGATCAATGACACATCCTCATGACCCTCATGGGAACTACACTATAACCTGGAGGAGCGGCACCTCCTCTCCCCCGCCTTGTCTTGGATAGCATCACTCAAGTTACCATCGCTGGATTGTCTCCAATCAATTGCAAAGGCTACGGGGATCTCCCTCGCAAAAAGCTCCTGCGCCAAAGCAGAAAGCCAGAACAAGTCAGCAGAGCAAAGCAATCCGCAGCAATCCCACACGGATCATCATGTGACCCTTCAATAAAGGATATTCAGGCGGGAGAAATCAGAAGAAACAAAGGAACAAAAGCTGCTGCATGCTGCTGCAGTCACTGCAGTCCTTCACAACGGTCGACCCTGCGATGTCTGCAATCATAAGTTTGGTGGCTGCGGAACCAATGTCAAACGCAGCTCGACGCCGCAGGTCCGTCATGGCAAGGGCGTCACAAAGGGTTGCGAAGGGAATGGGGTGTGAAGTAGGCTCAGAAAATCTCATAAAGTGCCAAATGCTGCGGTTCTGTGTCGTGTACAGTAGTTGTGTGTAGTGACGTGATGATGTGTGGTGGTCATGTCTTCCAAAATCATGCAAGGATGAGGTTGAGTGATGCTGGCAATGGGTTGCCTCACTCTGGTCTCCAACAATTCCCCAACAACTCACAAAGGCACTAGCATGCACTAGCCATCACTGACTGTGCCAAAGCATCTCACAGTCTACGCCTCTTTGTCCTCTTTGGAACTCCCATGCTAGGAATTCACCACTTTGCTGCTCTTGTTGCTATTGCATGTTTCTTTTCCTCTGCTGTCCGCTATGCAAAGCAGGAACCGAAAAGCTGTCAGAGGGTTTTTGGTGCAAAAAGTTGCAGGTGTCTTAAGAAGGAAAATCCAAATGCTTGCGCACTGTTTTGCCCCCTTCCGGTTTGGCATCGAAGAAAGGCATGGCAACCATGAACACTATTTGAAGTTCCTTGAGCCATCAATGAATCATCGCCGTGGATATTCATGGATACAGATATACTTAGTGACTTGGTGTCTGACCTCTCTTTCCGGCAAGTGTCTCGAAATCAGTTGATCACAGCGGATGTTGCCGACCACAGACCTGCCACGGCAGCTTGTCATTTCCTATGGCATCAGGTTGACCGCAGAAGCAGGTCACAAGATGGCACAAGCAACTTCTCAAATGCCTTGCCGGTGTGGACTGCACACTCCAATTGGCCCTTGGGCTCAGCCGTTCTGATTGCTTTAAGGGCAAGTCCTGTGCTTGTGACTTCAGAATTTTACAGTGATCAGTGATCAAGTTGTTCAATTCGGTTTAGGAAGCGGGCCGGCTTCGGACAGAGCGGGCCTTGAAGGGATCTTGCAGAAGAAAAGCCACTTCTGCTTGCAGCCCTTTCATTTCAAAATCACTGGAAGACAAGACCCAAGGAGCCAGAGCTAAGGCCAGCACGGAAGAGGGCCGACTACTTTGCGAGCCCTCAGACGATTTCATTGAATCCATGTGAGTAGAGAGAAACTGCCATCCTCTCTTCTTTTTCCAGGCTACTCTCTCCTTTTCCCTCTCCCTCCCTCCCTCCCTCCCTCCCTACCTCGCTGTCTCTCTCTCTCTCTCTCTATCGCCATCCCAAGGATCCAGCGGAGCTGAAGTTTCCAAGCTATTCGAATATATTCGAATACAAAATACATAGATATGATATACATTGTACAAGACGAAAATATATGTTCCAAATGTTCCAATCGGGGCTCTATTTTGCTTAGGCACAGCTGCATAGGACCTTTGCTCCGCAGATCTGGGCCGAATCCGGCCTCAGTGCCGGATGCGAAGCTCCGGCAGTTGAGCAGTTGCGCAAGCTATGAATCGAACTTGTCGAACCACGAAGGGAGCCTTCCCCAAACAAAAGTCTGCAAGAAACAGGAGAGAAAATCGAACATCATATACCATAATGTCCCAAAGAAGTTCCTCTTGAGCCCTTGCTTTGTCTGCTCGCAAGGCCCCCATGTCCGTGGATCACATCTGGTGGCATCTACCAACAAAGTATGGAATTTAAAAAAACACACCACAAATCTCTGCACATCCTCTCGTACGGCTCTGGCACCTGTGCTGCATTGTATCCTGCTATATCATGCTATATCCGATGATATCCGGCTATATCCTGCTACTGTTTCTTCAAATCTTAGGCTCTTCAACCTGCTGATACAAGGTGCCGTGCTGGACAAAGCTGCTGTTCTGGCCTTTGCCGGAGGCAAAGCGGGGGAACTCATGGAGCAGCAACAGCAGCAAATGTAGCAGGATGTAGCAGGAGTATTGCCGGAGTCATTGGGTAAGCGAAGTGAGATGACCAAATCCAGCCTGTATGTCATCGAAAGAACCTAGGTGCACTGATGCCACAGAAATCCACAGAATGTCATCGCAACTGGCGCAAAACTACGCTTTTGTTCGATTGAAATAATAATAGCCGCTACACTTCTGCCGGCCAGGAAGTTCAATCCAAGACAGTGATTGTTTGCATAATTCCCTGGAGCAGCATAGCACATAGAATCCTGTGAGCGCGGCTAGTGCTCTGCGATGCAGGCCTGACACAAGCACCCAACGGTAAATGTTCCACTAAGCGCGTTTGATGCGGCAATTTGATGCGTATTGTGGTAATGTTGGGTCCCGATTAGTGTGGGGATACTGTATTGTGTCAAGTTTTCCCAAAATAATTCTGACCCAGTGTAATTGTTGGGGTGGTACACTATTGTGTCAAGTTTTTTCAGCATGTTGTCAGTTTTCAGCATGTGTTCCAGTTGTTTTTTTTCAGCATTTTTAGTTTTTTTTCAGCATGTTGAGTTTTTTCATGTTTTCAGCATTTTTGAAATCAATTGATTACTGAATTAATTGACTAACATTTGTTTGTTGCGGTGGTCCTCTATTGTGTCCAGCTGTTGTCTGAAGAAACATTTTTTTAACTTGTGACCCATCAGCAAGATTGATCTTCAATACTATGTTTGTCGTGGTGGACCTCTATTGTGTCAAGTTTTTTGACGTGTTTTTTTCCAATTTCCTTGTCTCCTTTCATTTTCCTTTCCTTTAGTTTTTCTATCTTACTTTTTTATCTCCATTTTTTTGGATTTCTCAAAACGTCTAATGTCCTAAAATCCTTCCTTCTCTCCTTTCCTTTGCTAGAGCTTTTGTCTCTTACTTAGCTCAATTCTCCTGGCATCCTCTCCATGATTTCTATGGTGGTTCTATGGGACTTCTATAGATTCTCTATGGAACATCTATGTAATTTGTATGGTGTTTCTATGATATTTGATGGTGTTTCTAAAGGTGTGTCTATGCTAGTTGTATGGGATTCCTATGGGGGTTCAAAAGGATGTCTATGGGACTTCCTTTGGATTCCTATGGGATTTCTGTTGTATTTCTATGATATTTCTATGGAATTTCTTTGGGATGTCCATGAAATTTCTATGGGATTACTATGGGATTTCGAAAGGGATGTCGATGATATTTCTATGGGATTCCTATGGGGTTTCAAAAGGATACCTCTGGGATTTCCATTGGGTTCCTATAGAATTTCTATGATATTTCTATGGGACCTCTTTGGGATTTCCATGATCGAAGGAAGTTTAGAAGTCAAACTTCCGACAATATGGACAGATGAAAAGCATAGATGGGAAGAGGCAGAGAGAAGAGAAGAGTAGAAGAGAGAAGAGTAGAAGAGAGAAGATCAGAGAAGAGAAAGAGTCAGAAGAAAGAAGATCCAGGTGCGCGAAAAGGTAGGGAAGTCGCGAAACACTCTGTTTTTCCAATCATTGGTGGCTCCGCAGGGTCGAAAAGTAGGCTCGCTACAGCGGCGGGTGCGGAGCCATCTGGCCAAATGAGAGATGAAAAATTGCACGCCGTTGTGGCGCGAAGCACATTTCGAAGTCAAAATGTACAAAACACACCAGGTGCGGGCCACTTTTGGCAGTTGAGATGTCGAAAAAGTGCACGCCGTTGTGGCGCAAAGCACATTTCGAAGTCAACATGTACAAAACAAAACGCGACATGTTCGCGCCACTTTTGGAGGTTCAGATGTGCTTTCGCGTGGCAGGCGCAAGGGATTGTGGACCTTGTCGAAAGTGAGCAAAACGTGAGGGTTTCGTCGCATTTCCAAATACGATGGCAGGCGTGGGACATTTCAAGAGGATCTGCAAAGATGCATTTTCCGTGGTAGGCGCAGTACAAAAGACATGTTCATGAGAGATGTTAGGAGGTCAGGGCGCTGATTTCCTGAGAGGGGTTGCATTTTGGAGCATCAGATCTGTAGGTTTGCTAAGATGATTTTGCGTGACAGGCGCAGCACTTCGCATTACCTGGCATCAATTTTTCGTGGTAGGCGCAATAATTTAGACTGGAAAAATTGCCAAACGCATTGGTACGAGGCCGTCAGCTCTGCACTCAACTTTCCATTTTTGAAGGAAGTCTCGCAGAATTCTTTCGTTTTTGATGTTGTCAACTTCGAAAAATGAGAGAGTCTCGCAGAATTGCTTTGTTTTTGACGTTGTCAAGTTGAAATATAAGCGAAGTCTCGCAGAATTGCTTCGTTCTTGATGTTGTCAACTTTGAAAAATGACGAAGTCTCGCAGAATTGCTTCGTTTTTGACGTTGTCAAGTTCAAACATTGAGGAAGTCTCACAGACTTGCTGCGTTTTTTATGTTGTCAAGTTCAAAACGTTAGGACATCTCGCAGAATAGCTTCGTTTTCAAGCTTGCAGGTAGACAGATAGACAGACAGATAGATAGGTAGATAGATAGATACATAGATGGATCAGTAGGTAGGTAGGTAGCTAGACAGATAGATAGATAGATAGACAGATAGACAGATAGATAGAGAGACAGCTAGGTAGGTAGGTAGGTAGGTAGGTAGATAGATAGATAGAAAGAAAGAAAGAAAGAAAGAAAGAATATAGATAGAATATAGATAGAATATAGATAGATAGATAGATAGATAGATAGATAGATAGATAGAAAGGTAGATAGATAGATAGATAGATGGATAGATAGATAGATAGGTAGACAGACAGACGGACAGACTGATAGATAGATAGGTAGATAGATAGATAGGTAGATAGATAGGTAGATAGATAGATAGGTAGATAGATAGGTAGATAGATACATAGATAGATACATAGATAGATCGGTAGGTAGGTAGGTAGATAGTCAGAGAAAGAGAGAAAGAAAGAGAGAAAGAGAGGAGACCTCAACCACCTGTTGGTCCATCAGTGGCTTCGCTCTGCCATCCGTGATGCACAACAACCAACCTCTCCTATTGGTTTCCTATTTTTGAAACTTCCGCCTGCGTTGTGCGGTACTACTGGTATTTCTTTTGGATTTCTATGATATGTCTATGGTTCTATGGGATTTCTAGTGGATTCCTGTGTGATTTCTATGGGATTTCCATGGTGGTTCTTTGGAATTTCTCTGGGATTTCAACTGGATGTCTATGGGATTTCCTTTGGATTTCCATCAGATTTCTATGGGATCCCCATGGTATTTCTCTATTTTTTATTGGATTTCTGTGGGGTCTCCATGATATTTCTATTCGATTTCTATGATATTTCTATGGTATTACTATTAGATTTCTATGGAATGCCATCTGGGACTTCCATGATGTTTCTATGATAGTTCGAGATTACTATGGGATTTCTGAACGGATGCTATGGGAATTCTATGGTATTCTTATGGGATTTCCATTGGATTCCTATCAGATTTCTATGGTATTTCTATGATGTTTCTGTGGGATTCCTATGGGATGTCTGACGGAATTCTATAGGAATTCTATGGGATTCTTATGGGATTTCTGTTAGGTTCCTATGCTATTTCCATGTTATATCTATGATCTTTCTATGGCTTTTCTGTGGGATTCCTATGGGATTTCTATGATAAATCAATTGGACAGAAATTCACAATAAATTGATTTTGATAGTTTTCAATTTACCTTCCGTTGATATCAATTGATTTTCAATTGATTTCAATTTACTTTCAGCTGATTTCAATTGATTTTGATAGATTTCAATTTACATTCAATTGATTTTCAATTGATTTTCCAATTGATTTCAATTTACTTTCAATTGATTTTGAATTGATTGCAATTTACTTTAAATTGATTCCAATCTACTTCAACTGATTTTCAATCGATTTCAATTTGCTTTAAATTGATTTTAATGATGTTCAATTGATTTCAAATTGATTTTCAATTGAGTTCAATTTACTTTCAATTGATTTCAATTGATTTTCAATTGAGCTCAATTTACTTTCAATTGAGTTCAATTGATTTTCAATTGATTTCAATTTACTTTCAATTGATCTCAATTGATTTTCAATTGATTTCAACTTACTTTCAATTATTTTTCAATTGATTGATATCAAGTGAAAGTAAATTGAAATCTATCAAAATCAATTGATACCAATGGAAACTAAATTGAAATCAATTGAAAATCAATTGAAAGTAAATTGAAATCAATTGAAAGTAAATTGAGAAATCAATTGAAAGTAAATTGAAAAATCAATTGAAAGTAAATTGAAATCAATTGAAAGTAAATTGAAATCTATCAAAATCAATTGATATCAATTGAAAGTAAATTGAAATCTATCAAAATCAATTGATATCAATTGAAAGTAAATTCAAATCTATCAAAATCAATTGATATCAATGGAACAGAAACTTAATTGAAATCAATTGAAAGTCAATTGAAAGTGAATTGATATCAGTGGAAACTAAATTGAAATCGATTGAAAGTAAATTGAAATCAATTGAAAGTAAATTGAAATCCATCAAACTCAAGTGATATCAATTGAAAGTAAATTGAAATCTATCAAAATCAATTGATATCAATGGAACAGAAACTTAATTGAAATCAATTGAAAATCAATTGAAAGTCAATTGAAAGTGAATTGATATCAGTGGAAACTAAATTGAAATCGATTGAAAGTAAATTGAAATCAATTGAAAGTAAATTGAAATCTATCAAAATCAATTGATAAAAAATTTATTCAGACCCCGATCCCTAAAAAAAACACATTAAAGAGACTCTCAAAATTGATTAAGGGGGGCCCTACACTAATCAAGACCCAACATTAACCACAAGGCTCTGAGGTGCAAGCTGTGGCGATTGCTTTGCACCAGCACCCAGGCCTCAGCTAGTCAACTACAAGTTTTGTGGTGTTGCAGGGCACTGGCTGATGCAGGCAAATCCCCGAACCTATTTGTTCTTGCAAATGGGTCTTCTGCAATCCTTTCATGTCATATCCCATATATCCTAGCCCTAGCGTACATGACTATGTCTGCCGTTCCTGCAAATATTCGTCCTGCTCATGACCTCTGTTGAACGTGCTTACTGATCTTCCTGCACATAATGATATATTGACAGATGATCATGAGCCATGAATTTGAAATGGAAAATGCATTTCCCCCAACGGCAACGCATGTCGATGCGCTTTCCTCAATTGCCTTCCCCAAGCATAATAACATAATTATATGATATATGCATCTAATCGATGCGCTTTCCAGCGCTTACAGTACTTGCTACTGCACAACATTGCACAACAACTCCATCTACGTTGAGGTGGAACGGCTTGGACGCACGATGCTACCAAGGCCATCCAAGGATCCAAGGCCCTCCGTCTCACACTGTGAATTTCCGAAAGTTCTGAGGCACGAGCCTCCATCGCGGGCCGAGGCCGGGTCGAACCTGCTCGAGGCGCTCTGCAAGCACGACAGCGAGGCAACATCAGAATCCCGGAGTTATTGCGAGTCGGACCGGCCGACTGCAAAACCTACAAACTCAAAGGACGGTTAACTTATTTTGACGTAAAGGGTGTGTGAACAATTTCCAAACAGTTGTATCACGCAAACTCCTTAGTATGCGTAGGTATCGCTGGCTGCTTTCCGCATTGTCTGGGAATCAGCGCATATCAGCTCTATCCAACAGAAAACGCTTTTCCAAGGGAGTGACCTGAGACATCCTGAGGTTCAAGCTCGCTGGTTGCCATTTTTGGGGCAGACACCTGTGATGCGAACATGTCCAGCTGTTGCCCTTCGACGTCTTACATGGTCAGGTCAAATCAAGCCACATTATTTGGACGAATGACCACGCTGGCACAGCTATCTTCATTCAAGCAGCCTGTATTGCTCATTCAAATAGCTTCAATGTTCAAAGCCCTCAAGACACTTCTTCATACATGTTCGCCTGAGGGGCAGTCCGGCCACACCTGACACAGGCCAAGACAATCACAGCACTACAGCATGTCCCTGCCACTATCTGGAACCCGCGCAAATTGCAAAATGCAAGACATCTGGATAGAAAACAAGATAACTACTAGTAGTGTCCATACCGGTGCTGATGGTGGCCTAGCTGCTCTGCGTGTGTAGGGCCTTGTCTGGCCATGCTGATGGGCAAACCCTTCACATGCCTCCCACACATTCTCATGCCCTATGAGTCCTACGAACCATTCAATCAGCTGCACACCAACGTCCTACGAACAGGTGCTGAATGATTCTCCCATCGATGTCTTAGCATAAGCTGGGATGCTTTCTGCTGGCTTTGTACAACCGGTATAACCGGCGAGTATTCGGAGATCATCTGAGATCTGCACTCGGACGCTCTGATCCTTTCTATTGCCTGACGATGAATGCTCTTCACTTCACCCGCCTACAAAGAACCTGGAAACGCATATTACATAATATTACATAATATTACATATGCAACATAAATAACATAATAACATCCGTTGGGAGGTCTGTTATGGTCTGTTTGGCGTGGTAGAGTTTCCAAATCGCCTCTTCAAGCTCGTTGTCTTCGCTGTAATCCTCTTGAATGTGCAACTCCTGCAATTCCACTTTGTGACTGATTTGTGACTGCACAGCGACTTATGTCTTGGATGCTTTTGGATGCTTTTGGCTGATTCGGCTTCAAGACCTTTAAGCAAACAGCCTGTATGTCAGGAGAATCAGCTTGTTGCAATCTATCCACCGGATGTCTCTGGCATCAGAGCGTGCATTGCAAGTACCTTTGGACTGACATGTGCTCCTCTGATATTGACATCACCTTTCTTGCTGCGTTTACTGCAACAGAGCCCTGGCAAACGTGGCTTCACGAGCCTTCAAAAGAAAGGTGTAATGCGATCAACATCTTGTAAATGCTTTCCTGATTATCTTTCACATCATGAAGGTCTTGGTGCCACTTCATCTGATCTAGAATCTAAGCATTCAGAGGGAACTCAGAATGACCAAGTTTAAGGGCATCAGTAGATTACCGGCCGTCCCGCAGATCCCAGGTATGGTTTCGTGCTTTGGCCTTTTGATGGAAGTAAGATGAAGTAAGTTTGTTGAAATATGTCTGAATGGGCATACCTAGCACTTGATTCCTAAAAGCACCAAAGAATAAAATGATCTTCCTACACACCAGGTCAAATTTGACTCTCCATCAGCAGTCCAGAACCCCCAATGAAAATCCACATAAAATCTATCACAAGATTCCATAAGCTCCGCAAAGCTCTGCATGTCAGGCCCAGACCGGCCTGGTTGCCCTGGTTGCTTGCACGTGCTTCTGGCGGAGCACTCCGTGGGCTCGACACCAACCTTGGTACATCTTGCCCTATGGCATACAATGTCGACGATGTTTGTTCAATGATTCAACCAGAAAACAACCAAGATGTTTTAGATGTTTTAGCAGGGAATGGCTGCTTTCTTTTTCGCACGAAAATGCAAGTGAAAAATAAATAAAAATAGCAAAGCTAGCTCAAAAATGTTCAAAAGGTGTACTGTAAATCAAGGCTTTCATTAAGGCCGCCACTCGGCTTCCTTGCTAGTTGCTGACACAGGCCTGGCTCGAAAAGAATGCGGATCAAAGCAGCACAGCACCACTTGGCCAAAATTAACCCTCTCTGATGCATGTGGGAAATCGTGGGAAATTGTGGGAAACTATCAACTCTTAGCACTTCCGGACAGCATGCTTTTTCAGCTTAGCTCCGCATAAAATTCAGTCGCAAATCAATCTATAGAGACGTGTCAATACATACATTGTTTTTGGAGTCATGCAAGCGAATGGCCAACGTTCAAACCATGCGCAAGAATCAGCAAAACCGAGCTCAAGCAGAAAGTTCGACATGAAGCAAGCTGCTATACTGCTTCATGTGAATGGATAAAATATGATAAAATATGATAAAATAACACTGTTATAATCTAGTATGCACTGAATTTGCAGATTGCAGCACTGACCGCTGAAAACACTTCATATCTGCCCCGAGAATGCTGATTGGTCAGCTCACAATCGGGTTCGCGCAAATGTTCAGGCTGCTGCTGCCTTGGGACAATCCCAGTCCTAGCTCCATCTCAATGACACCCAGAATCACCCAGACAAATAGCAGGGCCAAGTTGCAATTTTCAAGTTCAACTGGGCCCACGCGCATAATACGCACAAGTTGTGTTGATGTTTCTCCTCTTTTCTCCTACAATGAAATACTATACATTTACATGACATTCTCATAATACATCATAATACTATGAAATGTGTGTGTGTGTGATTGTGTCCACGTAATTACGTACAGTAAATCACGCCATTGAGCAGCGCAGTTGTGACATCGCACAGTTTCCACTCAGCTCAGAGCCGAGGTCTCCGCTGGTCGAGCTGGAAAGCCTTGGCCACTGCCGTCACTGTGATGCAATGCGCCGAGGCGCCGCCGAGGTTCCACGTTCCGTCGAAATCCGTGGAACCATGCGGAACCATGTGGAACCATGTGGAACCCAGGTCAATTCAGCCCGATTTAGCCCGATTCAGCCCGTTCGATTTTGGAGGGTGCAGTTTTGGCTCATGTGGAAGGCACTGCATATCCTTCACATCCTGTCACTGCATGTGTGACAAAGGTTGAACCCATGTGTTAATCCAGCCAGTTCCTCATCAATGCCTCATCAGAAAGTGACATTCCAACCTCCCGGCATCTTTGTGGAGGTGCACGTTCTGCTCATCTAAAATCATCTAAACAGGTTCATGAAAATGAGCTGAGCAACTGGGCGGTGGCGGTGGCAAGCGAGTGTCAGAAAAGGTCTTGCCCTTCAAACGCTGATCCAATTCATCTTCAAGGCCACGGATCATGACCTCAGAATGTGAATCAACAGATCAACCTCTCTAAATCAATCTATGAATCTGAATCAAATACATTCTACATCATTCTACATCATTCTACATTCAAATACAGTAGAATGTGCAGAGTCAAGGGATCAGGTCAAGGGATCAGGGTGAGAGCACATGAGAGCACTATCTGATCCCAAGACGACCCTTTCCCAGGAGTTCAAACTAAACCGAACGCCGGTAATGTCACCAGGAGCAGCGGCAAGGGCTGACAAATGCCAATCTGTCCGGATCTGTCCGGTCACTGAATGCCTAGAAATTTGGTGCCTTCATTTGAAACGAAGATCTCAACCTGAACGGCCTTAACGTATCAAAACAATCCCACATGTCAATCTTGCAAGGTTGAGGCCCCAGCCCGTAAGACTCCATCCACATTGTAGGCACCACCCACGGGAGTCCACAGTTCGTGGATGACCTAGGGACCAGGTGCTCTCTGGCCCATGCTTCTTGAACATTTCAAGCTCATATGTCATAGACTCATAGGTTCGAAACCGTGTAGGTCTCTCTCTCTCTCTCTCTCAGTCACTCACTCACTCACTCACTCACTCATTCACTCACTCACTCCCTCGCTCTCTCTCTCTCTCTCTGTTTCTTATTTTCTTATTTTCTTATTTTCTTATTTTCTTATTTTATTTTCTTATTTTCTTATTTTCGTTCTTTCTTTCTTTCTTTCTTTCTTTCTTTCTCTCCAACTAAAGGATGGAAAAGAACTCTATACAATTATATACAGTACATACATGGACACAAAATGCATCGAGCGAATGCTTTAAGCATCTTTAAACACGTTTTAGCTCTACGAGTACTACCGGTACCAGTAATACCAAGGATCCAGAAAGAAACAACACATTGCTGAACTATGGTTTATTCATGTGTATTCAAGTTATCATCTTTTCTTGCGCTGCTTAGCTCTTCCAGCTCATACTTTCAGACTGCCCAGGTTGTTCCGCATTAAGCGCAGCTTGATGACACGCATAGTCATCATCAATGCTCCAGCCATGGATGCAAAAAGCATTCGGCAAAGCTGTGACTCAGCTGCTGAAGGGTTCCTTAAACTTTCGATCTTTGTCCGCGGTGTGTACCGGCGGAGAAAAACACATACCCAAACTCAAACACGCATGTCTTTTTACTGTCGCAATATGCATGAATATATTCATCATAGTCGTAGCCTGTTTAAAACATCTATCTGTATAATATAGCTGCGGTGAAAGAGGAGAAACTCGTACAAAAGCAACTACTACTTCCCCTTGACTTTCTTCTCGCATAAAACAGTATTGCCTCATATCATAAAATGTTATAAATCGAGTGTTTTTGGAAGGCCTTTCTTGGAATCCAACTATATCCAGCTCAGCTTCGCCGAAGCCAAAAGAAGCAAACTCATCAAGTTGAAGCCTGCCAGCACATAGAGCAAGGCCATCCTCGGTTTTCCAAGGTGGGTCCTGCATGTCCTGCATGTCCTGCATGTCCTGCACTGGAGCTTCAGCCATGAAAAATAGTGGAAAATGATTTTGATTGATGTTGATTGATCTTCTTTGAGCGGCATTGATCATGCTTGCCCTAGAACAAGCCAGCACAAAAGGTATACAGCACCTCCCTCTGGATAAGTTTCTTAGTGAATGATTAAGATTGATTAAGTAAAGATAACTTCCTGCCGGAATCGCAAAAAAGTTGACAGCAGCGAGAGAAATGCAGACCAAGGCGCTGTACGGGTGGCAGTTTACGCTGAACTGCACCCAGGCGATCACCACGGCGTTGACGCAAACTCCTCACTGTTTCGTAGACCTCATGGCACCACATGTCCAAAACCCATTGGTTAAAAATGTTAAAAACTGTTGAAAGGTTGAATGTGGAAGGTCCTCATCTGTCATGTTGATATCATGTGATGGTACATCAGTGCATTACACGGCATTGTCTTGTGGCAGAATGTGGCATAAATAGAACCCCCGGATGAATCCTCACGGGTTGTGCTTGCCACTCTCTGCAGCCTAGACTCAGCTGAGGGAACTCCTACACTGGTCAAATACAGGATGCTCTCCAACGGGTCATCACCTGAGAAATCATTGAGTTAACAGTGTTAACAAGAGAAGATCAAGCCCAGGTCCTGAAGTTGCTTCATCGTGCTTCATCGTGTGGTGAAAGGCGGAAAGGCCCAACGTTGGCACAAATTAGTTCGTGTTTAGTATGTTTTGGTTCACTATAGTTCTCTCAAGGACGAGACGTGGTTTGCAAGCACAAAGGATGGAAGGAGGGCGATCCAACCGTCGAAGGTCGCGCTCCACGTAACGGCGGATGTTCTCCAGCGCAGATCGATAGAAGGGCCTCCATGTCAGGATGCTTTCAGGGGAGTGAAAAGCTTAAAGCAACTGTGGTTCCAGTTTCTTCCAGCCTGTTCCGGCATGTTAGAATATCTGAAACATATTGTGTGCATAGAACTTTACATCCAATGTGTGTGAAACCAGTTTGGCAACGCCAAGTCCGCAGCAGCAGCAGCAGCCTTCCAGAGCACACCAGGGCAATCTGCTCCATCAAAGCTTTGGCCTCAGAGACCTCTGCGAACAAAGCACAAAAGATCGCCTCGTTCTGCGAGTAGAGGGATGAATAGTTGCTGCCAGCCAGGATGGAGAACAAGACGCCTCGGAAAACATGGGAAAACAAAAATAGAAGCGATGAAAAGAGAACTGACAGACTGACACGAACGTTTGCAAACCTTTCACCGTGGATGAGCATGCGATTGTCTGTGATAAGCCATGTCAACTTGCTTGTCCTTCTGATGGAATTCATTGTTCACGTTGAGGCGCTCATCAGCGCAAGGACATTTCCGACATAGCCCTGAGCAACATCACCCAAAGGCACAATTGTTTTGGTTCCCGTCAAGAACGTCCACCTCAGATTCAGATTTCAGAGCTGTGCATGGCCTGGCATGGGGCAATGAGACTATCAATCCTCCTGTGGTACATTCCAAAAGAAACTCCACAAGTGCCACAACTGTCCTTCAGGTTGTTATTTAGCAGCCAAGGCTTTCTTGGGATGGATGGCAAGGGAAAGGTAATGATTTCTGATAGCTCTATTTACTGTTTACCCACATGCTCGGCGAGGCACAAGAACTGTTGCAGGGATGGGTAGAATAGATAAGCCCCTGCTGCTGTAACGACCGACCAAAGCCCCACGCGGCAGACAGTTTTGAGCACATTCTTGCGTACCACTACTTTGAGCTTGTCATCATCATCATCTCCTGCAGCACGATCCGAAACAGTTCATTTCAGCAGAAGGCAGGGACATATTGATGTTTTTCTTCGGATTTTGTAGAGCCTGACATAGCCTGACTTTGTGCAACACCAGGCGCAACACCGAGGACAACACGACGGCGCCTCCATCTCCAGCAAGGCGTTGCACTTTGCGCCTTCGTGTGAAACTTCTGCGTACCTACCATGATCGTGGTCTTTCACATGAGCAGGAGGGGGAAAAAGGATAAAAAAGGTGTTCTGTGGCAAAAAAACAAAGGTTCAATTGATATATATTGATATGACCTGGCCTTCACGGCTTGACACATCACCAAGCCAGCAACGATTGCCTTTTGAAAATACTGCGGCTTTTGCTGCGATTGGAGTGGCCTTCCAGCACTGGTGCCGAAAATGCAGGAAATTCATGGACCACCAAGACGTTTGTGGGAACGGCACGAGCCGTTTGATTTCTTTTTCTGGGGTTCTAGCTGATTGTGAAAATGCTCTATACATATAATATATAAGTTTTCAGGCCGTGCCTGGCAATTTTTTGTATGATACTTCTGCCTGTTCAATCATGTCCATGAGCTGAGGGTGGCTTAGTACGTTTATCATGCCTTGTTGGGGAGCACTATATACAGTAACTCCTTTTGGCAGCAAAAAGAAGAAGCCAGAAAAAATGAAAGAATGACGAGGCTTGCAATGAAACTGACCAAATCATGCCATGACCATACCCCTAACTGACCCAGGCCTGTGGACCGCAAGGCTGCCAACTTCCGACCGCAGTGGCACATGACCCACAGCAACAGACTGTCCAGTGACAGGTGCAAGCACAGCGGCCATGGCGTCCGGGAACGGCGCAAACCGACACCAACCTCAAACCCGAGCAAGAGCCCGCTGACACACGTCCCAAAACCCCAAATAGTGTGGACTTCTGTTTTGTGCAGACTTCATTGAATCTGAGACGCCCTGGTCTTTGAACAGCTTTGGGCCAAGCTATGGCAAAAGGACCAAACGTTCCCAACCGATTCTTCTGCACAGAAACTGCTTTCACCGTGTGTGTAAGAATCTATCGATCTGCCTGTCTGTCTGTCTGTCTGCCTGCCTGTCTGTCTGTCTGTCTGTCTGTCTATCTCTCTCTCTCTCTCTCTCTGTCTGTCTGTCTGCCTGTCTGTCTGTCTGTCTGTCTATCTTTCTATCTGTCTTATCTATCTCTCTATCTGCCTGTCTGCCTGCCTGCCTGCCTGTCTAGTCTATCCATCTATCTCCCTTTTTCAACCAAAAAATCAATCAATCAATACATACAACATAAACAAACACAAGTATGCTTCTACTAGTCCTTTCCACCCTCAACCTGCGCACGTCGACCAGCATGAAATCTGCAGAAGATGTAGAAGCCGGCCTTGATTGAGCAGCAGAGAGGCTCGCACTTGTTGGCCTTCAGACGGACAATATCCACTGAAATCCACTGCACGATATCATAACCTGAAAATATTAAGATACTTTGTCAGATAAAGAGATGAAATGCCAAGTCAGTCCACACACTCAGACACGCTGCATTGGCTATGGAAATGTGCTAGCAGATAGCACTTGAGGGGGATGGTGACTTCAGCGGTCCAACAGAAAGTACCCTGTTGGTGAGGCAGCGCTGATGCATAAATTAAGATTGAATAAACATGACTAGAAATGATGTCTATTTACGCAACTAATTATGTTACCTCACTAACTATTGTCGTTTGAGTGACTCATATCAACACCAACGAAGCCAGCCAAACCATCCTGCCTGGATGTATGATTGGACTCCGCTACAGATGGAACCGCCTTGCAGGGTCACAAATGGTGAAGCTTCTGTTGTCTTGTGCCAAGCCTAGGCATGTTACACACTGTGCATGAACCATCACAAGATATCACAAGTCATTGGAGTTGACAGCACCTGTGCTAAATCACAGAAGGACACTGTAATTCTCAGTGCCAGAGGTTTAGGACCTTTAGCCGCATCCTTTAGCAATATTTGACATATTTTGACATCATGATCATCATGTAACCAGCATGTAGCCATCTGGGTTTGGTACAGTCGAAGGCATTGGACTGTCAAGTCCCGATGCCTCAGTGGGTCCAGCCATGCTGCGCTGTCTGCAACTGTCTGCAACTGTCTGCAACTGTCTGCAACTCCAGCACGACATGATACTGTATCATGATCCAGCTTGAACTTCATGAACTTCGACTTTTTATGACGCGCCACTCGCTATGATCTGCATGTCTGGGGCATATCTTTGAGCCCAGTGCTGTGTACATCATGGTCTTTCCCTCCAGCCTCAGTAGCTGGGTTAAACAATCACGGATGAAAGAACTGGTCACACTGAACCACATGAACCAGCTGCCAAAAGTCGGACCACTTGGCTCTCGACATATCAACCTTCCAGAAGCCATGAAGCACCTCATGTGGCACCCAATCTGCAATCCAACAAGCGCTACAAGTTACAAGATACCACAAAATGCCAGCATTCAAAACGTTACAAGAAAAAAGCACAAAAGACGCCAACATGTTGCCGTGACAATCTCAAATTGTGACTGAGGCTGTCTATTAGTGTTTGTTGGACTGCATGTCTGACTGAGATGCGCACAGCCTTTCCAGAATCATCTGGGATAAATTCCGATATCAAACCTTCCAGGCTCTTCACTCAATGCAGAACATCGGTGCCATCGTCACACACGGCGAGCCCTTTCTCTGGCCCATCAAAGCAGGTTTTGCATGGTGTTTATCCATTCAGGCCACGACGCTTCAGCTTCCAAATTTCTCGTAAACACGTATCAAGCTCTAATGCAAACAGTCACCTCAGGGGTCATCAGATTTGAGCTCCAAACTTCCAAGACCTCGCCCATGGAACCGTTGCACGTACCTATATAATCCTATATAGGCGCTACACAACTAGCCTGCAACAGCCCCTGACTGCCCTGACTGCCCTGACTGCCCTTGACTGACTGACAAATGTGACATGGGACTACATGGCAACCACACCCGCACAAAGTCCAGAGCATGTCCAGAGCTAATGAGCTAATGATAGCTAATGGGATTGCATATGACTGCATACATTTGCTCTTCATCCATGTACAACATTGTACAACCCACAGGGGACGGAGCAGTTTAATCAGGAACCATCGCTGTCATAACTGTCATAAGGAATCTCAGAATTGATCGTGTGTCAACCCCGAGAGCTTTGTGCGCACGCGACCAAGTGCTTGGACTTTGCCTCCACCTGTGAAGCGAATGCATCCGGAATGAAGACCTGCAGAGATGCTGCTCCGAGGGCCAGAATACTCTCGAACTGGAAATCTAGTTATTACCAAAGAAGGGAAAGAGACAGTAAAAACAAGCTTTACCTGTGGGCTGCAAGTCCAAAATCCGAGAAGGTACGTGAGATAGGACACCAAAAAATCTTAAGCACCCGTTTAGATATGCTATGTTGTTCTGGCATATTCTAGTATGATCTAGTATGATTGAGTGCCAAGTGGACGGCATGTTCAACTGTTTGAAAACGCACCACGGCTGGGTTTTGCAACTACAGAAAAACAGACCCATCTCGTCCCGAGGATGTCATCAAGGCTCATACTGATCGCATAGAGTTGGATGAGCTCGAAGACCCTGATCAGGAAAGAAGCTCAAACCAGGCTCTTCTAATCGATTCTAATCATTTCCAATCAAGCACGTGCAATCAGTTGCGCATATTGTACAGGATTGTACTAGTACAAGTATAAATGCCCAGAGCCTGGCGAAGGATCCTTTCCATCCAATGGATATACCTGCAACTGAAGCTGAACTGTGCTGTGCGGCGAATTTGCGTTCGTTGGCCATGTTGTACTTTGATACATTGAGACAGAATCTTATGATGTTGGAACAGGTTCAACTGCCGCAACACTAGAACCCACAAAAGCGCACCTGCGAGAAGGGCTGTCCAACCAAGTCAAAGCACCTGTGTTTTGATGTGTTTTGATGCGTTTTGCAGACTCGCAGCTTTTGCGGTCGTTCAGCTCAGGTCGCCACTCCTCGCCATTTTCGCGAGAGTAAACGCTCACCTGAACATATCTCCAGAAACAGCACGCTGATGGGACTGAGTCAGGAATTGTCAGAATGTTTCTTAAAACATCTCAAAACAGCTACCAAAATGCATGTACAAGGCGTATGACTGTATAACATTGCATAACTGTATATATATATATATATACGTAAATATATATATAACCGTATAACTCGCAAATCATGTCCACACTGGTGAAACTTGTAGATATGATACTGTGCTCAAGGATCAGGCAACTCGCAGATTTGTTGGAGGGACTATCAAAGACTGGAGCGACCACTCCTGCAGCTCTGCAGCGTTCAAGAGATGCTGCGGGTCCAGTTTCAATGTGTTTTTCGACATTGTGTTTCAATCTTGGCACTATCGACACGTCGAGCAATGGTCAAAAATATGATTAAACATTGATAAAAATGGAAGCTATTGGACGCAATGCATCCAATATACAAAGTCTTGATTCTTGACATGCAGTTTCTATCAGCTTCTAGCTAGCCTCAAGTCAAGGAACTCAACACTAAACGTCGTGCCATGTCCCCTTTGAGTTGGCCTTACTGAGTGGATCGGTGGTATCTCGTGTGATCAGTGTATATAATCTTACACAAAAATCTTGCCTCGTCATCTTCCAAATGCGGAAGTGCAGGACAATCTGGCACAAACCCTCGTTCAGTCCTCAGGTTTGAGCATTGCATCCCTTGTATATTCCCGCAGTCCAAATTGTGTCCACCCAGCCCCGTTTGCAAACGTCACGTTCTTGGGACGATACCTTTCCAATAGTTCCATCCTTGGAGCTGTCAGAATGACACGGACTGTTTTGCAGGCATACCTGCGAACTACAGAACCGTCCCTTGTATCGTTGCAGCCTTGCATCAAGTAGTGAAAGCATGTGAAATATTATGAAATGTGCCGAAACACGTCGAAAATTGACGAAACACATGATACTGAAATGATACTGTACTATCTGTACTGTATGCTGGGCCATGCGCAATTGCGAAGCGTTTAGCACGTGCGCCTTGGGCGGCCCGGCAACGCCTGCGAGCCAAACAGCGCGCAATGCACTGAGTCTGAAATGTCAAGCAACCATTTAGAGCAAGCAGCATAAGCAGCTCACTTTTTTTTTGCCAGGGCTTCTCAAGCAGCTCACTTGGAGCACACAAAAAATGCCAACCCGAGCAAAAACATGAGAAAGCGAGCATCAAGGAATGCTGCACCAACTCAACCAAATCAGCTCACCAAAAAAAAAATCTTCTGCCTGCCTGCTGCATGCCTCCGCAGAATAGCCACCGGGGTTTGGGCGCCTCAGATTCAGTGGTAACGAATGGCACGATGAATGTGCATATTTCGTCAAATGGAACCATTCCCCAAAATCCATCAAAATCCATGGAGGTGCTCATCATTGCTCATCAAGAGTATATAACTTATATAACTACTGTATACTACTGTGCTACGAAAACAAGGTGGAGAAAAAGTAAAAAGATGTAAAAAGCAGAAACAAGACAACAATGATGACCACAGTGATCAGTATGTGATCAGTATCGATGATGCTATTCCATTGAGTGATGTCGGTATTTTGAGTCAAGCTGTCACTCTCTGAGCAGAAGTTGGGCGTCTCTTGATCGAACAAAGTTCTTGACGTGGAAAGTCTATAAGATAGTGTAAGCATGTCTTGTCCAAGTAACATTAAGTAACGAAGTATGTCTAAGATTGTCTAAGTATACCGCTTAGGGCCACTGGGCTCGGCACAAAGGTCCGTGGCTTCAGCCGTCTTCGCCGAGAGTGCCAAAAGGCGGTCCAGCAAAAACTGAGGCAAAATTGGGGATGTGCAGTGACTTGCAGCATCTCAAATGACCATAAATGACCGTTGAAAATTCGCAGCGCCATTGAACCCGAAGGATCCCACTCCCCACGCACCTGTTTGGTGAACTGTCTGCCATCTCTCTTTTGAAGCAAGCCACGCCTTGAAATTCAGCAACTAGCTCTCATGTATCTATATATATATACACATAATATAATTAATATACAATTAATATACATTATATGCTCCAAGTTGCTGCAATATCATGCCATGTCATGGAGGACTGTTGGATATCCAATGAACAGCCACTCCAGCAATCGAAGGTTCCACGAGCAATCACAAGCATTTTGACGACACACTGTATCTGCACTGAGGCTGGATCTGATTCGAAAAGAAACCAGCTTGCAGAGAACATCCACCTGGTGAGTCGCTCGTCTTGTCAAACGGCTCAGGGACTCAGGGACTTCTACGGCAAGATGCTGCAAGCAACAACTGCCTCAAAAATACTTGTGGCGCTGCTGCATCTTACGCACCCTGCGTGTTGCAATGATTGTGATATGTACCTGACCCAGTAAGCTTCCTTGGACTCGAACGGAAAAGGGCTACTTCGGGAATTCTTTGCTTCAACCTCTGGTGACACAGATCTGCTGCGAAAGTCGGTACATGTCCAAACGTGCTTGCAAAGATTATTCCAAGACATTCCAAGTCTGTCGGATTCGTGCGCACCTGGAGAATTGCTTGCAGTTGAGTAGCGGGAGTGCATCTAAGTCAGTCGGCTCTTTGGTCAGGTACTGCCAGAATCTGATTTCCATACTGAAATTTGCGGCTCAGCCTGGTGAGGGCGTGCAGGTTTGCACAGGATAGTCTGACATGGGCTGCTTGTTTTTGCCCTGCACCACTAGCGGACAGCATTGCATATCATATTATTGCATATTGCCCTTTGGCCAGACCTCCACGCTGAAGCGCTAACCCTCCCCACTAGTCCCAGCCATCCTGTTTACCAGGACTTGCGCGGATGGTAGGAGCCAAGAACCAGGCCCAGCAAATCATGAGATGATCAGATCAAATCAAATGATCAGCCCCAGGCATTCCACGGAGAATGAGGTTTCATGCAAAAAATAACGATCTCTTGCTTCGACGTGTCCTGTGCATTGGATATGTTTTTTGTCAGTTGAAACGCTGACTTCTACCTAAATGTGCACAGCTTTTGGCTGCGACTCAACAATTTGTTGTGGTGAGACCGGGGCCCATGATGGCTCCTTTTGAGCCTTTGGACATACCACCAGCAATGGATTTCACTGCTATCTATTTGGCTGTCACCGGGCGTCTCAATGCACTTTAGCATTTTGAGTCTCTCTGGCCATTCATCACCGTGGCAAAATTTGCAGAATCTGATCGATCTTGTCCTGTCACCAAGACCGGTCAACTTGCAAGGGAAGAATCATATAAAATATCAGGGCGAAAATGATCTGGGATATATCCAGGGTCATCCATGTCTGCAAAAAGAACAGAAAAATACAAAAGCAAATGTTTTGGAGGAAAGCCAGAAGTGCCGATAGCAGCCTATAGTGCCGAGAACGCTCGCTGAAACATTCATTGGGGTTGGATTGGGCTGTGTGATGTTGCATGCTGAAATAGGCTGCATGGTTGAGGAATGAGGCACCAGCAGGGACCTTCAGGCCATCAACTGCCGTCTCAAGGGAATTGAGTCGCTTGCCGACGTGAACGTTTGAATCCTTAGTTCAACTTTGACTTCACAAGAAAATCTCAAGTCCTGCAAGGCTTGGTCCGGGTTGTCCGACATGTTCCCACCCAAAACAACGTTGTGGAACCCAGCCTCGAAGCTGCAACTGGAATGCACTTGATTGTGGGTGACATCCTGGAAAGGGCATGGGATATTGGTGTTATTGATGCAAGAAGAGCCCACTTTCAGTGGATACAGTTCCGACTCACAGCATCAGATGATATAGACATATAATAAATATCATATAATTATAGTATGCGTGACATAAATGTAATCATGAAATATCATTGGACATCCTATGCAGTGTGGCTCAAAACACATCTCTCGTTCTTTTGACCTTCAGAATTGTTGCGGTCAACATAAGCATCAAAGTTCTTGACACGCACTCTGGCTGGTCCTGTTTTCCTCGAACGAGGTCTTCATGCATGTCTCTGATCTCTTTGCGAAGCTCGGTGACCTGCACACCACTTGGATTGCATGGCAGTCAAAATGATTATATAAACCTCCATATTGATCCCCTTGGAGGTGGTCGAATGATTCGTAGAGAAAGCAGTTTCAAATTCCAAAGCGCAATCAGCCCTACCCATGGCCACAAAGCAGCAAGTGGATCTTCTCATGAACATTCATTGCGGAGTCCGCGTCATTGTCGGCTTGAATTTCACCCCAAGATGCAGGATCCTTTGGGTACGCAAACCAAACCTTGGCAGCTCTGCGATTTTCAGGAAGCCCAGAATATCAGGATGCTCCGCCCCAAGTGTCTATCCGAAGCCTTTGTTCAACTCTTTCCCCCAAGCTGGTCAAGAAATATGATGAAAATTGATGAAATTGTCAAAAAATGTCAAGGAGCATACTGAGCATCAAATTCTGCTTGTACCTTCTGTCTTCGGCAAATGCAAATCTTGCTCCAACCACGCGCCGTGGTAAAATGCTGCAGAACCAGTCGGGATCGCTCCAAGAGGAACAAACGCTCCCGATGCTCCCAGCCTTGTCACTGGTACCATGTGGTACCAGGGCATAAGACTATCATAAGACCAGTTTCCAAGGCACAACTTGGTGACTGAGTTGGGATTGCAAAAACAAGCGAAATGTTATGCCCTATATTTGCACTTCCAAGATTGCAATCAGTTTGGTGGTATTGGATAATGAATATACAAAAATTGATAAAGCAGCTGCAATCCAAGTTGCCCCTGTTGTAGCTTTCAGCCAGAACGCCAATCAGAATATTCATCATGATGATGGACATGCTCAGGCCCATGAACACCAGCACGCTGTCTACCTGATTTGGACTTTAGCATGCATTTCGACTGCAGTGGAACTGTCCACAATGGTCGCAACCAGGAGCCTCCTGCAAGTTTCCCAAAACCAAGATGGATCAAAGAGGCTGACAATCGGGCTCGTACACGCAAACATTACAATGCGAAGTACCGCCAGGCCCACAACAATCACAAAATCCGATCCTGAAACAGTGTAGACAGTATAGAACACAAACTGACTAGAATACCAGAGCATACCCAAGTCAACCAAAGCAGCTTCCAAGTAATCCAAAGTAGCTTCCGGCTCAAACTGCTTCACCAAATGGCATCAAGTTATTTCATCATCATATTTCATCATATTTCATCAACTCAAGAACCAAGGCCCCCCAGCAGCTGTGAAAAGATTGATGATCTCATTGCTTCCCCAGTCTGAGTGTGAGTCCTCAGCAAGCCTTTCCCTTTGAGAAGGGCTACAGCGGCTACATCAAATCACAGCATGGAGTGGATTTTCTCCCGCCCTGAGCGCTACTTTGAGCCTCTGGCAGCGGCGTGGCTTTGGGCGCTCCTTGGGCCGCCTCTTGTGCCCCTTTAGCCACCCCTTCATCACCTGCATCGCCATCGCCATCGCCGTCCTCACCAGGCTCGGAAGCCGAAGAATCTTCGCCTCCGAGATCCAACGTCTCTCGGCTCTCCTTCAGTCGCTGCTGCGCCAGCTCTTGGAATCGTTGCAGAGGCACCGGCAAAGCGATGTCTTCAATTGCATCAGCAATGCCAAAGATCCAAGATGTGCTATTCTCTGCGACAGCACGCTGAACCACTTCCCTAAGTTGAGAGCACTCGGAATCTTGATTTTCGTTCAGTTCCTTCATTAACTTCTGAATTGCATCTCCTGGTTTTGGCCCAGATGAGGAAGGAATCGATGGAACTACGACAGAGCCAGGTGCATCTTCCCATTGCGCCGCTTCAGCGGCTGCTTCATCTGCAGCCACTTGGGCATCAACCTCTGCAATCATGGCACGGCTCAGCTTGCGCAAAGCGTCCAGGAGAGGGGTGTCGATGGGAAAGTGATCAGGTTTCATAGAAAATGACTCATGTTTCAGGATATCGCGGGTATTCTTCGACCCGAGCCGCTCCTCAGAATCTTTCTTGAGCAGCTGCTTGACAAGCTCCGTACACCCCTCAATCGTCCCACTGCTTGGCAGCCAAATGCTGCCAGCCTGCGCTTTGGTGAGAATTAGAAAAGGGGTTGCAGCATTGAATGGAGCCACACCAAGCATCAATTGGTACAAAGCACATCCGAGAGACCATAAGTCACTTTTGCGATTGTTGACTTTCCCATCAATAGCCTCTGGGGACATAAAGTTCGGAGTTCCAACATGATGCTCGTATTGTGGGCCCAACATCATGGTCGGCACTTCGGGGTGCTCTGTATCCCTAGCTGTTCCAAAGTCAATCAGCTTCAGTCTGTGGTCCAGCGTCACCAAGTAATTCTCGCACTTGATATCGCGGTGCACGATGCCCACATCGTGCACGGCTGCCAAGGCTTCTATCATTTGAGGGGCATACCAGGCGTGCTCGACTGAGGTTAGGCAACCGCAGAATCGAATTTTATCCCACAATTCACAGGCACATAGCTCCAAAATGCCAAGCCACTCAGCAGGGGAATCGATCTCATAAAACAGTCTTACTACCCACTGAGACGACTCAGATACCTGCAAACGGCGCAAGCAGTGTGCTTCCATTGCAATCGCTTGTTCCACAGCATGGCTGCTCTTCACCACGCGTTTCGCAGCGTGAGTTTGGGAGGTGCCTTTGTGCACACACCTTTCAACTTGGCAGAAGGAACCGTGACCGATGAAGTCTTGGAATTCAAAATCCGCTAGTGTCGCCTCCATGGCATCGACACTGGACTGGCCTTTGAGCCTCCACCTCCATCCCTTCACTTCACTTGATGCCACTTTCGCTACACTTGATTATATTTCTTTAATACTTCTTTACACTTGTGTCGTTTCCCCTTTCCTTGGACCCTTTCCACCAAAAGAAAGATTCATGAAGATTCAGAAAGGACTTCAGGCAAGTCGTGTTCTAGTTCTCTTCCTCAACCTTCTGTGGCTGACCGCAGTACATTTGTGTGCGACGCCTACAGCGCACAGAATCCTACGGTAATTTCATACTATGGGGGGAATTCACAACGTTGCATTCAACCTACACATGACAATGACTCTGGCGTCAATCAACCGAGCGACCCAGAATGCCCAAATATCTTCAACTTCAACAGATACCATCTCGTTGCGAGAGAAGTCTGCCAAGAAACCTGCGCACTGCATGTCACAAAACAATTCCCATGGCAGAACTCTCTCATCTTAGCACTCTGCCTACATGTTCAGAACAGATCATGTTCAGATCATGTTCACCTCTGTGTTTACCGGCTGTGAGCTCACCAACTTACAGCACTCCCACCTAGTCGATACATGATCATCCCGGAAGTCCACCAGTCAGTCAAACCGAAGGAGTAGTACATGTGCATGAATCCTTGGATCACTGGGAGCTTCACAATCTGCCCGGAAATCTCTGTGTTAGTCACTAACACAAACAAGTGCTCTATCAAGTTGACCCAACATGACACGTACTCCTCTCAAGCTGATACGACACTCCAAAAACAGTTGCCAAGAGAAGAGAAAAAACTGTCGTGAAAATCACTTGGCACATACTGTAGATTTGTATGGCAAAGTGCAAGTCTTGCTGAGGCACCGGAGAACCAACACAGCACAACAATAAAGAAGGGCAGGGTCGCTGGCACCGCTTGCAGAATGGGCAGCATCGGTTTCCCAGTGCTCTCAAAACCCTTGAGCGAATTCAGGACCCTGGCACCACGCAGATTATGCAACGTGACATGGCTCACGGTGTCTCACGCAACTCAAATACATGCAAATACTATAATTAGCCCTTAAATAAATATCCTTTAATAGTCCATAATAGTCCCAAACCATTCCTGTAGATTCCTGCCGTCCTTTTCCACATGTTTCATCGGCCCTTTTGAATTGTTGAATTCAATCAACCCATGACTAACCATTGTGGAGCAGCCCAGCGTCCAATTGCTCGCTGCCTGAGCCATCTCACAAAGCCTGTGATAGCAAAGATTACCCGTAAGACCTGATTGGTTTCAAACTCGTCCCAACTCGTCCTTGGCAAACGGGCGTCCCAACTGCGCTTGTGTTTGAGAGAGTTTGGAGCAAAGAAAGTCGCTCAAGTCGCTCTCTCCACCCGCTCTCCATCCGGACTTTTCGTGGGCACAACATGGAAAAGCTTTTCCCTATCAGACCCTATCAGACTTGCCAAGCATCACAAGGGCAATTTGGCTGAAGCCAGTTGCGATGATCCTGACAAGTTCCAAATAGCTGTACAAATTTTGCAAAGATGCAACATGCAGAACTTGTATGAAATTGTATGAAATTGTCACATCTGTTGTTGGTCGAATGATGTCGAATGTTCCTAGCCTGCCACAATGCCACAAATCTACATATCTGCTGTACCTGTCTGTCCACCCATCTGTCTGAGTCTAGTCATCTACTGAATCTACTGGTATCGTCTGGTATCTATATTGTGTGCTATTTTGATCTGCTCTACACTTACCGCATGCAAATCTGATCAATGCAGGCTGGTCTAATCTAGTCAGCCTTGACCGGTGCGTAGTCTGCAATAAAGGATGCTAGTAACTCTGATCTCTCCACCATTGCAATAATTTGAACATAGCACAAGTAGTTCAGGCAGCCCTAGAACTCAAATGGATTCAAACAGCTGAAGGTGCAGGTCCTCAAAAAGTCAGCGAGATTTTCAAGAGATCGGAAGTACTGCCAAAGCTTCCCCAAAGCGTGAAAACCAACGCATTGCAGGAATTCAATTGCCACGTTCCGAACCCAAATCCTTGTCTTCACCAGTGGGCACAAAAGGCCCAAGCGTCGAGCCACACACCATACCGATGCCAGAACGTAGCGAACATAACCACATAAACATACATAAACAGTATATTATGAGTATATGAGTGTGCAATGAACTGAATCTCTGCTAAGGAGCACCATCAGAATCACTAGAGCGACAGTGCGAAGCCAATGCCACTTTTCGTCTTGCAAGCGCCGATCGTTGAGCAAGAATGCCAAGGCCCAAAAAAGAAGAGCCACCAGCAAGTCCTCGGAACAATAAATCGTGACCGCCTGTGCATGGCCCGCAGATGAATACCATTAAAGATCTAGAAGCATTGTTGTAGCATGTTGTAGAAGGTTTCAAGATGTTTCAAGGCCCCTCAGGTTTTGGCACAAAATCTAGCGCGGCCAAAATGCCAAGGTAAAGGTTATCTTTTGCCCAAGAGAAGCCTCTGCCCAGGCCAGTTCAATGATTGCACGGGCCCCCTTCTCATCAAAAACTCGATCGTTGAGGCCGGAGGCTAACACCCACAGAACCTGTGGCTCTTCAAGTGTTGTGCCATTGTGCATCGTGGTGCTATGGAATATTTTGGAACCACTGGCACAACATGGGCATAACCGAATCATACCGAATCCCGAATCTCTGTACTTTTCAGCTTTCAAAATAATTACAGAAATCTTGGAATTGGCAGTGGCACCTCAGGATTCCGGTGTAATCCTGGAAGCAGCCCTCGCCAAATCTCTACAGGGATCTTAGAAGCATCTTTCAAATTCTCTTTTCGATGAGGGAGCAGCTGGGACAAGAACTGCTCTTCTACTTGTTGTTTCTCCTGGCAGGCTGACCCAACACAAAGCGCCTTGGGTCATTATGGTCATTTGGCTATATTATTATATAGTATCAATGTTGGAGGGGTAAGGTATCAATTAGGTATGACCTGGATATTGCACTGCAATTGGTTTAAAGAAAATCTCAACGGTCCGCTTCCAGCAATGCTATTCCCAACTTCCTGCAACATGGTCAGGGTCATCTACGATTTTTTTTTGCCGAAGCTATGGTCTAGGGTGGTCTAGGTATGTCTAGGTTCACCACTGTCAACATCTGCCACTTGAGGACTCCCAACATTGGGTCCTTGTCTGTTTGGTGAGTGGTCTGCTTCTGCATCTGCTGCTGGAAGCTCTCTTCCATATGCTCTTTGTGTGGACCCACTGCAACGTTCATGTCCCCGTGCAATATGTATGCAGTCTTCCAAATGATTCGCCTTTGTCCTGCGTTCACAGTATCTGGAACATTCTGGACCCATTCAGGCTTCGAAGCCAATGCATCTCACAAAAACGAATCGCACCGGCAAGAGACCCCAGACAGCGTGGGGAGTAGAAAGTAAATCATACAAGCAACAGTAGCTACAGTATGGAACAGCGTGGAACAGTAACAGGTCAGGTTAGACATTATCGTAACTGCAGCAGCAGGAACTTGTTTTGGCACAAACACAAGAACCTCATATCAGGACGTCTAAGAAAATTTCAAAAGATCGTCAAAGAAGTACCTTCTATATGGAGGACCTGACAAGATCTTCAGACAATAACTTCCTATGATCCCAGAAGAACTTTCATACAAGCACCAACGGAGAGCATCTTCAAGATCTTAATGCAAGGACCTCTTGAGGAGGATTTCAACAGGATCTCCGCAAGATCTTCTCAAGGACCTGCACAAGTGCATGCAAGGACCTCTTATGAGGACAGTTCACCAGGATCCCCACAAGAGCTGCTGATAAGGACATGTGCAAGATCATGCAAGGACCGATCCTCACAAGATCTTCTCATAAGGACATGTAAGGACCTGTACAAGAACCTGCAAGGACCTCTGACAGGATTTCACCAAGATCTTCACAACATCTTCTCACAAGGACCTCTACAAGACCTTGGTCCGGATCTTCGTATATTAAGGACCTGTAAGACTGCACCATGAAACTTGTACAAGATCATCAAAGAAGATCAAAGAAGGACCTACCAGGGAACTTAAAAGATCTTAAAAGATCTTTTTACCAGAATCTCAGGGAATCAGCTAAATTTACCACCGCGCCACACCAAGAGCGATCCGACTCGCACAAAACCACAAGAGGGTTGCGCAAGCGATATCCACATTTGCACCGCGCCACAACGAGAGCGATCCGACACGCACAATGTCGCGAGAGGGCTTCCAGTGTGCATGTTAGATGTTCACAAAACATCGCGCGCATCACGAAAAATCATTGAAAATGTGAAAAACACACAAAACAATGGTTCACCTAGGTCTCGGCCACTCTTTGTCGAGGTCAACGAAGCACTGCGCCTGCCACAAAAAATGAGCCCGAGGCATCCGAAGTGCTGCACCTGCCAGACAGAATCATCATCATGCCCAAAATCAAAAATGACATAAGACGATGACAGCTTCACAAACTAGACTTTCGACCCTTTGAAAACATCGTCCAAGTGCACCAAGCACTACGCCTGCCACGAAAAATGACCATTTTGATCCACGCCTGCGAACGTTTTAGCAACGTCAAGAAAGTGCCACGCCTGCCATGCAGATGAAAAAGTGACCGATGTCCTGCACCTGTCACGCAAAACGACGTTTTAGAATGTTTTAAGACCTCAAAAAATGTCGCGGATGTCTTCGAAACGAGCAAAATGCGACAACTGTTTTGAGCGAGCCTGCGCAGTCGAAATGCACGTGGACATCTCAGAATTTACAATAAAATAGCCGGGGCACGCCGGGGCCCAGAGAGCGTACCCTGATCTAACCCCGGCATAGCCCGGCCTTTAACACTTACTGTAAGAACCCCTCAGTGTGGACACACTGCTAGGGGAATTTAAATCTTGCTAGCCTCTTATATGTCCTTGCCAATAGCGCAGTTCGCACTTTCGAAAAACGGCCGAAAGAATTTCTTCAGCATCTGGAGTGGCCAAGAAGCGCACAAAGTCCGGCAATTGGATGAGCTCGACCTGAGACACAGCCTGCGTTTGGGCCTGAAATCATATAATAAATCAATCTTTGCCCTGCTAGGAGATATGCCGAAATGGGCCGAGATGCGAGATCCTCCCTGGCTCCGCGTAAGCCCTTTGCAGCTGAGGCTATGAGCACTGCATTGTTGGTATTGAAGAGGTAATCAATTCCTCTCCTCGCTGCCAACGTGACGGAAGCTCAGGCACATAATTTGGAGGCAGCCCCTCGGCCAACATGGGCTAACCAGTACGCTGGTGCAAAACCTGGTAATCTATCCGGCCTCAGTAGGGCCTCAGTTGGGCAGTTGAATGTCGATTATGTAGTCGATATTTATTTGGGTTTCTGACCTTTACTCATATGATTTCACGTGCTCAGCCAGCTCCTTCCCTCTTCTCCACAGAAGAGATCGGCACCAGCTTGGGTGAGCAGTCGTACGACCTGAAAGGAAGAATCACATGCTTCCGGGCGTCAGGGTGTGCTGATGCTGCTCGAAGCAGTCGTGCAGTTGAGCTGTTTGGCTCATTCCACGTCTAAAATTTGCAAACATATTTCCGTAGACATTCTCATGCTCTGTTCTGCCCAAATTCAGCCCCATGGCCATTGTAATTTTATATGTATATATATACACACACGTATACTATATATATATATTATGTTTGTTTGTGTATATATCTGTGTGTGTGCAAATCGTTCTGCTCTGTTCTGTTCTGTTCTGCTCTGCTCTGCTCTGCTCTGCTCTGCTCTGCTCTCTGCCCTGCTCTGCTCTGCTCTGCTCTGCTCTGCTCTGTTCTGTTCTGTTCTGTTCTGTTCTTGCGCCCTGTGCACTCGCCCATGCAAGTGCGGCGGCGCATTCACTCAACATAGCATGCTTAAAAGGAAACAAAATGCTGCGCTTCATTTCTGTTGGAGCGCCTCCACATGGCAACCATCAATAGCATCCTGCAGCTCCTGTGGGCCATCGCCCGTGTCAGGCGAGATTTGGGCCTTCGCGCTCAGCAGAACTCGCACCACCTCCTGGGCGACACGTGACGCCCCGTGACGCCAATCGTTTTCACATGTTTTCACCCTATGAGATCTGTGCCAATGTGATTCCAACGTGTGCCAACATGTGAATGCCAAGTAGCATCATGGCCAAGGCTGCATGAGATTTGCAAGGGCCGTTTCGTTATGTTCAAGTCATCCTGAAACCTGCAGTTCAGCTCAAAAAGCAGGAAAACCGGAGGAATCATTAAGATCAACAAACAAATCACTATTATTAAGTTTTATATATATATGTGTGTGTGTTTATATATATGATATGTATACAAAAATTTGTATATATAATAGTATAATGTATCTATATATCTCTGTGTGTGAAAACCGTGATCACATACGGTATAATTCGACTGCAGGGGGCCCGCGGGTCTGATTCCTGGCGTGGGCCAACGAAGCTCCAGGTTTCAGACTAGGATATCAGGAAGGGACGCTTTCCTGACGTACCTGCAATTCTGTTTGAGCAACGTGTTTTTCCAGCTGCACCGTGTTTTGACTTTGCAGCAGTTCTTCATTTCGACGCCGATCAACCAGCTATTTGCGTCATGTGTTTTTCGCTGTATGAAGGTTACTCAGGCAACAGGCGACGGCAAGATCCACATCCATCCTCTTCCACCAAACCTAAGCAGTGTGTTACGGTGAACTCACTGACTTGTGAGCACCGTCGGTCTGCCTCGTGCGGATCTAGACTATGGTCACCGGCCGCTCCGGTGGATTGTGGACTGTCCTATTGGGACAATCTGGATTGAACATAGTTGATTTGTCATTTATTTGATTACTCGCCTCTGGGAGATCAGGGTATGACATATTGTCATCAAAATATGGATTAGTTCCTGGTTTTGGACGAATTAGTCCCCATGAGGGACACCGATTAATTAATCCCTATCTGGGATGAATTAGCCCACTTCGGGCAATTTCCAATTTGGCTTACGAGCGTCGCAACCTCAGTATAAATCAGAGCTTGCGTCTGCGCACATTCAGTTGGTTCATGTTTCTTTCATGTTCAGTACTGGCAGGAATTTCTTCGGACATTGTGGACTGAATTTAAGAAGACACCACAGGGACAATTTCAAAAACATATTCGGAGCCTTCAACACAAACTTAGCTCCTTTGTGGTATTGCCCTCTGACCATTTTTCTCATTCGTTGACTCTTCATTGTCCCGCACAATGGCAGATGTTAATGAAACGGTCATTTTTGGATCCATCCGTTGTTCCTTTGTTGCGGACAATTCAACAGGAGCTACCGAGTTGGATCAGAGAACATTACATGTGGAGTTTCAAATTTACATCCTCCCTCAGTACAGCTTGCATCCTTCCCAAACCCTCGAGAGATTTTCAGAAAGCACGTCCAATTGTGGATTTTTCCAACGCTTGGTGTCGGACCTTGGGCAGTTCTTTGGCCACTGCTCTTCATGAAATATTACAAGCAGTTTACTCTGAATTGTTGCAAGTCACAGATATTCGTTCAGCATTGCGGTCCGTTGCTCAACTGTTTTCTTGTCAAGATTACACATATGGTGATTTATTACTTCAACAGTAAGACATCGCAGGCTTTTACAACCAAGTTGATCATGATCGCACGCTTCAAGCTATTCAATTTGCGGCTTGTCGCTTCTGTGAACTTCAGGGCCAGAGTCTAACTTCCTCTTTGAATATTCATCAAGAATCGCTTGAACGTACTTTGCAGACATTTCGAGGATTTTGGAGATCACGGAGCCAGAAATACCGACCAATTCGCTTAGATCACATTAGTTCATTGGGTCAATACTTGCTGACCCACAGTTATTTCAGTATTGGGGCCACAATTTTTCAACAACATCGTGGTACTAGCATGGGATCTCAATGGGCACCAATTGTCTGTTCTGCTGTTGCTTTGTTACGAGAATGGACTTTTCATGCTTCTTTCCGGTTTTTCGTACAAACATGGGTTTTCATCATCACTATGTGGACAATCGTACTTTGATTCATACAGGATTCGACTCAGCAACTCCAGGTGGTCGGCTCTTTTGGCGCTTGGATTTCTATACAAAACCCATTCTCTTGGAACATGTCACTGGTGATGAAGCCTTGGGATATCGTATGGATTGTCTTCAAAATTCTATCACTTTGCAATTACCATGGGAATTGACATACTCGCTGTTAATTGTCCAACTTTTCTGGCATTGGTCACACACTCATATGCCGTTTGAGTCACCAACATTCTGTCTATGTGGGTTCAAGGCTGCTGTTGTTTCCTTTTCCTTTTTCCTTTTTCTTACCTGTGTGTGGTTATAGGTTCGTTGATAATTTCGCACTTTTCATATTACATGACTTTATCCATATGATTGAACCTCTTTGATCATTCGGTCGAACTTGGTTCTAGTGACATTAGCGGTCCGATCCTTAGTTCACGTTACGATTCTAGTTGCAACGAAGGTGAGAAGTGATTTTGGTGGTCCGATCCTTAGTTCACGTTACGATTCTAGTCGCAACGAACGTGAGAAGTGATTCTGGTGGTCCAAGCCTTAGTTCACGTCACGATTCTAGTCGCTACGAACGTGAGAAGTGATCTTGGTGGTCTGAACCTTACCTCGCCGGAACAGTTCTGTGAAGTGGTGAGCTCGTTGTGGTCGTTCGGTCCTAGTCAGCCGGAATCATTGTACTCAGTGTACAGCTACCATATAGATTCACATGGACCTTGTGGACACAGTCATTCATCATTTACATGCGCTTGGGTTTGTTTACTGCCGACTTTTACATTGGTGCCACAGATCATTCGGTTTTTGATCGAGAACAGAGTCGAGTTCGAAAATACCGTCAACTTTGTAATCAACAATTCGCATATTTTGAACTTGCTTTGAAAATCTAGTTTCATTTGAACAATTTCTATCAATTTGCATTCAATTTGCTTGTTTTCTATTGCCACACGCCAGTCACCAGTTCTGACCATTTGAGTGCTCTTGAAACTGCCTTTCAAACAATGTACCGCCCTCAGTACAATTGGCCGTGGATCAACTCCCTACTGACGAAGTTCCACATTGGAAAGCAGAGATTTGGACCATTGTTCACCAAGCCGTTCTTGGATCCTAGTCGGAAGTTCTGTCAAAGATATCAGAAACGGACACCCACAGAACAAATGCGCTTCTTGGAACGCAGACTTCATACATCTGAAGCTATTTACAAACTGCTGACTCGGTTGGGATCGGATACAATCGAACAGTTTCATGTGTCAAAACTTTTAAGGTCTATGCAAACGGACGTTACATACTCGTTTTTGCTTTGGCGGCTTTCTCATCATCTGGGGGAGGCTTTTCGTACCAGAAGTCAACCCCATCTCGGTTGATTCTTCAATTTAAAGGAACTGGACCACCGCCCCCCAATGTCCCTGTGCGCCTTCAGATTTTGTCAGATTCTATATATGTATATGCTTCAGGATTCTAGTCGTATTCAGAATGCATTTGAATTACATCGCATCATCGAACAACAGCAGGGCTGGGTTCCGAATCTTAAACACTACTCTCGCCTTCCTGGTTATTTGACACCTGAAAAACCCAAACGTCATTGTCAATCTTTTCTTGACTTTCTGACACATGACATTTCTCGTGGACACGGAACGCTTTTCGATCAACATGAAGTTCACATTCGTGCTGCCATTCGAGTCTTGCCTTTGATTGAGACTATTAGTTCGCTGATGTCAAATGGGTCTTTTGCAGGCTCAAGCTCAATTGCTTCAGTTACAATTGATGCCACAACGTGTTCACGATACGGACATTCAGCAATCAGCCTTACCAGATTGGGCAGTGTCGGAACCTCAGAATCGGGTTGACAATCGTAGACGTTCCAGATCACGTCCGCCATTGACTGACGATCACCGACGCACGGGTCGTGTCGAAGGGCCAGCACGAAGACCAGGAAGAATTGAAGGTTCGTCTATGTTCGTCTCATCCACCAACTTCTGAACGGTCTGGACCTACGATCCTATCCCATGGTTTATTTTATCACTCTTGTAGTCCCAGTAGTGGGTGATCCTTTTGATTGAAACCAATGTTTTGCAACGATTTCCAGCAGTTTCTCAGATGACGACAATTCTTGGTCGTCCATCCAAAGTTCATACAGTTATTGAGTATCAGTACCAGTAGTACCGCACAAGGCGGTGGCGGAAGTTTCAGAATAGGAAACCTATAGGAGACGTTGGTTGTTGTGAATCACGGATGGCAGAGCGAATCCACTGATTGACCGAAAGGTGGTTGGAGTTGTGTTTGCTGGAGTGGTTGCAATGGTTGCAGTGGTCACCTCACCCACAACTGCTGGATGTAGTGTGATGTACTGAAACTGTAGTTGTAGTTGTAGCGTAGTGGAGTTGTAGTTGTGGTTTATTGTAATTAGTGTAGTGTAGTTGCAGTCATATAGTTGTAGCCGTAGTTGTTTTGTAGTTGTAGTTGTTGTGTAGTTGTAGCTGTAGTTATTGTAGTTGTAGTTGTTGTTGTTGTAGTTGTTGTAGTTGTAGTTGTAGTTGTAGTTGTTGTTGTTGTTGTAGCTGTAGTTGTTGTAGTTGTTGTAGTTGTAGTTGTAGTTGTAGTCGTAGTCGTAGTCGTAGTTGTAGTTGTAGTTGTAGTTGTTGTAGTAGTAGTAGTAATAGTTGTTGTTGTTGTAGTTGTCGTTGTTGTAGTTGTTGTTGCTGTTGTTGTAGTTGTTGTAGTTGTTGTTGCTGTTGTTGTAGTTGTTGTAGTTGTTGTTGTTGTTGTAGCTGTAGTTGTTGTAGTTGTTGTAGTTGTAGTTCTAGTTGTAGTTCTAGTTGTAGTTGTTGTGTAGTCGTAGTTGTTGTGTAGTCGTAGTTGTTGTGCAGTCGTAGTTGTAGTTGTAGTTGTAGTTGTAGTGGTAGTGGTAGTTGTAGTTGTAGTAGTAGTAGTAGTTGTTGTTGTTGTTGTTGTTGTTGCTGCTGTTGTTGTTGTAGTTGTAGCTGTGGTTGTTGTAGTTGTAGTTGTAGTCCGAGTTGTAGTTGTTGTGTAGTTGTTGTGTAGTTGTAGTTGTAGTTGTTGTGGTTGGTGTTGTTGTTGTTGCTGTTGCTGTTGCTGTTGTCGCCGAAGTTAGGGTAGTTAAGTTAGTGAAGTTAGTTAAGTTAGTCAAGTTAGTTAAGTTAATCAGTGTCTACTTTTTGGACATCTTAACGTCAAAAAAGGCTCAAAACCCCAGTTTTTTACACTTTTGACTTCGAAATGTGCTTCGCGCCACAACGGCGTGCACTTTTTCAACATCCGAACCTCCAGTGGTCCGAGAATGGTGTGTTTTGTACATTTTGACTTGGAAATGTGCTTCGCGCCACAACGGCGTGCACTTTTTCGACATCGCAACTTCCAAAAGTGGTCCGACCATGGTGTGTTTTGTACATTTTGACTTGAAAATGTGCTTCGCGCCACAACGGCGTGCACTTTTTCGACATCTCAACTTCCAAAAGTGGTCCGAACCTGGTGTGTTTTGTACATTTTTACTTGGAAATGTGCTTCGCGCCACAACGGCGTGCACTTTTTCGACATCGCAACTTCCAAAAGTGGTCCGAGAATGGTGTGTTTTGTACATTTTGACTTGGAAATGTGCTTCGCGCCACAACGGCGTGCAATTTTTCATCGCTCCTGTGGCCAGCTGGGTCCGCACCCGCCGCTTTAGCGAGCCTACTTTTCGACCCTCCGGAGCCACAAATCATTGGAAAAACACAGTGTTTCGCGACTTTTCTACCTTTTCGCGCATCTGTATCTTCTGTCCTCTTACTCTTTCTCTTCTGATCTTCTCTCTTCTAAGCTTCCTCTTCTCTCTGCCTCTGCCCTGCTCTGCTTTTCATCTGTCCATATTGTCGGAAGTTTGACTTCTAAACTTCCTTCGATCAATATCATCTTGGTTCTGGCGCTCAATTGTGGACATTGCCTTCGTTGGTGGTGTTTCGTTGCCCATTGCTGACTCCGGATTTGATCCAGATTGATTGGTTCACGTTGTATGACATGATACGTCTTCGACGACAGGTACCACTGTGTGTGGTTGTAGGTTCGTTGGTATTTTCGCACCTTTCATATTACATGACTTTATCCATATGATTGAACCTCTTTGATCATTCGGTCGAACTTGGTTCTAGTGACATTAGCGGTCCGATCCTTAGTTCACGTTACGATTCTAGTTGCAACGAAGGTGAGAAGTGATTTTGGTGGTCCGAGCCTTAGTTCACGTCACGATTCTAGTCGCTACGAACGTGAGAAGTGATCTTAGTGGTCTGAACCTTACCTCGCCGGAACAGTACTCAGTGAGCGGTACATTCGCATTGGCCAAACTGCGCACATGGTATTTTGGTTCAATAACCGCTGAATTCATGAAGTGTATCTGTATATACACATTCATATCCTTTTCCAGTTCCCCTTGATTCTTTAGGCCCGGCTACACTTTCGGTGTGAGAGTGGACAGATGCAATTTCATCCTTTATTTCTACTCAATTGCCCTCCGGGGCTTGTGTGTGTGTGTGAAAACCGTTATCACATACGGTATAATTCGACTGTGCAGGGGGCCCACGGGTCTGATTCCTGGCGTGGGCCAACGAAGCTCCAGGTTTCAGGCTATGATATCAGGAAAGGACGCTTTCCTGACGTACCTGCAATTCTGTTTGAACTTTTTCCAGCTGCACCGTGTTTTGACTTTGCAGTAGTTCTTCATTTCGACACCGATCAACCAGCTATTTGCGTCATGTGTTTTTCCCTGTATGAAGGTTACTCAGGCAACAGGCGACGGCAAGATCTACATCCATCCTCTTCCAACAAACCTATGCAGTGTGTATTCAAATTTGTGAATGTGTGATTGTGTGTATTTGCCAAAATGAATTGCGCGACACGCTTCATGTCTTTTGCTTTTGGCCGGCACCTTTCCCAAAGCAAATGACTTAAGATGCCCTCGTCTTCCTAGTTTTTTTTCCCAGCCATACCTTGCAATGAAGCATCTTCAAAAGAAGCAAGGCGTTGGCGTAGCCAAGGAACCACGGAGAAACATTAAAATTCTCGGTTTAAGGCTGCATTCTCGTCTTCCTAGTTTAGGGTTTGCTAATGTTGACAATAATATCAACAAATCTCAGAATTGGCTCCTGTGCCGAATCTGCTGAAACATGCCGAAGTGGCTTCACGTCCACATCAGGGTCGCCTTTCTGATGAAGCAAATATTGCACCAAATGTGCATGGCCGAAGTAGCTGGCATCATAGAGCAACGTCACATTCGGTTCGCCGTCAAAGCAAATCACTCGGCCCTGGGGATGTGACCCATGGAGACTGGCTTCACACTCCACCAGCAACCTGCCAAGTCACAGGGCAATTCACATTGAGCCAATTTGAGCCATGTCAATGTCACGTCAATGTCACTTTACAATACTTGTCCTATACATATTCCTACATCATTCCCGATGGATGGAATTCTTAGGGTCTACAGCCCCCATTCCAGCCAATATGCTGGCTGAAAGGGTAGGTACCAAGACTGAAAGCCATGGGCTGGAAACATGACCCCAACCCCAAAAATTTAGCCAAAGTAGGAAAAGTACTAATATGTTCCCGTGGCTGAAAACTAGGGGATGTGAGGTTACCTTGCATCTTACAACTTACATGTTTCAAGTGGCTGAAATCATAGGCACCTGAGATGCAGGCCAACACACGCACATCCTGTTGAATCTTTCACATCCTGTTTCTGAAGCGTTCAACTTTTTTTTTCGAAAAAAACCTTGCATCTGAAGCTTTCAACTGTTTTTTCGAAAAAACCTTGCATCTGAAGCTTTCAACTGTTTTTTTCGAAAAAAACCTTGCATCTGAAGCTTTCAACTGCTTTTTCGACAAAAACCTTGCATCTGAAGCTTTCAATTTTTTTTTCGAAAAAAACCTTGCATCTGAAGCTTTCAACTGCTTTTTCGAAAAAAACCCTGCATCTGAAGCTTTCAACTGTTTTTTCGAGAAAACCTTGCATCTGAAGCTTTCAACTGCTTTTTCGACAAAAACCTTGCATCTGAAGCTTTCAACTGTTTTTTCGAAAAAACCTTGCATCTGAAGCTTTCAACTGTTTTTTCAAAAAAACCTTGCATCTGAAGCTTTCAACTGGTTTTTCGAAAAAACCTTGCATCTGAAGCTTTCAACTGTTTTTTCGAAAAAACCTTGCATCTGAAGCTTTCAACTGTTTTTTCGAAAAAACCTTGCATCTGAAGCTTTCAATTTTTTTTTCGAAAAAAAACCGCATCTGATGCTTGAAAAGCGCGCGATGGCTGGAAACCTCGGATTCACCTCTGGAGTGGTTTGTCTCAACAAGTTCATGGTGCAACGGTTTGCTTTCTTGATGGTTTGTCTCAACAAGTTTTTAACTGTGGGCAGCAAGTTCACTTACAGGTTACATGTCAAAACCTCAGACCCCAGGATTTCATCTCAACAATTTCATTGTTGGCAGCAAGTTCACTCGCAAGTTACGTGACAAAACCTTTCCAGTGATTTGCGGCTCCGGAGGGTCGAAAAGTAGGCTCGCTAAAGCGGCGGTTGCGGAGCCAGCTGGCCAGTTGAGAGATGACAAATTGCACGCCGTTGTGGCGCGAAGCACATTTCCAAGCGAAAATGTACAAAACACCTGGGTCTCGGAGCACTTTTGGAAGTTGAGATGTCGAAAAAGTGCACGCCGTTGTGGCGCGAAGCACATTTCCAGGATTTCAACTCAACAAGTCCATTGTGAAACGATTTGTCTTGTTGATGGGTTGGAAGTGGGTTGAATTGACCTTTGACCTAGCTGATCAATGGCCAAATTTTCGATGTCGTTGGTGGGCTTTCTGTTGTCCTGTGGATTTTGCTTCGGTCCCTTTGACTTCTTGGCCAGTGGATCCAGCTTGTCAGCGGGTTTGTCAGTTGATTCCTGAATGGCCACTGTGGACTCAGTTGGAGGAGCAGCAACTGATGCTGACACCTGAAGAAAGAGAAGCTTACTTTGACACTTTTGGCCAGCTGGATCGCATGCTCAACCTCATGACTGCGTGTCCCACATTTCTCCATAGCTACGGCAATGCCACCATGGCTTGCCCGTGCGGGTGCCGGGCCACAGGCTTTGCAGTGTATCGTTTGCAGAAAGGAGGTTTAAGAGGTTTTGTGATATGTAGCCAGTCAGGTGGTCCAAGATTCTTGCACCCCAGAGAGGTGGGGTTTCTCATGGGGTTTCCAGGCAGTCTGCCGGTGGCAACAAACCTACGTGACACCTTGTGCCTTTTGGGGCAGTCAGCATCACCTTTGCAGAGCCTGTGGATGTTTCAACATGTCACTCAGGTCCTGTTTGCTGAACAACATGTTGATCCCATGGCGGCAATTCGTTTGTACAAAACCAAGTTGTTGTACGACCAATTTCATGCCTGGATTGTGCCGAGCTTGTATCAAGACACTGAGGTGAGAATGTCCATGTCAGATGGTGCTGATTTGGTTTTTAGCAAGACTGGATTAGTTTCAGTGTCTCAAGCTCTTGCAGCACTCCGAATGCAGTGTGAACCTGACCAGTATGTTCAATTGCTTGATGGTGCAACTTGTGTCCCGCCAGAGGCGTATTTGCACCCACATGGATTTCATGGCCCATACCACTTGCTGATCACGCATGGCACTTCCGCGAAACCCGCATCCGATGTTCTGGTGACCTTTGAGGGTCTGGACACCTTTTGTTTGCTGCAAGTTCCGGCTGGTTCTTTTCTGTTTGATGTGTTGCGGCGCTTGGACTTGTCGCCTTTGGCTGTGACTGTCACTTCACGGGACTCGGTGGTTGCCCCTGAACAACGCATTTGGGTCAGTGGCCAGTTTTGCATCCATCGGCATGTTGGTGCTGGCAGTATGAAGCGTGCTGGTCTCTCTGTGGACTTCATACACCTTGCTGCACAAAGCCTTTTGGGACGGGTTTATCCCTCGATTGCAGTGTCTTTGTTTGGCTTGCTGTGGACGTCCGGCTCCTGGAAGCTCATGTTTGGTTCGTTTCCTTCCAGCCCTTTCACTGGTGTGGACTTTGGACTTTGCTGCCTTCTCATGGAGGGTCATTGGACTTTGCTGACCTGGACGGTGTTGGGTTCTTTCGATCAGCGCTTTCAGGTGCACGTGGAATTTTGGGATGGCTTTGCCCCTCGTAAGGCTCCGCCTTGTGTTTTGGCCTTGGCGGATTTCTTCATGACATCCTGGACCGCGGACTGTGTTTCCTGTGACTGTCCATGCTTGTTCCCTCAACAGCTTCCGTATTCTTGTGGAACCATTCTGTTAGCACATTTGGGTTCCTTTCTGGGGGCTTTGGACTTCGCTGCGGCTTTGGACTTTGAAGCCTTGCACCCCCACTTGGAGCACTTGGATTTTGCCCTTTTCCCTGCTAACCATATGTTTCTAAACTTGTTTGGAACCGGAAAGTCTGAGGGACATGTCTCTGCCGATCAAACCATGGTTTACCAGCTTGCCACCTTTTTGCGTGAAAAAGGAGTACCATTTGATCGCGCTGAGGAACGCGCCACTCTTGCTTTGAAAAAGCTTGGGCTCAAAGAACTTGAAGCGGCTTTCAAATCACCCAATCCTTGGCAGTACCTGAAAGCCATTGCTAGTCGTCCCCATGTCTCTTTCCAGTGGATTAAGGCGGATGAGCTTCAGGCCAAAATCCGAGCTAAGGCCAACAGCAAGTTTCACATTCAGGTGAAGCCCAAGCATTCCAAACAGGCCAAGCGTGGTGAGGCCCAGCCTTTGTGGATTGATCCGGATCAATTGCAGCTTGTCCCAGGCACCTTTTTTGCACAGAAACATGAGGTTTCACAGATCGCTTTCAGTGAAGTGACACCACAGGCAGGTGGATTGGCTTTTTGTGCAGTTGCTGATGCTTTGCCTTTTCTCCGTGCTGGGCAGCAGCTTAGTGACAAAGCCCTTGGATTGCTTACCACAGCCGAGATCCCCAGGGACCAAGCCAACGGATTGGTAGTCCTGAACTTGCGTTTCCCTGCCCAGTACCGTGGTACCAATGAGCCTGTTTTGATTTTGGGTAGTTTGGTGTTGCTTGGAGCGATTCCTATTGCTCGTGGGGGTGATTCCGCAAAGTGCACATTGGAAAGCTTGCCCACTCAAACTCTGCGCCTGTCGGTTTTTCGCGACCAATGGGAGGGCTCGTGGGATGATTTCATGATGCAACCTGTGCGCGCCGTCCTTTCTAAGCATCCGTTGCTGACCTTGTGCAAAACTGAAGGCTGTGGTGATGCCTGCTCTAAGTATCATGCTGCGGTGGATGAACCTTTGGATAACCTGATCTTGGACTTATGGGCACGTAGTTGGCACAAAGCGGATTCTCGGTATTGTAAGCCAGCAGAGTCTTGCTACTGGTCCGTCTTGGTTCGTGTCCCTGCCAGTGCGCATCTCACCGTCCAGGGTTTGTCTGGTGTCCAGGGCTTGTACGTGGAACCACGTTCGGATTGTGGCAAACAGGCTGATGACAGATTTGGCATGATTTGGTTAGGTGAGCGTTCTCCACATGACATGGCACACTTGCTAAAGACCACACCACATGCTATTGCCATTGGGCGTTTGCGGCAGAAATATGGACTTCGATTTCCAAGGCAACACCTTGAAGCGGGCGCAAAAGTCTTGAAGCCTGATGAGCCATATGTGGATACCCAAATTCACCGCTTGTATCGTTTGTACCCCCTTCCGTTTGGGACCCAGCGAGTTGCTTTGCAGAAATGCCTTACTGATTGGGGATGGTCGGCCCGGGTCCGACAAAGCATTGGAGGCGGTGCTGAAGGCACAGCTTGGGAAGTCGGGGCATGTGATGAGCCACCGAAAAGTGTGCTGCCAGGTCCAGATGGAGATGTGGCTATCACCTTGCTTCGTTCTGTGTCCAAGAACAACCAACCTCCAGCTCTTTTGGCATCGGCAGCCACCAAGAAGTTTTTGCAGACGGCACAGGCCGCAGCGCCCTCCATCGACCCATGGACTTTGGGGTCAGATCCTTGGATTTCCTCTGCTCCTTCCACTGCAGCTCCTCGCTCAACTGACAAGATGCAACAGATTGAAGACCGTTTGCATCAGCATGTGGTGCAGGTTGTCCAAAAGCAAGTTGCGGAATCAGTGCCAACAGGTGATTCCTGCATGACAGGCACCCCCATTGACCTTGAAGACTACAAGGCCCAGACAGAGGCACGCTTCTCACGCTTGGAATCAGGCATGACAGAACTCCATTCTCAAAATCAAAAGTGTGAATCTTGGTTTAGCCAGATGCATCAAACAGACCAACATTTAGGGTCACAGATGGAATTGATGCACAAGCAAGTCGAGGTTCAAGGTGCCAAAGTTGAACAGGTCAGCCGTGAATTGCATACACAAGTTGGCTCTTTGCAAGATCGCATCGCCAGTGTTCAGCAGGAAGTCTCGGCAGGTTTCAATCGTATGGAGGCCTTATTGGAGAAGCGCGCCAAAACGTCTTGACTAGGGCGCTCCGGCTCTGCCTTTGGGTGGAGGCCGACATCCTGGCTTTGGACTTTCTTCGCTTTGCTTTCTTTGTTGACCGGTGTTTCTGGCGAACAGCTGAAAGAAAACCCTTTTGGGGTCAAAATGAGCCTTTTTGAATTCGTTTGCTTGGACTCTGATGGTCCGTTTTCCGTGCCTTTCCGCGAAGTTTCGTTCCTTGCTTCTGAGCACCGTACAGTTTTGCCTGCAGCTTGGGATCTTCAAGGTATGTGCGCGTTTTTGCCTGAAACCTCTCTGTGTCCGGCCGCGCAGTCAGATGTCCGTGATACCTCCATGTTCCTTGTGTTGCCTCGTGCTGCCTCGTTTTCCAGTCAATCTCAAAGTCCTTTTGGTGCAAAACCATACCCGTTTGGTGAGGCATCCAATCCCGGCCCTGTGTTGCACATTAATTGTGGGAACCCTTCAGGTTTGGCTGGTAAAGAGCATGTGGTTTATGCATTACCTGCCGGCATCACATGTTTGGCCGAGACACACCTTGCCACCCCAGGCATGAGTTCAGCTTGTGGAATGCTGCGTGCTTGGTCTAGGCAAGATAATCGACTTTTGAGGTTGCTCCCGGGTGCTGCTGTTCCTTTGCGGGCTCGGAGCCTCACTACCGGTACTTGGTCTGGTGTTTTTCAATTGTCAGATATGCCTTGTCACCGACTCCAACAGCTTTGGCCTCAGGATGAGTATAATCTTGGCCGAGTTCAAATGGCCTCGTTTAGACTTGGGGATTCACTCATTCAGGGGACTGTTGTGTATGGTTGGAGCCCTGGGCCGACATGGCCCAAAGCACACCAGAGCACTAGGAAACTGTTGCAACACATTACTGAACAGGTGATTCACGGTTCTAGCGGCTTTCGCTTTGTTTGTGGTGACTTCAATGGTGAGGAAGCTCAGTTTCCGGAGTGGGCCGAATGGGTTAGAGCTGGATGGCATGAGGTGCAGTCATTACATGCTCGGTCTTTTGATGAAGGCCCCTTCCCGACTTGCAAAGGTCGAACAAGGCCAGATCGCATCTGGATTTCCCCAGAGCTGGCTGCCAGGTTTTGCAGTTGTGAAGTGTTGGACTCTTTTGCGGATCATAGTGTTGTCTCAGCCAAGTTTGATCTCCCAATCGAGAATCCTCCATATACCTGGTGGCCCATGCCTTCAAAAATCCCTTGGGGCTCCGTGGATTTGGACTCTTGGGCCCGATCTTTCCCTGAGTTTCCCGTCTTTACACTGGGGTCTTCCACAACAGAGTATCTCAGTGCACTGGGTGAACACTTTGGAGCTAGTTTGGGCGGTCATTTCACTCCTGATACGCACTCAGGCCTACCTTCCGCATGCCGTGGGAGGGCTCAATGTTTCCGGCCTCGTTCGCGGCAGCACCAGTTGCCTACTTTGAAACCTTCCAGGGCGGGGGAGGAATCTCCACGGTGTGATCTGGTAGGTCGTTCTTTGCAGCGTTGGTTCACACAGTTGCGACGTTTGCAGTCGTTGGTGCACAATTTGAATCGGGCTAGTCAAGCCCCCAGTGCCGTGGCATATCGTCTTCAATTGTGGACTTCAATCAAAAAAGCGCGTGGTTTCTCTGGCTCTTTCTTGGCTTGGTGGGCTGCCCGCCCTCATAGGTCCCCTGGTGTTCCGGTTTTGTTTCCCACCGTGTTGCCCAATGTGACCCTTGCCCAACAGCTGTTTGATGAGTTCCGTTTGAACTACCGTATGCTGGAGTCTTGGCATTTGCGCAATCGCCAGAAAACCTTGCGTGCGGTTCTTAAGGAGGATATGCGCCAGGCATTTGCTTCAGTTGCTGGCGACGCGAAAGTTGCGCCTGACCGTTTTGTGGACCACAATGTTGGGCAAATTCTTGCTGTCGATGTTGAAAACAAACTGGTTCACGTGGACCGTGATTTTGCAATGAACAATTCGGCACTTTGGTTCGTTGATGACACTCCGGCTACAGTGTCTCGTGTTGATGAGTGTGTCTATGAGGTGACAACCAGCTTGCCGTTGATGCCAGGGCAGGACTTTTGTCAGCATGTGCAAGTCACGGACACTGATGACATGTTGAAACGACTCCAAGACTTCTGGGAGCCACGTTGGAATCGGCTTGCGGATGTCCCTCCTCAGCATTGGGATCGTTTGTTAGACTTTGTTCGTGCATATGTCCCTCCCGGACAATTCATTCCTCCCCAGATCACCACTTCCATGTGGGAACAAGTCAACAAAAGATATGCTTCCAATGCGGCACGTGGCGCTGATGGATTTGGCCATTTGGACTTACTTCGCATGCCTTCTTGCTACCAGGCTGGGCTTGTGTCTCTGTTCAATGCAGTTGAGTCTGGGTCCCCGTGGCCCTCGCAACTCTGTCTTGGATTTTGTCACCCGTTGCCTAAGCGAGTGGATGCTCAACAGGTGGCCGAGTTTCGGCCCATTGTGGTCATGTCCATCCTGTATAGGAGTTGGTCTGCGTTGCGTTCTCGTTCTTTGCTGGGTCAGCTTAAGCCCTTGGTTGGACCAGATGTTGTGGGTTTCATGCCGGCACGTGAGGCTGGGGAGATTTGGCACTATGTCCAAAACTTGGTTGAATTGGCTCTTCAGTCCAAACAAGCTTTGCACGGAGTAGTGAGTGACATCCGGAAGGCGTTTGAGTCGATTCCAAGAAAGCCTTTGTTTGCGGTCATGGCTTGGCTTGGGTTCCCTCCTTCCCTTTTGTCTGCATGGGATCGCTTCTTGACGTGCCTTGAACGTCGGTTTACACTGCATGACCATCTTGGCCAGGCAATCTCAGGAAATTGGGGTATGCCTGAGGGCTGCGGTTTGTCCGTCGTGCCATGACCGTGATTGATTGGGTCTGGGGGGTTTATCAGCGGCAGTTTGCTCCTCGATCTCTCCCACTTTCATATGTCGATAATTTCGAGATCCTGGCCTTGGATTTGGCGGCCGTATTGACTGGATTTGCCACTCTCCAATCATATGCTGAGCTTTGGGCCCTGGAACTTGATAGCGCCAAGACTTTCTTTTGGTCCACCCAGTCACCTGCCAGAACTGCGCTTCGCCAGATGGGCAAGACTGTGTCGCTGGAAGCGGCAGACCTGGGTGGTGCTCTTACGTATTGTCGGCGCACTGGCATGGGCTCCCAAAAGGCCCGTTTTGAGGTTTTGGATGTTCTGTGGTCTCGCTTGCGCCGCTCCCTTGCGCCTTTACCAGTCAAGTTTTATGTCCTGCGTCAGTCCTTCTGGTCAAAGGCATTCCATGCCATCGGTATCACCTTGGTTCCCTTCCGTCGGATTGGTCACCTTCGGACTCAAGCTTGTCGTGCCTTGGGTTTTGGACTTGCTGGCGCGAATCCTGGTCTTCGGCTGGCTTTGTTGTGCGGTGATATGAAAACAGATCCTGGATTCTTTCAGGTGACCCGTGTGCTTGCTGATTTTCGTCGTTTCATGGGAAAGGACCCTATGCTGCAATATTCGTGGAAGCAATTCATGGATCACTTTGACGGTCAGTGGCTATCTGGTCCCTACAGCAAACTGCTTGAGATCTTTGATCAACTTGGCTGGTGTGTGCACTCTCCTCCATGGGTGAGTGACCACGATGGTTGCATTTTTGATCTTTTGCAGATATCTTCCTCGCTCTTGGATACTTTGCTGCAGGATGCTTGGGTGCAACGCCTTAGTCGCGAAGTGTGCCACCGCAAAGACTACGCCGGCCTGATTGGTCTGCATTGGCCTGCCAGCCGTGAGGAGCGTAGACTCAGTGCTTTGGACACTGCTTGCATCAATTCTTTACGTGAAGGAGTGTTTCTTTCGGGTTTGTCCCAAAGTAAGTTTGATAATGTTAAGGGGGATAAGTGCTCTGTTTGTCAACAAGTGGACACCCTGGAACATCGATGTTTGCACTGCCCTGGTCTGGCGCATGTCCGGATTCAGCACACCTGGGCCTGTGAGCACTGGTCACAGTTTCCGCGTTCTTTGACGGAACGCCTTCTGCCATCTCGCAATCCTCATGAGCGAGATCGCAAAAGGAGCCTGCATGCTTTGCAGGATAATCCATTGGTTTTTGACTTTCTGCCGGAGGTTACACGAGATGGCTGGGTTGATCTGTTCAGTGATGGTAGTTGCTTGGATCCTAGTATCAAAGCAATAGCGCTTGCAGCCTGGGCGGTTGTCTCGGCGACTCATGGGCAAATTGTGGCCTCTGGCCCTCTTGGCGGGCTCCAACAGGATGTTGATCGTGCAGAACTTCAAGCCGGCATGGTTGCGGCACGCTGGACGTGGGAGACGCAGTGTTGTAGTGTCTTGTGGACGGATAGTGCGTACGTGGCTCGTGGCATGAACCATTTGCTTACTGATCCGGATGCTTTTGACCCCTCCTCCAATGAAGATTTGTGGGCACAGGTGGCGGAGCTGCTTCGAGCTTTGACGACAGAATGTTTCCGCGTTCAACATGTCAATAGTCATCAAGATCCGGCTCTCTCCACAGATCCGGTTGTGGACTGGATCGTCCACTGGAATGGAGTAGCTGACAGATCAGCGCAACGGGCGCATGAGCTACGTTCCGCACAATGTCGCACGTTCTGTGCTCAGCATCGAGCTCATCACTTCTGCAGTGAACGGCAGGTGGACGCTTTCAGGAACTTGCACTTAGACGTGGCCAAAGCGTGGGCAACAATTCAAGGACCGAACGGCCCTGAAGAACCACCAGATGAACCAGTGTCTGCTCCTGACCGCCCTTGGCAAGATGCGGATGATTGGTTGGATGGGTTGCCGCTTTGTTGGCAACAGAAATGGCTTGAAGCTCCTACGGCTCAGATGTTCCCTTTGGAAGTCTCCAGCGCACTTCTCCAAGTACTGAGTGAGGAGCGTGAAAAGGCAGATGGCGCTGTTTGTTTGTCATGGCTGGAACTGACAGTCATGTTGCATGTTTTAGGTTTTTCTCACCCGTTTGAGATCTCCTTCCGTGGTAGTACAGTGTGGTCGTTGCCTAGCACAATTTTACCGGCTCAACATGGGCAGGTGACAATGGCAGCGCGGATTCGTTTTGTGCGTACTTTTTTTAAGAGGCTTGATGAGGTGTTTGATTGCGGTGTTGTTTTTGTGAGAGGTTTGAATCTGGGTCGATTCCGAATCCACCCACCACAGAATGGATTGATCGTTTATGCAAGTGCCGGTACTCTTCGGAGTATCAACACGATCTTGCTCAATTGGACCTCCACTAGGCCAGTTCGCACCAGTAACGATCTGTGTCGACCTTTGTGAGTGTCCACTTTCCGGCCCAACTGCACTGCATTTTAGCCGTGCATTGGAACCTGAGACTCATGTCCGCGCGTGTCTTGTTGATGGTTTGTCTCAACAAGGTCATTGTAAAACAATTATTTTCTCCCACGCTGACTTTTCAGGAATCCAATGACCTGAACACTGCAAAGTCTCAAACCCTAGGCCCTAGGATTTATTGCGCAATGGCTGGAAACTTGGGATTCACCTCTTGGTTGATGTGTCTGTTTTCCCAATGTTGTTGGATGAAAACTATGGATCTGAGGTCAGCATAGAAATATAAGGAATCGAGTAGAGCTGTGGCTGAAAACTGTGGAACCAACATAACATGAACACATGCTCAACTGCATCCTGAAACTCTATTTCTCAGAAATGATGCTATCTGGGGCTTGGCTGAAAACCATGGGTACAAGTGTCAGGTAACAGTTGCAGCTGGCTAATTTTTTGAGGTAGAGCTCCCCCCTTTTCAGCCAGGACCACCAGACGGGGATCTACATCGTATGCAATGTCACTTTGTTGCATGACCCGTCATCTAGTTCCTTGGCTTCTTTTGCTCTCGCCACTTTGGGTCTCTCTATCAGGCTGCTTCTCTTCAAGTCTCGCTGACTCTTCATCAATTCGGGTGGTGCCAGGGGCAGGGTTGATCTTGAGCCTTCTATGGAGGAAAGTACTTTTATTGGTTCGTTGATTGGCCCGCTTGCGTTTCCTCGGTTTCTATGCGGGGCATGTTTAACCCTTTCCTTGCATAAGAATGCATAAAAACAGGCGCAGGACGACACACACACACAACTTAGTTGGAAAGGAGATTTCAAGAAATACTAAGGAACAAATGTCAAAGGTTTCGAGGCTATGCAAGGCACCTGTCTTCAAGCCCTTGGTTCCTTTGCAATTCATTCTTGCTTAAGCTTCTGCATCCAGTCATATCTAGTCTATATCAGGCTGCATATGGAGCCTTGGACCATGTCAAATTTCTGGAAAAGCATCAGCGCTGCTTACCGAGTTACTATGAGTTACTATCCCCCACCATGTCACACTAAGTGGTAACACTTAGTTACGCCTCATCATTGACAAATTTCCCTTCGCCACTGTGGCACAAACCGCTGGTCCAGTCCAATGGACTCGCAATCGCCCAGCCGACATCGAATACTCTGATTGTGGGTCTGCTTTGAAATCGATGAGCTTGCGAACCAGCGCAGGCTTGTCAAGCTTTACCGCCAGCGTCAAAGGTGTTCCCTGAAATTCTTTGGGGCCAAGCTTGTATTTGAACCTCACAGATTGGGCGAGGGAGCCAATCATACGATTGAAAACAAGAAAAGCAGGTAGGCAAACTCAACATCGGAGATAGACACAAGTAGCATGTCTTCAAAGTTCTTCAATGTGAAAAATGAACCTCTTGAATGCCTCTTGAAGGAGGCTGTTTGCTTTGGATCGTACTCCGTGCCTGCAGTTAGGATCTGCTTTCCCATCCACCAAGGCTTTCGCGTCCTTCAAAGAGAATTTCCCAAATATACAGCGCCGCCAACGCGCGGTTTCCGAATCTGGGTCATCCCCGTAGTTGAAGTCGGAAGCAGTTGACTGATCACCTCAGGAGGGAATTCAAACGACCAAAGGCAACCAGAACATACCAGAACCCGGGCACTGAATGCAAGCAAGGAACGACCCAGACTGCCAGGGGCGTTGCTGACAGGGGCGTTGCTGACCGCAAGATTCATCTGCTTTGCCACTTTTGCCACTCCCGCCCTATGCCATAAGGTTCGTCACGACACATGGGCGATGAGTCGATGGGAAATGTTGATGTATGGTTGACAGTAGCGCTGAAACCATTGGTCCAATTGGTGAAACGGTGTTAAACGTTTGAAAGCTGCACTACAGTATCAGGCTACATGTGACTGGTCATGCAAGATCTGGCTTGAATGTTTCATGAGCCTATTTGAGATCTCAATAAGCTCAAACTGTGCCTCCAAAGGGTTGTCACAAACCGTTACATGTGCGAGCTGTGAAACTTAAGCAAGATGAAAAATGGCAATGTCGTAAAGCGAAACTGTCGCCTGTTGCTGCAACCATTCCTGCAATCAATCTCTTTGGGCATATCCAAACATCAATATGATGAACATCCTTCACATTTCTCGGGGCCTGATTGGATCATCGCGATCCTGTAACGGTGGTCTGCATATGGGCTGAAGCACTGAGAACAGCTATGAACAGCTGAGCTCTTCAAAGTGATCCAGCAAAAAATGCTGACATCTTTGAGGCACGTTCTGCCCCGGAAACTTTACACAAGCTGAAATTGACCATGAAACCTCTTTGAGGTCATGGGCGGCACAGGATTGGTCCAAGTCCTAAAGCAGGACCTTCTATGATACATTATCACATTACAATACATTATCACATTACATCACATTACATCACATTACATCACATTCTCACTATGCTACACAATTTTTGAACTACAAAATGGAACACTTGGCAAAAATGCAATGTTGACCCAAAATGAACTTGGCAAGAAGGCATAGCGGCATCACCAACTCTGAGAGCTGACAATTCTTGACCGTAGAGAACCCATATCACCAGGTCACAGTTCAGTGCCTTAAGCCGGCAGCAAGTGCGCATCCTTCGCCATGCGCCAAAAGCAACAAAAAAGAAACTGAAATTGGAAAAGAATAAAATTGAATAAAAATAGAACAGGAGAATATAAGAGACGGTAAAACATGGACAGGTTGTGTGCATGAACTTGCAAGGATTGAACCTGTCCTTCAACCCATCGGTTAGCTCATCCAGCCTTGCCTAGGAAAACGGGCGAAATTTGGTCTGAGGGCCAAGCCCATAATGTTGGGATGTGCTGAGACAATTGCGTTCGAAATCAAACAGGTCCAGTCTTTGACTGCCACACGCTGACACAAGCTGACACAAGCTGACACAAGCTGACTACCGCACCCGCAATTCATCCAGCTTTCGATCTGTGTCTGCGGCTCGATGCTGATCCTGACATGCTAAATGCTCTCTGGGTCATTCCGGATGACCATATTTTACCTACACCGATTTGCACCAGCAGATTCGAAAATACAACTATTATCTAATTTTATATCTATATTATATCTATATAACAATATATATTATAAAGATTTATAAAGTATGTTTGGGTGTGTAATTAGTGTCGTCACTCTCTTCATGATCTTCACGTGACCAGACTTGCAGACTTTCACCTCGCCCTTGCGGATCTCCTGGCTTCTCTCCAGGACCTTCTGCATGCCTTCTCTCATCTCCCTTCTCAGCTCCGACATTTTTTCGTGCACATTCATGTCCATACCTGACTACAGGACACTGCAGTGTAACAATGTGTAACACATTGTAACACTACAGTACAATGACTGCAAGCGCAAGAATGTGAAAATGATGCACCTTAAGATTTGCACAGCTGTTCACTGCGAAATGCTACGAAGCATGTGCAGCCCGCCCGGTGCTCCGGTTCAATGAGTTCGTGAAATATAGGCAGGCAACTGTCAAAATCAGAGCTGATATCCCCCCAGGTTGAAGGCGCTCGAGGAACAGCATACCACACCTCAACTGCACTCGAAGTCTCATGCGCATCATGCGAGGATCCAGAACCATCCAGAACCCATGCAAAGCCATTGTAGGAAAGCATGTTCGGCTTTGCCGGTATAGGTGGTAGAATTGGCTGACTATGCCGCAGAAAGAAAGGTCCATCAAAATCATCAAATGCTGCATGGCAAATCTTGTCTAGCTATGATAGCTATGTGCTGCTTTGTGCTGCTTTGTGCTGCTTGGTGGCGAAATCGGATGCTTCTTCCATGTCTGCCACCTTTCTAGCACAGCATCTGCAGTATTTTCTCCACGCGAACGACATGGTGAAGTGGTTTAGGAGGAATCGTGCCCGCGCCAATAAAAACAGTCGTTCTCGGTGTTCCCAGCCTCAGCTGTCAGGCAATGTCGCGCAACTCAAATTCCATGTACGAGTAACTCACGCTTTATATTTGGTGCTGGGCCGCACCAGAAGATCAAAGATTATCAAAGTATGAAATTTGTCTATATTTGTCTACACTATTCTACACCACAACGCCACGATGCCATGCCAAACCGTTGCCGCCAAGTCTCCACGATTGTAGCTCTCAGCGAGAACGCCGATCAGCACATTCATCAAAATGATTGACATACTCAAGCTCATCGCCTCACATACTGAAAATGTGCCTTGCCTGTAATTACTTGCCTGAGGTGAGGGCAAACCAAAGCATTGAAAAAGAACAAGCTGAAAATGTTCCGGGCGGCCCCATTCCATAGCTAAAATGATTGAACAACTCTGAGCCTTTGGGTCATGTGTGGGGCGACTAGGTCGACTAGGACTAGTTGTCCAGTTTGTCTCACGCCAAGCGGCTAAGACTACAAAGTCAACTGCCAAGCGCCAGGTGGGAGCATCTGCATCCGCAGGCAGTAAAATCTCGTCCAGGCCAGCTTCAGCCAGAAAACCAAGTTTGTAAAGCGCGATCATTGATAACCACCAATGGTTCAAGCCAAAGCAGTAGTACAAATGGATAAAGCCGGCAAACCAACAAAAGATTACGAAAAAGAAAGGCACTGTTGCTGGAACAGCCTGCAGAATTGGAAGCATTGGCTTGCCAGTGCTCTCGAATCCCTTCAGGTTGTTCAGAACTCGCAGCCACCGCGCAAATCCAGCAAATGCAAATACGAGCCTGAAAGCAAGGAACCCTAGCAGAAATTGGAGTCTACTGGAGTCTAGCATGTCCAACGCTCTGGATCCTTGTGCGACGTGACAGTAATTCTTTTGAATTTCCAGGCCATCAAGCTGGATACAGATAGGCTATTAAGGTCGTGATACAAGTAGGTCAAATATGCGAATTCGAGTTGATGAAGCGCCAGCTGACCCCTCACAAGTTCTGAAGACATATCGAAAAACAATACGAACGGGAAGGAACTTGGCGGAAATTCGGCTACCAACTTTGCAATACAAGCAGGCAGTGGGGAAGGAAGACTCTCATAGATACACGTACACACATATACAATTACACAATTAATTATACTGCATGCATGCATGCATATGTATATTGTATATGTACATATATATTAATATATATATATAATATCATGTTATATCTATCTAAATAGATATACAGTATTTATGAAAATAAACACATAGAAATGCGTCTTCTGTTCATGTCCAAGAATCTGCAGCCACTGTCGTGTGCGAAATTCATCCCAGGCCACCGTGAGGCCAATCAAGCTCATGGCTGTGATGAGAATCCGGAAAGCATCTCCTGAACGTGTGAAATGTCTCTTCTACTCACACAAGGGATGTGGACGCAAGAAATCTTCCCAACCATTCCCAAGCCAAGTGCATTGTTTGGAGTAAGCTATTTCTTGCTGTTTGTTGTTGTTCTGGGGGGGGACATGATAATCACAACATATAATAACGCATCACTCATTGTAGAGGTGAGTCCTGCAAAGCCGATGGTCAAGACGTGCTCACGAAGCTTGCAGTGCGCACGATACCCAATAAGCGACAGAACTTCGTGAACAATTTTTCTGACCAGAATCCTCTGCAGTGCGTGCAGTATGCCTATGTGACGATGTGAACTAGTAACTTATAGAAAGCAGTGGAATCTAGTTGCTAGCGACATCTAGCGACCATCGTAAAGAGGAACAACATAAGACTTGGAGTCACTGGTGTGTGGGCAAAGGAAACCACCGAGTAGCGACCCCTGAGGAGCTTCAATATGCTTCAATACGTTGTTACAGGATGTTAAAGGATGTTAAAGGATGTTAAAGAATGTTAAAGACACAAGTACTGGTAGGTGCCAAACATATGCCAAGCTACACTGCAGCCAATGCCAAACAAATCGGACGGGGCCAAACAGTGTTCTGCCAGTCAATGTCATGTTGAAGACCGGCAAGTAGTGCAAAAATGATCGCCATGAATCCATCCTTGGGCACACAGCCACCTAGAACCATCTAGAAAGTTCATGACAGTTCAATGACCATCAATGATCATCAATGATCCCCATTTCAGAGTCTAACTTATCGATATTTGTTCATGCTCTGATTCAACATGTGGGATTCAACATGTGGGAAAACAGCTATAGAAGGAGGATGGAGGATGGAGATGGATGGAGGATGGAGATGGATGGAGGATGGAGATGGATGGAGGATGGAGATGGATGGAGGATGGAGGCTGAAGCCATGGCACAACAAAGAAGGCGATGAAGTGCGCGACCTCCGCTTCTCTCCATGCTAGCTGAATGATCGCACGCGCTCCTCTTTGGTCGAAAATGCGGTCATTCACTCCCGAAGCAATCACCCAGAGCACCTGAAAGCTGAAAGAAGCTGAAAGCTGAGCAGCTGGGATTGTCAGGCCGACCGAACCACCGAACCATACCGAACCTATGCGCATGCTGGCTTCAATTGAGGCAAAGGTCATCACATGTCTACTGTAACCTCTGGGAAATATGCTGTAACACGCCACACGTTCAACGTCGGTCGGAAACGCTGCGCCTCTGGGTTGCGATGCAAGCCAGACAGAACTCCCTGAAAGATATCAACCGGAATCTGCGAATGCCCTGGGATCTTTTCAAAACGGTGTGGCAATAAAATTTCGAAAAATATCTCATCTTTGTCCTTATGATCTTCATGTGCATCGCTGATTCTTGCTTCAGTGGCTGCTGCGCGCTCCATCTCTCCCAGGAATTTCTTTTCAAAATGCTCCTTGGAAGGGCCAACAGCGACGTTCATTTCTCCGTGGAGGACGTAAGCCGTTCGCCAGATGAGTCGGCGCTCACCTTTCCAGTAGCGCAGCTGGCATGGACAAAAGACCGCGGGGATGATCTCTTCGGCATCAGGAGTCGACAGAATCTGAATGAAGTCCTGTCGACTTCCGTGGACCATGGTGGATACATGTGGATACCAAATCTGACAATCTGAGTCTAAGAATGATAAGAATGCATACTGCCGCATAAATTACACAACATGCTGACGCTGACTTAAGCCTATTTCTGCTATGTTCATATCACACGTCGCTACGCCTCTAAAAAGTAATTTCGGAGCGATCTAAAGAGGCAAGGTCACGGAACCCAAAATTCAATTGGCCTTGGCCTGGATTTCTTGATCTGTTGCAATCTTTTAGGGTGAACATGGATGAACAATAGAATGTAACGAACACAATAGAACAATAAACCAAGATAAACCAAGATAAACCAAGATAAACCAAGTAGACACGTAGACTAACCAACAGTTCAACACCGACGCCTCAATGGTCATGCCACCGGTCATCTGCCCAGGGCTTTGCTTTAAGCCCGTAGCAGCCGCAGCAACCAAAACGGAATTGTTTGCCTCAAAAATGTAGTCCACGCCTCGCAGACCAGGTTCACCTCCGAAGAGCTCAGCTTTGCCTGTGAGCACTGCAGTGTTCTGCAGCTCATCAGTGAAGGATCTTGTTGAAGCTGAAGCATGACTATGCAGCTAGACTATGCACCATTACTGGGTCATTACCGTGTGTGCTGTATGTGCTTTGTGCATCTGCATGGTGCTAAGGAGGAACAAGCTTTGATCTAGCCACTTGCAGTGCTGTGATGGAAATGGCATCCCTGCTCCTAACACGAACAATGAATAAAGATTGGCATGTGTACCCATTGGGAATGTTTTAAGTTGGTGTTCAAGTGCGGCCTTATGCACGTAAATTGCAAACATGTTCCGAAAATGAACGCCCTCCCCCTGTTTACAAGACATACGTGTACGTATGATATGTATATATATATATGGTTTTCCCTCGGACAGTTTCCAACTAGGGTCCCTGCATATTTAACCACCTATATATGAGAGCAGACATCTGCGAGCAATTTTTTGGCAAATCGATTTACTGTAAGCGTGTTCTTTATCACATTGGGTCCGCCTTGGAATTCTGTCCTTTTGCAGTTTCTGGATGTGTCTGACGTAGTTTACACAAGTAAGTTTATCAAGACTTTGGCTCTGCTAAGGGTAGCCAAGGGCGCCCACATGATACGCTTAATATTAAAAATTGAAGAAAACAAAATAGCGCATCTTGTATTTCTGTCTGCTTTGGGACGAGGAAAGGATTGCTAAAATGATAAACAAACATGGTCAGGCCGTATACGCCGTAGTCAGTTCATTGCTCTGAGAAGGCGAAGCGCTATGTGACATGGGAAGCCGAGCTTAATTTCGCCAGTCCTGGCCTTGAACCAAGAGCTTCACAACCTGCGGGTGGGACAGGGAAAGATTATCCAGCGAATTCAAAGAGTTCTTTTCGTCCGTATCTCCATATCCCAGTCGATGATGCTAATGTCCAAACAGGTTTGTCCCCCTGTCTTGAAATATCCGACTAGCGGCTAGGTCCCATCTGGCCTCGACGTGGCATCCATCTACTGCATCTTTCAGCTCAGGTGGCCCACCCCCACCTGGAAATGAATGTGACACCTGTGCTTTGGCAGCAAGGAGAACTCGCACAACTTCTGCATGTCCAAGGCTAGCAGAGATATGTAGCGGCGTCTTGAGAATGCTCATGTCATCCTGCACAGGAGACCCACAGGTGGACTCCAAAATCTTCAAACCTTCGTGTCCTACGTGTGTGTGTAGATGTTTTTCATACATCTATATCTATCATCTATATCTATATCTATCTATATATGCATATAGATATATATGGTTACAGGTTCCTTGTGGGCGTGCGTTTTTGCGTACGTTTCTACACGTGTTTCTCATTGCACTCGGCTGCCATTTTCTCTGCAATGCACGATGCGTGTCAAACGTTTGGCGCTGTGCGCCAAAAAAAACGCATCCGGAACCGAATTCAGTATTGGACTGGAACCGCGGAACCCTCATGCGCGGCGAGGACGGAAGACATTCCATCTCCCCCTTCGAATCCAAGTGCTCCGAGAAAATGACCTTCAGGGCCGCCACCAACTTCGGGTCATCGGCCACTTCCCCTGTGAAAGTGAACAAAGGAGGTCGAGGGAATGTACTGGTCCTAGGGTTGCCCGGCGAGGGGCGCCCCTGGAACCCGACCAGTTCCTCTAAATTTTTGGTGAGGGTGCGCTCCAACACAACCGCATGAGGCAAGGAGTTCATGGTCTTCAGGCGGGCCTCGGAAAACTTTCACCGTTTGTAGGAGCGGGAAAGGGGCTCGGGCCAATACTGCTAGCGCCCAACATTTTTGTGGTCACACACGAGTCAAGTGGTACACCTATACGCGCACTGCGTCCAACCCCATGATGGACGGAAACTGCACATGCTGCATCTTTGCCGGGTTGCAGAAAAGCGAAAGCACTCAGTTCTACTGAAACAGCTGGCACGTGCTGTGACGCCTCCATATCTTCCTGCGTGCCCAGCTTCGATGGAAAGCAGCCTGGCGCAACAATGGAGCACTTCGTGATGAGAATGGCAACGAAATGAAGCCTGTAACCTTCCCCCAAAAAGAACGCTGCGCGCTCTTTCAAAACATCCCGAGGGGGGGAGAGGGGGTTGCTGGGCACTCTTCCAGGGGATCAGGGGAGGGGGGGTGCTGGGCACTCTTCCAAGGGCAAGGGTTTTCAAGACTGACCACGCCCCCCCCTTTCCAAAAAGTCGCCACCACCCCCCCCCCGCCCCCCCCTCCCTCGAACATCCTTGGAAATAGGCGCAGGGTTTTCTTGGTGCACTGTCCGTGCCTCCGCATGCTCCGCGACCACGCTCCGCAACCATGCAGACACACTACAGGCAACACCCAACACCTGGCAGGACATGCAAGGTTAGAGGCTGCTTTCCGTGTCAAGGACATCTACCAGCAACTCCTTCAAGTATGTTGTTTGTCTGTTCCCACTAGTTATAGAGCAAGACACCATGTCTAGAAGACAATGTCTGGAAAACACTGTTTTTGAGAACACCCGAAACGACCCTGGAGCCATATATATATATATGTGTGTGTGTGTATCTATATCTATATCCATATCATTCCATATCTATATCTATATGTGTGTGTGTGTTTGTGTGCATCTGTCAGCATGTGGGTGAACTTGTGTGCATGTGTGCGTGTGCGTCCAATGCAGTTGCTTAATGAAATGATAATCATGGGAAATCATGGGCTACCCAGGACATCTCAACAGGATTCCCGTTCTATAATTAAAATGATATAAGTGATATAAGTTCAAAATGTAGAGCGCGTAAGATGCGCAAGTCGATTGTCCGATGCAAAGCATGATCGGGTGGCAAAGCGGTGTGATCGGGCGACAACTCCCCACTGACTATGTACAGTTAAAGTTATGTACTGGGACTACAAGTTGGGATCCGTATGGGGCACTTTTCTTCAGGGATAGATTAGCAAAAATCAGGACACCCTGACACCCGCGCGCTCTAGTCCAGAAAATCAAGCGAATAGACTACGACGACCAACACGACTACATAATCTACATAGCGCAAAAACCGCGGAGGAATTGCCCATTGGTCCTGAAACTTGACTGGAATGTCGGGATTACCCTTCTGCTGCAAGAGGTAACGGACCAAATGTGCATGGCCAAAATAGCTGGCATCATACAACAACGTGACATTTGGTTCGCCGTTGAAACTAACCAATCGCCCGTTGAGGTTGGCTTCAAGCTCCACAAGTAGTCGCATCATTGAGAGGTTGCCTCTAGCCACGGTGCCACAGACTGCAGGCCCGTTCCAACGAACCCCAGATCGCCCAGCAGTCATGGAGTACGTTGATTCCGGATCTGCATGGCTGGCAATCAGCAATCGCACCACGTTGGGTTTGTCAAGTTTCACTGCCAATGTCAATGGAGAACCTTGAAACTCCTTTGGCCCAAGCTTATATTTCAGCCTGGAGTTTGGATCCGCTTGGCTGTCGAGTATTCTTTTGACCTCAGAGTACTGGCATTTTCCCAGTAAGCACTCACGCAGTTCGGCGACCAAGCTACCAGGCTCCACCGAAATCACAGAGTCGTGATGGAGGAGTTCCACACGCTCCGCACTATTGCTACCTCTCGTATCTCTATCCCTGCGAAGTGCTGGGATCGAGACTGTTGCTTCTGGCAAAATGCCATTCATACCCAGCCTCTGACGCTCCAGTGAGCAGACGGTGGCATTGCCATGGTAATGCCAGAAGGCCAGCAGGTAAGTCCGACGGGATTATCTTGAAGCTGACATGACAAGATGCAGAATGTGCAAACTGACGTTAAAGTTCTGGTGAAATGTTCACGGTCCAGCCTTTCCAAGCCATCCCGTCGCAATTAGGATCGACATGGATTGACAGTATGCGCATAGGACTACCCAAATCTGGTCAATGATTTTCCCGTTCCCACGATTACGATATGATAGATATGTAATAGATATGTAAGAATGCTAGCCATGGGTGTTTCTCCAAGAGTTGCACTCTGCCGCACGGTCTCCACTGCTTCATGCCCATCGCACAAGCAGCAGTTGCTGGTGTTGCTCGCCCACTCTGTGGGTGGCCAACACTCTGAACTGAACACAGGCCGTGTGCTGTCACACGCCACCCGCTCATGGAACAGGCCTTTCTCAATACATCACTGCTTTTGCAGGCGCATTGAGGACCATGCCATGATGTAATCACAAAAGTGCACATGGTATATACAATTAAAATATCTGTTTTTGCTCTTGTGAGATCTTGCAAGCATTTTGGTTGACCTTCAGCTGGTTCTGTCCTCTCTGATGCAGAGCTGCAGCTGAAAGGGAAAATCCGGCTCAAACTCAAGCTCTTGGAGTGAGCACCACTGTCAAACCATACCTCCATGTGTTCACGGGCATGGTCACCGCTATGTGCAGCCATAGGTATGCGAATTAGTTCTGCACGACCAGTTGAATCATGTTTGACTTGTTGATTCCAAGTGAGAAGCTGAGAAGACCTGAGAAGTAAACTCAGCAACTACATTCGCGCGTTGAGCTGGTCATGCAATCTTTTCTGCGACCTCCACGCCGTCAAGCCTTGGACTGCAAAGGCCTAAGTTTCAAGGGGTTTTGCAAAGAGTTGGCAAAAGTAAATCGAATGCATTTGACAGGTAAAAGGATCACTTTGGAACACACTCTCAGGCATCACTTTAGAACACAGCCATTTTGCATCACTTTAGAACACAAAATCAAACATCTCATGGAAACCCCGCCATACACACACACACATCAGATTTACTGACAGGCGCGAGACTTTGGAAGAAAAACGCGTTCCAAAGCGAGACCAACACAAAAAAACTCCTCGTATGAGAATTTGACTCGTTTCAACCATGTCATAAAGTCCCACGCCTGCCACGTAAAAGGACAGTCGATGTACAAAAGTGCCACACCTGCCACGCAAAATGAAGGTCGATGTCAAAAGGTCCCACGCCTGCCACAGAAAATGAAGGTGAATATATGAAACAAAAGCCTTGTTGTACTTGATGTAAGAAGAGCAACGAGACCTTTAGGATTTATATGTTGTTGCACTTGATGTAAGGACTGCCACGACACCTTTAGGGTTTACATGTTGTTGCACTTGATGTAAGGACTGCCACGACACCTTTAGGGTTTATATGTTGTTGCACTTGATGTAAGGACTTCCACGACACCTTAAGGGTTACATGTTGTTGCACTTCATGTAATAGGAGCCACGACACCTTTAGGGTTTACATCTTGTTGCACTTGATGTAAGAAGAGCCACAGCACCTTTAGGGTTTACATGTTGTTGCACTTCATGTAATAAGAGCCACGACACCTTTAGGGTTTACATGTTGTTGAGGGCTTACATGTTGTTGCACTTCATGTAAGAAGAGCCACGACACTTTTAGGGTTTACACATCTTGTTGCACTTCATGTAAGGAGTGCCACGACACCTTTAGGGTTTACATGTTGTTGCAATTCATGTAACAAGAGCCAGGACACCTTTGAGGTTCTTATCTTGTTGCACTTGATGTCTTGTTGCACTTGATGTAAGAAGAGCCACGACACCTTTAGGGTTTATATCTTGTTGCACTTGATGTAAGGAGTGCCACGACACCTTTAGGGTTTATATCTTGTTGCACTTGATGTAAGAAGAGCCACGGCACCTTTAGGGCTTATATCTTGTTGTACTTGATGTAAGAAGAGGCACGACACCTTTAGGGTTTTATGTTGTTGCACTTGATCTAAGGACTGCCACGACACCTTTAGGGTATATATCTTGTTGTACTTGATGTAAGGAGTGCCACGACACCTTTAGGGTTTATATCTTGTTGCACTTAATGTAAGAAGAGCCACGACACCTTTAGGCTTTTTATCTCGTTGTACTTGATGTAAGGAGTGCCACGACACCTTTAGGGCTTATATGTTGTTGCACTTGATGTAAGGACTGCCACGACACCTTTATAATGATGATAAGGATGATACTGATGATGATGACGATGAGGATGAGGATGAGGAAAACGGCAAAGAAAAAGAAGAAGAAGAAGAACACACATGATGATAATGCTGATGATGGTGGTATGGAAGCTGCTGGTGATGATAATGATGGTGGTGATGATGATGAAGCTGATGACAGCAAGGAAGAAGCATGATGATAATGATGAGGAGGAGGATGATGATCATGATCAGGATGATCTGAAGATGATGCTGATGATGATGATGGTGACGCTAAGAATGGTGATGATGATGATGATGAGGAGGAGGAGGAGGATGACGATGGTGATGATGATGATGATGATGACGATGATGATGATGATGACGATGACGATGACGATGATGATGATGATGATGACGACGATGACGATGACGATGACGATGACGATGATGATGATGATGATGATGATGGTGAGGAGGCGCGTTCGAAAGCGATGCATGAGAGCGCGTTCCGAAGCGATGCCTGAAGACGCGTTCCGAAGCGAGGCCCTTACCCATTTGACATGGTATGTGTATATATAGATTATTATATCAAATATATATATATAATTACATATATATATATATATTCATATTTATTCAATGTATTTGTTATCAAGGCTCAGCTGGTTCTTAGTGATTTCCTTCCTCAACGAGCTACCCTTGGCGCCCAAGTTTACCGCATCGTTTTCGAGGTGCACTATCGACGGACGTAGCTTCAAGTAGAGTCGATTTAACGGCCTCAAGTGGAGCTTCGGCTGCGACAAAGCCGAATTTGAATTGTGCCAAAGGGATCCAAAGGGCATCTGATGGCATCTGATGGCATTGGATCATATTGGATCACCCTCTGTCGGAACACATTTACAATATTTTACAATAGACATTTTTCTTTTTAAAACAAATTGAACGGATATTAAACGGCAATCCACTTCCTTGGAAATTCCTGTCGAACCCTCTGGCGGAGCTTTAGAATCCGTACCCAGTACGTGCACTTGCTCCTTGAGTACCCATCGATCAAGTTGTCTACATTAATCTGAAGGTGAGGTGCGCTGCAGCACTGGTCCTTCTAAACACATCTAAGCACATAGATGTTCAGACTCTCTTCACTATTTCTCACCACTTCTCCATGTTTCTCCCAACCTCTTTTTGAATGGGGGAAACAGAAACGAACAAACCGCCAGAGACCGCCAGAGATCATCAAAGCCGCGGCCACAGGTCATTTTAAAGCGTGATGCCAGCATTATGATCACATGCTTGGCCCCCACACCACGGCATGCACCAATCTGAATCGGACAGCGGGCATTGCCAAATGCATCCAAAGACTCACTTTTGCTGCGAGACATGTTTTATCATTTCGGTGTGGACTTGGTGGCTGGATGTAGCTGTAATTTAAGGTTTGCACTGACCCAATCATACTCCTGGACGGGACTGAAGTAGTACTACAGCTGGATTGAAATGGAACACCGAAACACACTGCGCAAGGTACCGTCAAGTCTGTCGATACGGTACCTCAATATGAGATCTGACCATCCACGTATTGCTTGAGTCAAATTGCGCTTCCATGCCTAGTGGTCATTGGTTTGAAACAGAGAGAGAGACTCCTTCATCTTTGACATCTTTGACATAAGCTGCAGCCAGCCACCAAAATCACACAACGGCACAAAGGCAGTCCCGCCACTTGTAGGTCTCCGGTGAAAAGCCTGCTTCCACTCGGGCACTGTGATACCTTGGCTGTTGCAGTGTTTGAGGCTTCAGCACCGGTCTCATGTACACTAGCGCCTGCTGAAGCATTTTCTGTTTGATCCGTCGTCACATGAAGTGCTAATTGATGTAACTTTGTCCTCTCTTAGCCCAAGGACTCCTGCATCAGAATCGAAAGCCAAATATTGGCCACTATCAACCTGCAACTAGCGTCACTGCGCAAGTACTTAATCCAATCTTTGAGGACTGCAATCTGCAAAGCATAAAGAAGAGACAAAGCTTGCGGAGCAAAGGGCGATGTAGAAGGCAGTACCACCATGCACCGCAATGGCTGCAGCTCACGTTGCAAACTCGAGCCTCCCAAAGCAGAACAGCAGGATGACGTAGATCAATCTCAACGACCTGAAAGGACACAAAATCAAAAGATCCAGGTCATCAGCCACAGAGAGACCATTCCGAAAGATGCCAAAAGCCAAATGATGCCAACTGTAAAAATGCACGAAGTGTCAGAATCAGTACAGGATATGTATGAAATAGCTTTGAGATCAAAATGTCCAACGGGCAGGTGACGCAGAAAAAGTTGCATTCTTCGAAAGTCTACAATCCTCAATCTGTAGAAAATTGTTCTTACTGACATTGAGAATCATGTCCACTTCCGGAGCACAAAATGAAGCACCGCAAAAGTGGCAAAAGTCCGAATCTCTGACGGGATTCTGAGTTTCATGCTCGCCGGGCTCCAACTGCGCAGGATGGTAGTCTCCGGACAGGATGAGGAGGGAGCAACTCACCATAGCGCCAAAATTCCTCCAGTGGAATGTTGCAGTAACTCAACCTAAACAAATCTTAACAAATAGAAACAGGATGTGCCAAGAATTCAGCCGCGAAAAGAAACAAATAGAAACAGTGCATCATCCAGAGGGTTGATCGTGAGGAAGTGGGGGCACGTCCTGTTGCACTCGTGGACCTTGTTGCCTGCAGACATCCCTAGCACTAAAAAGCCCAGGAAGACCAAGAGCAGCAAGGGAGAAAGCCTTGGATGCCATCGTGGGGTCTGGGGCTGGCATTCAGTGCACAAATAAATCCCAAACTCAAATCTGCAGACTGATGCTTCCGCACATGGTATTGAAGGATGATGATTCCAAGGTTTCGGTTCGAACTGACTGAACCAAACATGCACTGCCCCGGCCTGAGAAGATATGAGGCACTTCTCGCGACGGACAGCCAAACGATGTAGACCTGAAGATCATTGAAGATCCACTTCTTTGTTATTGGGATTGATGTAGTATGTGTAGTATTGTGTAGTCACATTTTGGCATTTTGGTCCTGTCTGTGTTACGCCCCAGTCACTTGCTTCAACCTGTCGGCCGTGTGTGTTACTTTTTGCCTGTGCCATCCTGTGCCCCTTGCCCTGAAAACTCCTCAGAGATCTAGAAAAATGTTGAAGGTGCTGAGGACATCTGAGAACTGTTGAAAGGTAGCGTTTCGATTCCAACATGAGAACGTTTGAGAAATGAGGGTGATCTCCATTATCGGAAGCATGCAAGCGAGCCATGAATCGTTGTTGTCGACGGATATGGATGATATGGAAGGTGCAAGTCCCTGATAGTCCCTCTGAGCACACGCACGCTACGATTCACTCGCAGGAAATAAACGAATCTGTAAAGGCAAAGGGCCTCCAGTCACGTCTAAGCAGGTCAAACTTACAAAGAGTGGACTTTCAATGACTTTCATGACCACCAATGGGCCTTGACTTACGCAATATTGCTAATTAACTGATACTAACCTGACTCACTGGATCCGGAAATGTAAGTTTCGAACCAGCAACACTGATTCCAAGCATACGTGGACGCCATAGTTTTCTGCAACCTGGCCAGCCTGGCTGCAACCGACAAACTTGCTCGGGTTAAGGTGGGTTAAGCGGGATTGTTAACCATATTTAACCATTGATCTTTTTGCTTTGAATCGCGTTGTGTAGTGATGAGCTTAGATGAGCTTGTCACAGCTTGTCAGAGTACCACCCAGCCATAAGAATGGTCTGCCAAGGATGTGTAAGGTGCAGCGAGGTAAGTAGCCAAAATGAATCCACATGGAACAAGAAAATACCATCAAAAATACATCTGGTTTCCAGATGTTTCCAGCACAGTTTTCCTGGTCCTGGGTGGTGGGTGATGGCTTTGAGGTGTTCCATAGAATCGAGTCCAAGGTGCATCTCGGAAGCTGTCGAGGTGCGACAATGCGTAGCTTACGCTTGGCTCCTGTAAAGATCAAAACCAAGGAAGGTTCTGTAGGCATCCTGACATTGACATGGCACGCATAGTGCCAAATCTCTACATATGCTGGAGAGATGGAAAAAATATATACCAAAAAAAACATTAGGTTTCTGCACAACACAATGATTGTGAACTGGGCAGGTATAATTGCCGCTTCCCACTGAGTTCCATACACTTGCGTAGTAGCTGATCCGAAACCCCAACGCCACCAAGAAGAATATCAGAATGCTGAAGTCAACCAAGGTCTGCAGTAGAGGGCTGCGCTTTCTGGGAACCAGGAGCGTTAAGTGAACTACTTCCATCTTTGAAATCTCGGATGCTGTTGCATCAGAGTGCCACGGGCAAGCAAACTTCAACTGAGTGACAGCTGTCTTTGTTATTCCTCATGTCTGCATCCAAACAGCCATATAAATGCAACACCGTCAACCTAAATATATCAAAGTCAAAGATTATCAAAGTATTATACATACATATTTAGGTTGACAGTAGCAATCCAAATATAAACAAAACTCATCAAAACTCTACATTCAGAATCATGCCTGCCTGAACGGTCACAAGTTGCTTCCAACTTGATCCTGTCTCTTTGCATTCATGCCTGAACTCCACGAGTTCCTGCAATGAGCAAATCAAACTGGATGGAGAAAATCACTTTGACAATCTTAGACACGTTGTGCAGCTGACACGGGCAGCCCAAGCCAATAACAAGGCCTGAAGGATCAGAAAGAGCAGCAAGCAAAACCTGGAACGCGAAAAACTTTTGGAAAGAATTACGTTTTTGGCAGGTCCACCAATACCAATGACAAAGTGGCTATCATATGTTGTGGCGTGTAAATCTCCTCTTTGCTTTGCCCAATGAAGCATTGGCCAGGGCTACCAGTATGGAAGCCTCCTTTTAACTACCCTTGTGCCTGACTATGTCAGAGATCAGCAGCTCGTAATCGAGGCCATACTCCAACAAATGGGGCCTGCTATGTGCTGGCGCCGAGCCCCTATGGAGGTGTCGAGTCATGTCCATAAGGATGCTCCAAGGCATTTGACTGTGTCCATTGGCTCCCAGACAGTGTGAGCCTGAAGGGTTCGATGTGAGCCAGTGGATGGATCGTTCCAAAAGCGCTGACTTCGAGGGTGTATCTGCAAGGCTGGTATAGGCTGATCACATCTGATCTCTATGCTCAATCTTGCAATGATGCAGCTGCCAATTCCAGCGGCAACAAGCTACCTGTTCCAAATCCACATCTGGTGGTTTGCATTGTACGCCACAAAGCTAAGGTGCAAAGCCCGTGTCTGATCGGAAAGCCTTAGAACTCCAGGAGTCTGCAGGCTATCAAAATTTCAATCCCAATCTCAATCTTTCAGGCCCTGACCAGCCAGCTTGTTTTAGGAAGTGCATGTCACTCAGAAATGCCGACCGCACTACCGACAGTGGCCTGGGCAATCGTGCACTTGATATTTGACAGCACAGCTTCGACAACGCTCCAGAGAAGCTCGGGATCCAAACGTGTATTGCAGCTGATATTCGAAACCTTCCAAGCGACGCGGCAACAACACACTCTCAACCATTGAGAACTTATACTATAAACACCTGTAAACCTATATTGCCTATTGCATCACCGAATGCAACATGTACACGAGGGATTTTATCCAGGAATATATCCAGGATACTACATGATATTACATGGGCAATCTCTTGTTGTGCCTTTCCTTTCGCAGTTGGAACTCGTGCTAGGAAGCCAGCGGTTTCCAGACCCATCTGTCCGCTGAAAAGCTTGGGCTTCTGAGTGTGCGCCTGCAGTGTTCAATCTCAGCTTTGCTCCCACGCACATGAATGCATTGCAAACATGTGCAGACTGATGAAGACTGATTGAGACTGATGGCCTGATGTCGGATGGCTCATCTTCCGGTATTCCCAAGGCTTTTCCATGGATCTTCCATCCTGTAACGTCCACCCGTCTGCACCCAATCTGCAGGAATGGTCCTAGACGTAGACATGGTGTGAAAGGCTGCCAGGCCTGTGCAACTTTGCTCGCCCAGTGGTTTTCTAGCTTGCGTTGTGGGGACCGGTCTGCCTCGCTCGAAAAGATCCAAAATGATCCAAAAATGGATTGAAATTTGCCTGTTGCGCATCAAAAACCGCCGACTTCTAGCTGGGAATCGAACCGTACTATCTGCAAATGCTGAATGCACACCTGGAGTCTGACGTCAATTTCATGTGGGTCTCCCTCTATCCAATTATGCTGTGATGATCTGTGATGATCTGTGATGCAAAGAAAACAAAACCCACAGAATGAAACGAGATTTGCTGATGTTTGATGAATCATACTATTTGAAGCTTTCTGACGAAGTTGTTTCGGCTGTTACAAGCAACGCCCGAATTGGCCGTCGTTCAGGCTCTTGCAGGAGAAGTTTGCAGCACTGGCCTCACCCTGCTTTGCCGCGTGGTTTCGCGATGTTTTGCCATTTTCATAACCCACTGCAGCATGAAGTGTTGACAACACATGCAAATCTAGGAAAAGGCAATGAAAGGCATGTGTTGACACAAGTTCGCCTCTACACCTTTGCAGTTGGCTGGCGAAGGCTGTGAAACTTGTTGAATTAGCACCTTCAATGGGCTTGACTGCACCAGTCCATCTCACTCATTCAGCTGTTTGCAGTCGAATTCAGATGTTTCAAAATGGATCAAAACGGCTTATTAAGGCCTCTTGGCAGCATTGGTTGCTTTTGGCCATGAAATGAACTGACAAGTTTGTCCATGCTAAAGAGCACCTGCAGATAACCTACAAGGTAGTTGTACTCTCGCAGCATGGAGTCATCTGAGAAGACTTCAACCTCATCGACTTCGAACCACAAATTTAGAATGGTCCAAATGTATCCAAATGTTCCTTCAACCCGTAAAACATCAAAAACATGGAGACAGGAATGGAGTGTGTTGCAGCTGCATCCATGAGGCCATGAGGTACCTTGAATTCATCTGGTCCCAGTTTCAAAGACCTGCTGGTCAGCTTAATTATATAATGAGTACAGTCAGCACAGGCGAGTACAGTGAATGTAAAAATGTGTTCCTACAAGTCATGGAGCCTTGGAGAATCTTGGAGAACACTTGCGGGTTGACATGGCCCTGGGGAAATCCGACGAACATCGACAAACTATATCCAACACCGGGGCTGCGACAGAGACTGACTTTTCCAACCTTGCATTGGGTTCAAGCTGAAGTCCCATTTCACCAATACAAAGGAGTCATGTAACAAACCTGGCAACGGCCTGCCAATATAATATAATATAATATATATATAATATATAATATATATATAATATATATAATAATATATATATAATATAATATATATATATATATAAAATATATAATATATATAATATATAATGTATATATATATATATCTGTGTGCGTGTGTGCGTGTGTGCGTGTGTGCGTGTGTGCGTGTGTGCGTGTGTGCGTGTGTGCGTGTGTGCGTGCGCGCGCGTGAGAGAGAGGGAGTATATATGAAGATATATATATATATATGTGTGTGTGCGCGTGTGTGTGTGAACCATCTGAAGAGATGTAAAACTTCTAAGTTTCGCAGGGGGCCCATGGGCACTTGGATGGAATGGGCCAACGAAGACCCATCCAAGTTGCTGTGCAAACGTACCTGCAATTTCTGAATCGTGATGGGATGTGGCTAACCCAAGAACCACCATGCAGTTGTTCAACGAGAATCACATCATGTTTTTTGAATTAAGCACATGAACGGGTGAAGGTGACTTCTCATTTATCTTTCTGCGCAGTTGGCACAATCTGAGGCTGCAGTGAATCTCTTGTCCATTACAATTTTCTGCTTATATTTCGGAGTTCTTCCTGGCTTCTATTGATTTTATTCCATTCTTCAATGTGGCGACAGAAGAATTTTCCGTTCACTCCACGCCAAACACCCTCCTGCTCCTGTCAGGTGTAACTGGAATGTTTTTGCACATCAGACGCACTCCCCAACAGAATTCGCAATGACAGTTCTGAGCAAGTGTGTGATATATGATGTCAATTCAATACTGGAACATCTGACAAGTTGCTGTATGGATTCGGTGGTTGGGGATAAAGACGGATTTTGCATCCAAAACCATCAATTGCTTTTGCTTGGCCATGTGCTTGGTAACCAAGGACCACACCATTGCCAAATGTCCTCTTCTGATCGTATCGTATCGAAGGTCTGAGGGTGTTGGCCACCTGTAGCGCCCCGGCCCCATCTTTAGCAAGACATGCCATGATGACAGCGCAATGTCATGTGATGTCTTGCCGCATCCACCCTTTGCTTGTTTTCTTGCGGTGCTCAGCATCTCGCCAGTTATGGTTTCTGAAATGCCTGGCCCATTTGTGGCAATTTTCCGTGCCAACAGCAAACAGCGCAATCTGCTGAGACTCAGTCAATCCGCAGGAACTGGGTACCCCTTCTGGAAAGCACGCTTGTGCCTGTGCCTATGCAATCCTACCAGTACGTATCCGCCGACCCCGCCGACGGCAAGGGGGAGAGCGTCAGAGAAGACATTACAATCAGCAAGGGGCAAGAAAGGAGCAAACTGCAAGAGCCAGAGAGAGGGAAGCAGACAAAAGAAGAACGCAAGGAGCAAGAGCAACCGAGCAAGGCGGAACAAAAGAGCTAAGGAAAACGAAAGCGAGCCGACGGACAGCAAGCCAGCAAGTTTCAAGAGCAAGAGAGAAGGAAGAAAACACAAGGCATCACCAGGTGCAAGAGAGAGGAGGCAAGAGAGCAGCAAGACGAAAGTACGCTACTTTGCGTGTGGCGAGGGAGCCGTTTCGGAGGCCCCAGCAGGAAAGTCTGCAGCTAAAGTTCTAGGCGGCTCAGAAAGCAACGATAGGCAGTGGCACAAGGCAGCAGTAGAAGAAGCGTTCGGCGTGGTGAGGGCGCCGTCTCGGAGGCCCGCCAAATCTAGCAAGCGTAGAGCTTGTTTCTAAGTGGCTCAGAAAGCAACGTTAAGCAATGGCACGGGGCAGCTTTGAAGCCCGTCCGACCCTGTGCTGGGCGGTGATTGTGCGTGGCGAAGGCGCCGTTTCGGAGGCCCGAAGCTGGCAAGAGTGGAGCTCGGTTCTAAGGGGCCCAGAAAGCAACGTTAGGCAGTCGCAGGGCGCAGCTTTGGAAGCCCGTCCGGCCCTGTGCTGGGTGGTGTTTGTGCGTGGCGAGGGCGTTTCAGAGGCGTGAAGCTGGCAAGCCAGTTTCTGGGCGGCTTAGAAAGCAACGTTAGGCAGTGGCACAAGGCAGCAGTAGAAGAAGCGTTCGGCCTTTAGGTGTGTGGTGTTTGTGCGTGGTGGGGGCGCCGTTTCTAAGGCCCGAAGCTGGCAAGTGTGGAGCTAGTTTCTAAGCAGATCAGAAAGCAACGTTAGGCAGTGGCAGGGGGCGTTTCGGAGGCGCGAAGCTGGCAAGTGTGGAGCTAGTTTCTAGGCGGCTCAGAAAGCAGTGTTAGGCAGTGGCAGGGGCAGCTTTGGAAGCCCGTCCGGCCCTTAGCCTGACCACAGACAGGGGCCAGAGCAGCAAGCCGCTCATGGTTGCTTCAGCTTTTCCTCCATCCCCAGCCTCTGGGGTCGGTGGCAGGGGGCGTATCCCCTTTATTTGTCTGAATTCTGCGTCACTGATTGCTGTTCTGCTCCTACGTTGTCGGCATATTGCTTTGAAGTTGAAATAGGCTCACGTGCCACTTTCCACAAAACAAAACATATCACCATTTGGAAAGATTGCATCGATTTCACGCTGTTGTCCACTTGCCTGTGGTGCATTCATAGCCCACACGAGGCGGCCGAAGAACGGCAATGGAGAAAGCTGTCAGAAACACAAGCACAAAGTATGCCTTTGGTGGCGGAAATGCATCACAGAGCGGGCAAGGGTCGTACAGAGATAATGATGATCGCCCCCTCCTCCAAGCTGGAATCTGTTGATCAAGGTTGGAATATGGCCCCCGGACCCCAGCCAAAAAAACTTGGTGGGTCAAAGTGGGTCTCTTATGGATATCAGACTCCGAGCTGGGCTTCCCTGCGCAAATGGTGCGGAGTCTCAAGCTTCGCAGGTGCCTCATCTCCAGCAGGCCCCTGCAGAACTAGAACGGTCGCGACTGCAAACACAAAACCTTTTTTTTATTCATGCTATTCAGAAAACATTCCGGGCATGTTCAGTGCTCAGCGTGCGGCTTCTTGACCTTACGGTCTCGCTGTGTCATGAACCTAGGAAACAGATCCCATGCCAAAAGCATCCAGAAGCGATGGTGTGAACATTGCGAACCGTGAAACTTGACTTTATCACAAAATGGTTTTATGTTGCTGGCATGGTAGCGCAATAATTCCCACTGTTTCTGCGCCAATGATGCATCAACAATGCATCTGCATGGTTGTTGGGTGGGAGTCCAGCAAGACTTGTTGTGAGCTTTCTTGCAGGCATCTTTCCCACAAGAGTGGTTTGATTGGTCAGTAGACCTGACTTGGCATGGGTTACACTCAATTGCGTTTGTGTCCAACAGTGCCACGGTACAGAATGTGTATGTTACTATATGCTAAACGGGGCTGCTCAAACTTATGTTGCGCCCGTGAAGTTTGACTTGTCATAGCTAAACAGCTTCTCAATTCTCCTCACCGCCATATCTCTCTCTCTTCTATCTCTATCTCTATCTCTCTCCCTCTCCCTCTCCCTCCTCCCTCCTCCCTCTCCCTCTCTCTCCCC